CCCTCTCGAAGCCCCTCTCGCAACGTTTTTGCTGTCATGGAAATTAATGGTTAGGGCATGACACCTCAGAGTCCCACGATTCTTGCTCGCCACCGGCGTTGTGCATAAATTTGAGCAATCAAAATTGGACAACGGACAACGGATGGGCAGCGGGGTTAAACTGTAGTTTCGTGAGGACGTGTTGCCTGTGTTGCTGGCCCAGAGTCACGGCAAATGGGACACGATGCTTTTCGGCACACTCTCCAGGAAGCCATGCTTGCTATCGACGGTGTGGGAGGAGGGCTTTCTGCGCACTTGACTCGAGTGTCCGTGCCGTTAATCGATGCGAATGCTGGAGGGTGTCGGAAGTGTCTCCTGCACGCCGGCATACCCCCTCCCCATAGAATGGATGGGATCCGTTCAGATGGGCAGCGGCGCGAAGGGCCAAACCCGTCAAAACGACTCCTCTTCGTTATGCATGACCAAAATCCGATCGTCGGTCATTAGTATCAAATCTCGAGTCACTGGCGGTAGAAAAGACATGGAGAGTGTGAGACCTGCTTGTCCCCTAGTGGCATCTTCCCCAACACCCTGCATCTGCAGCTAAATGAACGACGAGGACTGGTTCAACGATGCTAGGATTTGATAAGGTCATGTAAGGAGCACCAGGTGCTGTCGCTTTGCTCTGGATCCGGAGAGCTCTCCGGCCATCCTGCCTTTCCGCTCTGTTTGAAGCTGCTCTGAAGGGGCTCACTCCCCTCCCCCACCCCCTTGTCAACATCTGCACAAACGCCCCAACCTTTTTTTCCGGGCCCGATTGAGGTTGCATCACAGCTCGCGAGAGGTCTTTGGGGAATGTTACGCAGTCGCAGCGACCCAGACCCTGCCGCGGCCCAAGAACACCTCCTCTGGCCCCAACCGCCGTCGTCTTCAGGAGGTGGTGGCTATGGCGACTATGGTGCGGTGCGGTGCGGTGCGTCGACTTGACCCCGAATGCTCTCCCCATCTTGTGAGAGGAAGCAGTCGTATTCCAACATGAAGACGGTTGTCGTGGGGTGTCAAGCGAAGGGGGCCAGCACACTGGCACGCCCACTTTTGGTTCTAAATTACCGCAATCTATTCTTAAAAAGGCCATGGATGCTACGCCTGCCCGTCGACATAAGTGCATACCCCACATGGCATCTTTAATAACCCTGTTCTTCTCACGTCTCACTGCCGTGGGCGGCCTCCCTAACCCCTCATTCTTTGGTCTCGCTCCGGTGCAGTAGTCGCATCTTGCTCGTCTATTATTCCATGTACGGCATGGCAGCGTGAAATTGTGTCGGCTGGCGAGAGAGAAGCGAGGACGCTTCTGCCCCTCGCCGGGTATAGAGAACGGACGATCCCCATTCTGATGTAATTGTACGACCCAGGACAGGCTTTCCCCACGAGGGCGACAGGCCCTCCACGACTTTTCGGCTATCATGAACCGTCCAAAGACTCTGTCTGAGCTTGGACCGCTGGCAACACAAGGATCGGAACACCCCCGCGTTCGCCCTGGAGGAGCAGACGGGAACCCAAGGGGCACACTCTTCTTATGCCACCATAGCGCCCGTTTCCCATTTCGATCCAAATACACTAGGCAAGTCGACAAGCTCGGAGGGGCTTGCTGGTTGGTGCTCTCGGGGTAATATCAAACTTGATTGAGAGGAGAGCAGGGATTCCACTTCTTCACATGCAGACATTTCACGATTTACACCAAGATTGAACGGGGAGCCAAGATCTATGAGGGGAGACGGGGTTTCCAGGCCAGCCGGCAGCGTGCTTGTGCCCAGTGGAGGAGGAAGAACCCTGATAATGGTGGTAATCTCTCCGTTTGTGTGTTCTTTCCGGCTCCCTCCCTCGACAACACGACCCCCTCGTGGCGGGTTGGTCTAGTAATGAGGGGTCTTGGGTGCGGCGGAGACCGGGATGCTCACCGTCCTTCCCTCGGGTGTGCGCCGCACTGAAAGAGAGGGAAAACGAAAAGCAGAACAAATCGGGAAATGGACTGGCGGAGATCACGTCGAGCTAGTAGAATGTGGGCACAAGCTCGTGAGCGGCCAACAGTCAAAGCCCATTTTTGGACTGGGCTACTAGAGATTGCTCTCGGGGTTCGCTTCTATCACTTGCACAGGTCCCACAAGGAGTCGGGCAGGAGTACCTCGCCGATCAGCCTCCATGGCACCGTAATACAACGCAGTCCTAATGGGGGTTTGTCGACGTGCTTCGTACGCAGGGACGCGCAGTCCGCGGACACCGCCGCTTCCTCGAATCTTCTAGTGGGTTGCCAGTGGCAATATGCCTTTTTGTGCCAGTTCTCAGTCGCGTTTGGCGGGGAGCGCCGTAGGTCCCACCATTTGACATGCCTCGCACTACGTCACCAGCGCGGAACTCGGCTTTGGTAACTCTGAAGGACTCTCTACCATATCCAAACACGACTTGCAACCAGAAAAGGCCAAGGCCACTAGATACCACAGAGGCAGTTTTCTGTGTGTTCGATCAGCACCTCCCAGCCAACGGGCCATCCGTGAAAGAGAAAATGGTTGCCGTCCAACATGCTCGGTGATGATGCGCGCGCGATAAGATGGGCAGGCAAACAGATGGGATGAGATGAGGGTTTTTTTCTCTCTTTCATTTTACCATCCTCGCCGCCGAAAGCTCGCCTCTCGCTACTCTATTCCTATAATACCCGCCCATGTCGACTGCCCGTCGATGAGCGCGCGCGGTGAGCGGAAGAGTTGAAAATGGCGGGAGGAGATCACTCCCGTCTCTTCCTTGTATTCGCCCGAGGTGAAAAGATGATAACATCATTGACGTCAGAGCCTCTCCAATTCGCGGGAACTCACCACAATCTTGACTGACGGTTCTCTGTTTCAAAGAGGAGCCTAGATCGTCCACACAGCGCGTTCTAACCTCCGGCGCCTTTTTGTGCTTTCTTTTTTTTTTGGCCGGCCCGCTCCCTTGCACAGCATCATCAAATCCTAAATCCAAGCCCTCCCGTATAATAGTAGATGTCTCTTTTTTTCGTTCCTTTTTTCCCGCACGCGCTCGCTCTCCACCATGGCTTTCTGCCCCTTGTCTCCCCAGCATTCCCGCTTCCCGCCCTTCCTCCCGAACGAAGTCCTTGGGGGAGTGCGGACCACCCCCTTCCTTCGCTGAGCAATCCAATCAGACTCCCAATTGAGCGTAACCTCGTGGCATGACCCTCAGCTCCCACTGGCTCCGCCATCCGCTCGCGTGTCTCAGCATCCACCACCGCTCCCCCTTCGAAGCCCTCTCTTTTTCTCCTTCGCTTTTTTTTGTGGCCCTTCTCCCGTTCGATATTCTTCCCGTCAAGCCCCTCCTCACCGAGGTCCGGTCGCTGCGCCAAGAAGGGGGAAGATAGGAGGGAGGAGCAGTGTGCAATCATCCTCCCGCTCTGCCGTTCGTCGGCTGGTACTACGCCATGCGCGACAAGAAAAAACGACGAGACAAAAGTAGGGAAACGCAGGCAAGAAGCCAGAGAGAGAGAGGCGCAAAAGGGGAGGGGCGTATGTCCAGCGCACTGCTGATAAGGTTCAGGAACCATCCAAGTCGCGACTCAGTCTCAAGGATAGAGCTGGTGGTATCTGTCCCACAGCCGGACGGATATCTCCAGCTTACATCTCGTTGCATCAACACCCACCCCTTCCATCCTCATCTCACCCCTATACATCATTGATCATCTCCCAATCCCCCTTTCCTTTTTTTTTCTCTTTGTTCTCTACTCTACTGGCCCTTTGTTTCCCTTCTCCCTTCCGCCCTCTGCTCACTCTCCGGTTCTCGGCCACGGGCACGGGCAGACCACGTTTCTCGTCCTCTCCGTGCATGGACAGAGGGGAGCGCCACCGAAGCCAGAAGAGCGAGAGAGAAAGAGAAACAGAAGCAAAAGGCATGGATCTTCAAAAGATTGGGGGACTTATACGACCGCAGCCAGCGCTCGTCCTTCCCAGTCTCACCGTCTCTCGGTCGACGTACCCCCAGCTGATCTCGTCACATTGGTTCCGAATGGTCAAACCCGACGCTGCAAACGTAATATGTGAGAAGTGAAAAGATTAACTTTGACCGACGTGCTTCCTTTTTCTTTGGTTTTTCTTCTTCTTTCTTTAGAATGGCTCCCTTTGTCGCCTCACCCAACGCACCACATGCACTCTTGCGGCAGTCCCGCGCCACGGCAAAAATGCAGCCAGCGAGAAACCGTGAATAACCACCCCTACTAAAGCCGATCTCCAAAAGCCCCCATGTTCGTTTACGCCTCTAGGGTCCCAACCTGATACACAGCTTTGCGTCAAGGCACCCTTTTTCCTGCCTTTTTCTTTCCTTTTTCTTTCTTTCTCAGATTCCCTCTTTTCATCCTACGCCATCCTCCTCTTCGCACTTGTATTACCAAAAGCACCATTCCCTACACGATAATTTCACACCCAACCGCGTGCCTAAGCGTCCCGTTGCGGCGAGTTGAGCTGCTTCCAGTGGGTTGAGAGAGTAGATACCAGTGCGCCATACGCCGCCGTTATCCGCCTTTGCTGGGCTCAATGATACATATGAGTATGAAAGGATAGCTACTGCTTGCTCAGACTTGGAAAGTATGACGCGTAGACAGAACCTCAAAGCCCTACCCACCCTTGAGTGTATCAGGAAGGGATAGGACCCGAGTGCTTCTGACGTACACTATCTCTCTGGTAGACTGTATGATATATATCTAGAGATAAGATATGCCCGAGCCAAGGCGACTGACTAGGTCTTAACCCAGAGGGAAAGACAAGAAAGGGGATGGGAGAAAACCAAGAAAGAAGCAAGAGATCTACCCTCAACTCCATGCAAGCGGCGCCCCTTCCTCCGTACAGTGACAAACTGAATCCAGACACCGGTTTTGTTTCAATTGACTGGGGTTTAAAAGAGAAAAGAAAATTGCACTTTCAACGTCTGAACCTTGCCGCAACCCAAAGCCTCGAGGTCGGGCCGCAGCAACATCCCGGGAGCCTCTATTTCCCGGGACGTTCCCGCCCCGCCTGCTCATCTCGTCTGCCCCGTCTCGGATATCTCGCCCGCGGCCCCAGTGCAGGCGGCGTCATCTCCCCTTCCAAGACCTGGTCCGCGCCTTTGATTTGCTCCTTTTCTTTGACGTGGTTGTTCATATACACCGAGCTTGACCTCCGGAGCGGGCTAGAGAGGATGCGCTGGAGCTCTTCTTCGTAAGCGCGGTCGTAAATGTTAAAGTCTGCGTTGACGGGTGAGTCCGAAACGAAGGCGTACCCCGCATCCGCCGAGAACCCATCGTCGCCCTGGTCTGTTGCGGACGAGGACGATGTAGGATCCGAGATGCCCAGCGAGGAAAGAGCCGATGAAGGCCCATCGATATCAACGCCTAGGCCGACACCTAAGTAGAGGGGCTCGGCGCCAGACGAAGTGTCGATTGATATCGGTAGTGTCTTTTCCTTGCGGAACGAGTTGCGTTGAGCGATGAGGTCTTGTATCTCTCGCGCGTGAGGGATGTCCGCGCTATCAACGTCACCTGTCGTCAAAGGTATCACCGTGGCTTGGACGGGAATGGTCTTCTCGGCTCTCCTCCTCGCCACCAATAGCTTGAGCTTGTATCTGACTTTCATCTATAACTTTTGTTCAGTATTATTTGAAACAATAGGCTGTAGAATAAATCCGGGGTTCGTCTAAACGACGAGGGGGAACAAATGGGAAACAAAGAAAGAAAAGGACATGGAAGTAAGATACGTACGACACAGAGCAAGTGGTTCATTTTCCTAGTCAAGGCGCGGTTGAGTTCGAGGTCGTTGGGCGGCTCAATCGGGTCGGCGCAATTCTCCTCCACAGAGAGCAGCATAGCGCTCCCATAGTTCGTGACCCAAGGATGCACCTAGCCAACCATGTCAGTATACCGCCTACCCTCCATGCCAAGCGCAGAATAGGACTAGGGGTTGACGCCAGATTCGGCTCCTTTTCATGGAAAGGAAAAGTATGTTGGACTTACTCTGAGCTCGTGCATTCGGATCCTCTTCTCTGCATCCTTTTGCAGGAGCCGCTGCATCAAGTCAAGGAAACCCGGGTCCTCGTCGGGCGGGTAACTGGGTTCATCCATCCGGATGGATTCGTACATGTCCAAGACATTCATCTTCTCAAGGGGAGCTTGCCATATCGAAGGCAGTACAGCGTTACGCCCATGGACCAGATATCAGCCGCCCTTCCAGAGACATCGCCATGCCGAACGACGCAGAGTTCAGGGGTAGGAACGCAGGCGACCCGGCAGACTTGGCGGTGCGCATCTCGGCCGACTTTTCAAACATCTCGGAAACGCCAAAGTCGACAATCTTGAGAGCATCGTCCTCGTCGGATAGAAGGAGGTTGTCAGGCTTGATATCCCTGTGAATGACGCCTTGGTGGTGCACTAGATGCCATCTCTGTATCAGCCACTCTCCTGTTCCTCCTTCTCCATCTCTCTCCCCATCTCTTTCTCTTTCTCTTTCTCCCTTTCTCTTTCTTATCGTGCTTGCCATTTCTCATGAGATAACGCGGCGTCTCTTGGGAGATGGTACTCACAATATTCAATGCCCAAAATCAAATCCCTAAACCATGTCCTGCACATATTTTCTGGATGTGGGATAGCTTGCTCGCCGAGGCCAACCTTCATGACCACGCCCTTTTTACACATCTCAAGCACCATATACAGGGAATCTTCCTCGGGGTCATCCAGGACCTCGAAGAGCTGCACGAGGTTTGGGTGGTTCAGCCTCTTCATCACCGCCACTTCTCTTCTTATTAGGTACAACGCATCATTCTGGGACATGGGCGATTCCAGGCTAAAGTCGGACATGTGAGGCGATAGGGGCGCATTCAGGCTCCTTCTCTCAACCCGGGCAGGGAGGCGAGGCCCTACCTGGCGTAAGATGTTGGACCGTTCCCGTCGACGCAAACGGGCTTTTGAAAACTCTTTAACGGCCTAGAGAGTGGCGGGTTGTCAACTTATCTCATGTCTTCGTTTTTCGTTTTGCGTAGCAAGTAGCAGGTCTGCGGCCCCTTGAAAGAGAAGAGTACGGATGAGAGAAGGAAATAAGGCCTTACGAAATCATTTCCCCTATGGTCTGTAGCAAGGTGTACCGCCCCGTAGGAGCCACGCCCTATTTCCTTCTGGATCACATACTGATTGATCCGGTGGTGGACTCGGCCATCGGTCTCCTCGCTGGAAATTTCAAATCTTGCATCCAAAGTTTCCTACAGGGGCACTCCTGGGTTAGCTGAAGAGAGCGGGGAGCAGGGCCGATAACCAGAGGGCAAGCCGTCGGCGTACCTTGACCTCGCGATGCTGGGAGGGAGTCCGACGGTGCTGGCGGATTGGGCTCTTATACCGCACCCGCGATACGGGCCGAGCAGCACTAAGGGAATCACAACGGCGGTGAGCAGGTGGCTTTGGAGGAAGCGTGGGGCAGACTTAAGTGACGGTAGGCAGAGTGACAGCAGGTAGAGGAAGAGAGCATGAGGAGTGGTGTAGTGCAATGCGGCAACGCGTATGCAGATTCGGATGTTGGGAGAAGCGGTTCGGTTCGGTTCGGCTTACATGTGATGATCAATGGAGCGGGTATCTCTAGTGGCATCGTCATGGGATTCTACCTCTATAGTGGGAGAAGGGAGGCCGCTGATGGAGGTAGCGTAGATATTGTCGTCATGAACCGCCTCAGCGAGCTGGGCTGAGGCTGAGGCCATGGCTCGGAGTCGAAAGTAGTGGCGGTGATTTTAAAGCGCGCAATTGAGCGTCGACAAAAGAAACGAGGGATACCACAAAGGGGTCGTTGGCGTCACCAAGGCCGAGCAAGATCCACAGCAAAAAAGTTGGAATGGTCAATGGCGGGGTAGTGTGGTGGGGGATGCCCCTTGCTCTTTCCTCCAAGGTTGGGAAGGGAGGAGAACAGTGGTCGGGCTGAGAAAAACGTCAATGCTCCAAAATTATAACAGGGAAAACGTGAGGAGCCTGAGGATGACTCGTGTTTCCATCACTAGGCCCGTTCTCTCTCGTCGCCTCTCGGGAGGTCCTGGGGGAGGAGAGAGGTGAAGCAAAGGGTTGCGATGGGAATAGGCGACGGTGGAAAAGCAGGGGACGGGAGAGAAAGAAAAGAAGAAAGGAAAAAAGGTTATAGCGAGGCTGGCCCTGTCATGAAATCAGGAAGCAAGGGTCACAAAGGGAGCCCTTTACTGCCGGCCGCGCTTGCACCAGAGCTCGGGTGACAAGCTTGGCTAAGTGGGTGCGTGTGAAGTAGTCCAATTCTAGTTTGGCTTCGTTTGGGAGGGTCCTTTCCGCGGGATTGAAACGAGCAGGCGGGATAAGGCTGAAGGATGAGACAATAGCTCGGCCAAAATAATTTAAGTCATGGAAAGGGAAGGGCAGAGGCAGAAGGAGGGGGCGCCACAAACGCAACGACAGATCCGCGTTGCTGGTTTTTGGCACCGCAAAGCTTGCTCAAGTGGGAGTTTGGTACTTATGCTGGTGCCGGCAGCCAAGGAGGAGATGGAATCAATCAACGGGAGTGGACGGCTATACGAGTAAGAACGTGGGCTTCTCGGGAGGGTGGCTCGACGATGCGGGCCGTTTTTGCGTTTCCTTGCAATAAAGGAGAGAAAACAACAAGATGACATGGAAATCCGGCTCGGTTGCATTCGCGTTGGCTTTTTGCTACCTTTTGCGTCGCCATTCCCTGAACCGGGTGCAGTGCTCGCTGATGGTTTCTGTTCATGTTCACTGTTCTTTCCTCCTTCCCCTTTCCTCTAGTTCGTTTTGCGTGCCCCTCCCCGCTCCCCATTCCCACTCCCATTTCCCCTCTTCTCTTCCCTTAGACGGTCCCTCTCCTTTGTTCAGCTAGTGCCCTATCCTAGTGCAGACCGCTTCCGACCAGCAGGTATCATAAACCAGGGCCCCCATTGGGAGAGCGGAGCGGGAGGTGCATATCGAGAATGACGCGGCTGTAGCGTCAAGACGAAAGAACATGGGGGCTCTTTCGGAACCACTTACCATCCAGCCAAGGCCAAGGTGATCACGTTGGCAGAGAGGCTCCATCGCCGTACTGTCCTTATGCATGCCTCTCGGCCAGGCCGACCACGAGAGATCTCACTCAAATTCCGTGGGAGCAACCGGCGACCCGCACCGTTTGCACTACGTCCTACCAAATATTTTGGTGACCATGAGGTAGAAGAGGCCGGTCTCCATGCCATTGCCATTACGAGTTCCGCGGCTCTGAACTCGGGCGGAAACGCAAAGAGGGTGAAAAGAGAGGTTCCGGGCCATCAGAGCGGCGGTCTTCTCAAGTTGTAAAACAGGAAACCCCAGCGAGGGCGAGAATTGGGCCCTCAAGCGAGTGCCAGAGAAGAAACCTGTTGATGATGATAGGCACTTAGACTTGCCCCGGCACCACCTCGCTTACGTGTACCTCGGTAAATGAGCTATTTTCAGATATACGAATGAATCTCGCCATGGTAAGAAAAAAAAAGGACGGGATATCCAAGGAAAAGATCAAAGTGAAAACAAGAGGGAAAATGAGGATGACCTGGGCCCATCTCCTGTACCGATGGTTTGGAGGGATAAGTTGCGGCGTAGTACCCTGGGCATCATGGAGACGAGAGTCTAGAGGATGTTGAATGAAGCTTCACGAATTTGTCGTTCCTTCCGGCCGCCCACCAAAACAACGGGGACGAATCGAGGCCCAATGAAGGAGAAGACCGAGGTCACTGTGGATCCGACATAAGCCCTTTAGGGCTGAAGGCAAAGCCGGGTCAAACGCAAGATCGGATCGACCCCATCCATCTTTCATTTGAATGGGATCATTGATCCTTGATTGATCAATCGCATTGCTATTGCAGGCCCTGCTCCGACCGCAGAGCCCAGCCTAGCAGTGTGGCTGTACACCCAAGCGAAGATTGCTGATGTCACTTTGGTGGAGGTGGAGGTGGAGGTGGCCTGTGGAACCTTGGTCATCTTATCAATATCCATTCATCTAGTATCTGACAGCACGAACTCCACTCCAAGTCTAGAATGAGAGAGAATCTTGATCAATTGCCTCCTTGCACTTCTTACCGTTCGGTGTCGGGGTCCTATTATTAGACGTCCATTCCTTATCGGCCGCTGGACTGAGAGCACTGGCTCCTCGGCACGACGGGGCACTTGTAGCGGCAAGCCGTGCCCGGCCTTGGCCTGGCCCAGTGCTCATTGTTGAGTGGGTCAGGAGGTGTAACTTCAATATGTTGGCTGGCACTTGACATTTGACGGCTGGCACAAGTGCCCTGACCCTGGAATAGATTTCTGGCGCCTGAAAGAACATTCGAGCACTGAGGAGCTGCCGCCGTTGTCGGTGCACTGCTAGCTTGCACCGCTAAAAGCTTGGGGGCCAGTGCTCAACTCAATTTGGTCAGGCTTCGCGCGGACAGCGTGTACCTGGCCCAAACCCCTGGAGTTGTCCACTCCCAATCCCCCGCGCAACTCCTCAACCTCATCGTCACTCTCCCAAGCTTTCGCATCACCCGACGGCCAACCCCGGATCTCCCCTTGTCAAAAGACGCGGGCCAATCCCTCGACCGCCATCATGCCCGTCTACTCATTCTACATATTCGACAGGCACAGTACGGTCCCCGCCCACCCGCTCAACCCCTCTCCTCCTCCTCCTCCTCCTCCTCCTCCTTTGCCCCTGAATCCCTTGGCCCTATTCCGCGCGTACATTGAGCTAACATCGTCCCCCTCACCCTCTCTTCTTTGTCCACGTAGCCGAATGCATCTATGCCAGGTCATGGGCGCCCACCGAAGCTGCTGCCGGCTCGCGGCCCAACTCTCGCGTTCCAGTCATCGCTACGAGTGACGATGCCAAGCTAATCTTCGGCACCGTCTTCTCCCTGCGCAACATGGTCCGTAAGCTTGGCGGCGACGATGACGCATTCATCTCCTACCGGACCGGGCAGTATAAGCTTCACTTTTACGAAACCCCGCCAACCTTCGATTCGTCATGCTCACCGACACGGGCTCCATGAGCATGCGGAATGTGCTACACCAAATATACATCAATTTATGGGTTGAATACGGTGAGTCTACAAGGCTTTGGGCTAGCAGAGCCTCATGGCTACGAGACGCTAACTCGATCTCTTTCCGCAATTAGTTGTCAAGAATCCTCTAGCCCCCGTAGAGCACAAGGGCGGTGCTGGTGTGCGAAATGAGCTCTTTGAGCTAGGGCTGGACCAGTTCATCCGGAGCCTAATGTGAAAAGCATCTCCCGAAAATTCCTCTTAGATATCACGCTCCCGACCTCGAGCACGACTGTTAAGACGGGAGCGTTGACCATGGTCTCGCTCATCGCGTGAGTGCAAGAGCCATTTCCGAATGGTGGGCCGAGGACTTCCCTGGAACAATGGGACGATATGCCCTGGCTTCTTGAGCCTTGGCCCGGTATCATGAGCCATGGCAAAAACAAACGCGGCGCCATAAGTGCTCTTGTCATCGCCAGCGGCATACCTTGCATACAACTTGCGGCTTCGGGCGGTTGTACCAGGCTGAGATATCGCTCCATAGCTGCCGCAAATACGCTCACTTCGAGAATGGCTCGCAGCCGCCCGGCCAAGCTCCCTGAAGACCTTCTGCTCTAGACCTCAGGCTTCCCCTAGCACCGCCTATGCCCCAGGGTATCTCGACCAGAGCCGTTCTGTGCCTGGGCTGCGGTTTGGGACTACCATGCCATCTATCTACACTTCGAATGCTAGTCTTAATACTGATCCTTTCTTCTTCTTCCTACAAACAATCCGCCCTTTATGTACCTGACTCCACATTTTACATGTTCTCCTCGATCTCTACCCCCACTGCACGCTCATTCTTCAGCTTGGCTAGGCCTCATATCGTGTAGCGGAGCAACAATCATCCAAGGCGAAATAGGCGGCTGGGCTTGACTAATGGTGCCTGCCCAAGCACCCCCAAAGGAGAGGGGGAAGAAGGTAAATCTGAAGGAATATGGAGAAAAGGGAGAAGGAAAAAAATTAGGGGCATTGCTGCTGTTCCAAAAAGCAGAAAAGGGAAAAAAAAGATTTCGATGTGCCTTCATGAGAAGGCTCATTGGGAATTGAGCCCAATGCGGGGGTCGAACCCGCAGCCTTGAGATTAAGAGTCTCACGCTCTACCGATTGAGCTAACCGGGCAGGTTAGTTATTTGTTGGAGTACTGCTCACACTAATCTCACTTTTCACACCGAGCGAACAATCTTCAAGACCCCCATTTTTTCCCCTTTGAGCTGAGAGAGGCGCTCTCTTCAAGGGAGCTCTTCTCCATTAATAAAAAAAGTTACTTTTATTCTTGATTGAATTCCTCAGTGCTTGCGCTTGTGACCCCGTGTGTGCTCCCTATGTTCCGCACAGTTGCGCTAGTGAGTTCAGCGCGGGAACCGGGCGGACAAGAACCATGACCAGGAACAAAAACAATTCATGGGTGTATCAAGGACGACAAACATAGACGGCAATCATGTTCATGAACGAGTTTGGGAAACATTCTACCCCATAGTTTGTCTTTCCGCCCTTCTCATCCCGATGTAGGGTCATCGTGGAGTGGCTCAGTGGGTCACACACACACACACACACACACTCTCTCTCTCTCTCTCTCTCCAAAGATCATGCTAGTACATATAGCAGGAGGGAAAATGACTAGGCTTGTGTCCAGTCGGCGGGGATACGGCCGGGCTGATGGGTGGAAGAGACTATAGCTTCGAATAGACAGGGGCGTACGAATAAGATCCCAAGGTAGGGGTGCACATTGGCTCGTAAAAAGGCCATACATTGATGTTTTATAACGTTACCGCGCCCTGGGCAAAGTCCGTCCGCACTCCATGCCATATGTAATGTCTAGGTTCTACTCCTACTCATACAGGTAAATGAAAGGGACAAGGAAAAGTGCGCGAGGAAAAGACGGGGTAGAAAAGGCCACCGTCCTCCTTTCCTGCCCTCCTTCGCGCCTCCTCAGCCTCCAGATCTCCAGAATCCCCAAAGGAGAAAACAAAGCAAAAAAAAAATTGAAAAAAAAATGCAACCGTCCTATGTATGTATATTGGCCCATGTCTAGCCTTGAATACGAGATGAATCAAATGGGAGGGAAGAGAGAGACACAGAGAAGGAAGAGGGGGAGGGGGTTCTCGTGTCTCCAGTCTGCCAAATTATTCGGTCAATCATCATTTGCTTCCTACTGCCTTCTCCCAGGCGCTCTCAAGAGAGGCTTGAGACTCAACCATCACTATGCTCTGCTCGACCGTCGTCTCTGCGGCAATGGGCTCATCCATAGCCTTGGCGGCGGGCTCCGCAAACACGCCATCCTCAATAATCTCATTCTCCCAGTTGCTCGAGTACACAACAGCGGCAAAAGCCTCCAAATCAGCCACCTGCTCCATCTCGCGCAGGTACTCGTTGGGCATCCCGTTACCGATGACGTGGGCTTGACGGGTGAGAACGGAAAGGATCTTGGGAAGGAGGATGGCCTTCTTGGGCGAAAGCTCAGAGTCGCTGGTGACGATGGTGGAGGTGACGGTGGGGTTGCTCTGTTCGAAAGCAAGAGTAGCCACCTTCTCGTCGACGAGATAAGAGAATCCAGAGTCGAGGAGGAGGGTAAGGACGTGCGAAAATGAAGGGGACTCGACAAGATCGGCGGTCTCATCTAGAAGCCTTCGGAGAGCAGGGGGATTGTGGGTCCAACAGAGCTGTCGATAACGCCAGACTCCTTGATGACAGTCTCCTCCATATCCTTAGGGGAGAACGTATTCTAACCACTTGGTCTGATACCTCTCTTCCGGGGTGGCGCCTTCAACAATCTTGCGCACCTTGAGAGTCAATTCGGAGAAAGTGTCAAAAGTCATGTTGTCACGGGGGCTGAGATGACCAAAAGCCTCCTTAACAGCAGCTTCGACACGATGCATAATCCCGATCCAGCCCTTGTTGAGGAGCCACCAGCTAAAGGTAAGGTATTTGCGGTTCATTTCGAAGTCGGAGCCATAGACCTGGTCAGGGTTGATCTCATCATTGTCCTCGAGCGAGATGGTGGCTTGCGCGGAACCAGTAGCGAGGCTGACGACGCTCGAGAGGTAGCTTCGGCGGCCGAGGAGGTTCAGTTGGACTCGAGTAAGCATGGTGAGGAGGGCGACAGTGTAGATAAGCGTGAAAGCCCTCGATACGGCTACCCACAATGGTTAGTCACTTCCCTAGAAAGACGCACTATTCATGATGCCCACCAGAGACCACTTACAGCTAATTGTCAAGTCATCCCACAGTTGCCTCTTCGTCTTTTTCGACTTTTGCGCCTGCGCGCCGCCATCTTGAGGGGCCCCTTCATTCGCGGTCGAACCTGCAACGGCTGTTGGAGAAGGAAGCGCAATCTGACTTGCGTGCACCCCACTCTCGCTTTGCAGGCTGACAAGGCTCTTCCCGTCTTCATCCGTCAAGCTTGTCTCAGCAATGCTAGGTGGCGCTCCGGCCGTGGCATTCTTAGCTACCTTGAGGGTTTGGATCTCGTAGGTTATGCTTTCCGTATCCATCATCTCGAGGATATGTTGTGTCGCGGTCGGGAGTAATGCCAGCACAGTAAACGTGCAATCTTCCTGGTTTTGTTCGAATCGTCGTCGGAGGCTGGAAGGAAAGGTGCAGATTTATCCGTTAGCTACATTATAGGAAAAGCGAAAGGGAAGGAGATAGGAGAGCGCACGAGTGAAGGGAAGGCTTACTTTTCTTTGGCGATTCGATCGCTGCTCATGCGCGCACGCGCATCATTGATTCTTGAGATGACATATTGAGTTACGACATAGCCAGCTCCAACGACACCAACGCCGACCGCAAGGGGTGTGCGGTTTCGACGGAACCAGCGCCGTGTTGCGGCAAACATGGCTGGTTGAGGGTGGGGGTGTGGAGAATCCCTCTCGATGGGAAGCCGCAGAAGAGGGCTGGCGAGACTGGTCTTGTTCTTAATACGGACGCGAAGTCGTGAAGCCCGGGCGACAAAGGATGAAGGCCAGTAGGGGGAAATGGATAATGAAAACCAGGGAGGACAAGACAAAGTTCGTCGCGGAAGCGGAGATGGGAAAGCTCGCGGCTTCTGGTTCCCAGCTATGTGGTAAAGTGTGATGGGGCGTGCCTTCCGTGCCTCGGCCCAGCTCGACCTGATCGGATGGGTGCAGTTCTACAAGGCCTGCAGTCGTACCTACCCTACTGCTAATACCACTCTATAATGGGTGGAGCACCCGGCTTCGTTGCAAGCCCACGTCCTAGTAGCAACATGCTGACTCATCAGACCGCCAGGATCAAGAGGTTCGCCACATGCCGAGCCGAAAGTAGCCAAGCAAGCTCAACACCTGGAGCACCCGCTGTCCCACTCTCTCCTCAAGGACGACAGTGAGCTCTGCCCCGGATTTCAACAGTCTGGTCGGGTTAGCTTGATTCAGACCTCCCACATCTCGAAAAGCCGACCGTGGCCGCAAAGTCTTTCAATTGTGCTTCCTTAATGGCCCTTGGCCCAAGATTCCATTAGACGCCGGTGGCCAGCAAGCCAACGGTTCAAGATGTCATAGCTTTTCGACACACGTTACGGAAGTCCAGTTCATCTCAATGCATCACGTGAAATTCCCAGCCCCTTGATTCCCAGGCCTCTTTGCCATCCCCGTGTTTTATCAGGGAATGCAGAGCGAGCTCGTTTTGTGGGCCTTTTACACTGTACCCATACACGTCCACCCCATCCTCATACCTCAATCAGCTCCCTATTACGTATGATGAGAATGGCGGGGATTTCTGCCCCTCACCCTGTCCAACAGGATTGACGGGCTTATCAAGTCAAAATCGAATTCCCACGCCACCCGCCCACACACACGCCCCCCTTTAGAGCACACCTCACCCTTGGCCCTCTCATCAGGGATAAACTCGAGGCTTCTTCGGAGAACAGAAACTCTAGAGGGTGGAAGAAGATTCAAGGATTTAGGAAGCCGACGCTTTCCACTACCTGCGGCCACGTTTTTCGCCCTTACCTCTCCACCCAAACTTGGTGCCTCCTCACCATGACCGAGGCAGGTTCCAACTGGAACATCCATAACATCGTGGCCTACCTCCCCGATATCCCCCGCGCCAACATGGAGCAGCGAGGGCCGCCCGAGTTTATCCTCGAGGCCTTTGCCGACCCGGCTTCCGTCAAAGAGGTGGTCAAAGGTAAACCCTTTCCCCAGTACTTCTAGTAGAACCTCCGCCGTCTCCGGTGAACCCCTCCGTTCATGCGGGGTCCGCAGCCACGGACGCAGGAGGCAGGACCCGAGGAGAGAGGACCAGTGGTTCCTTCGCACAGCACCTTTTATTTGCTGACCAGACCTTACTTTGTTGCTCAGGCATCTTACATACCATCTTCTTTCACCGATACTTTCCCCTCATCACTCCACAGACTCGACCTGTCCTATCTCTCTCTCTACCATATATCGATGACGTCGAGCTCGAAACCCTCATCGAACAGCGCGCCGCCCTCCTCGAACGCCAACTTGATGCCGAGCGCAACACAATCGCCCAACAGCACCACGCGCCCGTTCCTGGATCACCCGGTCTTGGTGGCCGGGCCGGGGTTGGCACAGCAGCAGGGGCACAAGGCGGCGGTGGGCGAGGCCAAATCTCAGTAAAGTTCTCGGAGCGGAAACGGAGAAAGGCGTGGATTGTGAGAGGGGAGGAGGAGGTGTGCTGGGAATGTTGGACTATCAAGGTTACCGTTGCAGAGCCTAAGACCGAGAATGGTACGTGGAGACCTCCACTCCATGCGGAACGCTGGGCGGGAACGTTGAGTGAAGTGATTTGACTAACTTGCGTACCTTGCAGAGCGAGCCAAGGTTCGTCAGGCGATGGAACAAACTTTACTCGCCGCCGTTCGAAAGATAATGAAATACGTCAACGCCAACAAAGATCACATACCTCCCATTACCGCAACGAGTGGGAATCCGTTTCCCTATCAGATCACCGTCAACCAAAAAGAGGCTGGGTGGGCAGCCCGGATGGGAATATACTAGCGCTGTTTTCCCGCTCCCATCCGGGCTGTTTTGTGCGGAACGAACTTCAAAACCATACATATACTAAACGAAATTCAAATACCAAAGCCGTATAGACGACCAGTTGCGATCACTAATTTTGAGGCCCAAGAGGAGGTTCGCTATGCTGGACCCGCTAGCCACATGGATCTTCTCTTCCCGCCCCTCTGCACCACAAAGCACGAGCTAATGTCTAGTGAGCTGCGCGCTCGGAGCTCGATGCTGGCATGGAGGCCCGTGGCGGGCTCGAGGATACACTGGATCTGCTGTTTATTTGCTTTCTCCGGGACTTGTTCGGGCTGGGATTGGAGTTTATATTCATTTCTTGTTCTTTTTTTTTTTCTTTTCCATCATCCTTTTTTCTTCCGCCCCGGCTTCTTGCTTACAGACCAACCTAGCTCTCGTGGAACAACGGCGTCACCTACCCTAGGTGGCCACAGTCCTTGTCCATTGGTTTACTGAAGCAGCATCGCTTTGAAGCAATCCCTCCATCCTCTCGAACAGCACTCACGTAGCCTACCTGAATCACTGGCTTGCGCTGGGGTTACTCTAGACAGATATAGTCTTTCTCTCCTGTTCCATGAATACAAGCATGATACCCATGATCTAGCTCATTTTCCACTTGAACACGGTTTCCATTAACCTATGGTGAGAAGGGGAGCAGCAATGGTAGCTATTATAGGCGTAAAGGTCTATCAGAGAACTCGAGGAGATGCCTAGACACGGTATCAAAGATTAGGGATGAGATAGGAGATGGGGGCGAGGGGAAAAAACGCGAAGAGAACAAGAACAAGGCAAGACCTAGCAAGGTCGAAGGACCATCCACGTTTTACTTGGTAATATAGTACTACCCCCTTGAGCTATTAGCCAAGGCTGTTAACAATCACACTGACAAGGACAAGGTAGAGGATATACCCTTAAGGTCGTTGATCATTTATCATAACAAGTGAATAACCCGTCGAGGTTCTGTTTTATTTGAGAGAATGACAAGCTATTACAGGCAGAAACAAAGAAGCCCAAGATGTTTCCCATGTAAAGCTGTTGCCCCTTTCAAACCTAACAAGAACCTTTTAAACTAGACAGAGACAAAGTATGAACAGAAACAAGAAGTCAAACAGAGAAACCAGACCTTGGAAAACTAGGAAAGACAAGACGGCATGCAGAGTGTGCTGGCGAAACACAACGCAAAACGCCAAAAGCATGGCCAAGAGACCCCCAAGAGATCCCAAACCCCCATTAGAGACTAGGAAACTACCCGTAGACAAAGGAAAAGGAAAACAAGCCGGCGTAGCTGACCCACAGCCATGCGTCCCTGAAGAGATGGCCTTGGGTCGCCCAGCATTGCTTAGCAGACAATAAATTCTATGCATTCCAGAATAAGCATTTCCGTATCCTCCTTTCAACATTCATTTTCAAGCCCAAACCCAGCCCTCTAGTACTCTTCACGGTTCAACTGCATCATGGTAGACGAAGCGAACCGCGGTGCAGAGTCTAGGGGTTCCATGAAGTTTGGTGTGTGCGCATTGTGTAATGTTTGCGGTGTAGTGTGTGTCGTGTGTGTATTGTGTTGTGTGTCCATCGTCGTAGCATCATAAACTCGTGAAATAAAAAGGAATAAGGAAAGGATATCTCTCAGGTGTTGTGAAATAAACCGCTAGCCCCTCACATTATCGAAGTCAGGCGTCGGGAGAAGTGGTGTTGTGGGGAAAAATGAGTAGCCGCGCGTCTGTGTTCCGTGCAGCGTTAAAACGCCGAAGAATAGTACCTTGAAATCCCTGGCTTCGAGCCGGACCTCGCGTTTCGAGGTGCCGTGCTTTGAGATCCAGAACCAATCTTGGCGAAGCCCTGAAGGATATCAACACCGGCGCATTCCTGGGATTCCAGGATGAAGTCGGCAGGGTCAAAGGCCAAGGCACTCCAGTCTCCTTCCGCGGGAACCATGGCGAGGTTTGCAGGCAACTTGCTGGGAGACTGCATCAAGGGAGAGGGGGACCCTAGCAGATGCTTCGAGGGAGAGCTAAGACCCTCGAAAGCGCGGCTGGGTGTGTCGAGAGGCCCAGCCGTGGCATCCTCCCAGACCTTGAGGGTAGGAACGTCGAGGGTCTTGCTCGAGCTGAGGTCAAAGCTCGTCATCGTGGTGATGGCGCTAGTGGATTGCGAACGGTCCATCCTTGACCTTCTCGCCGTGCGCTTAAGAGGGGAGCTGTGGTCAAAGTTCACCAGGTCGTTGAAGACGTCGTCGCCGGCATCCTGGAAGATGTTGAAGTCGGTGTTCTCAAGGGAGCCGTCAAACCCTCCAAAGAGATGGTCATCAAGCTTAAAGGCCGGGCTCCAGGGCAGGTTATTGTCGTCGAAAAGCCCATTCATCTTGCGGAGGGGGATTGGAGCATGCTTTGAACTTTGTCGCGGTGGATTCGAAGGTTTGTGTTGGGAGATACCGAGGGTGGCGCTCGGGAAGGGGCCCTCAATTTTACAGCGGGGGTGAGAGGAGGCAGCATCTGGTTCGATTCGTTGCGGAGGGGGAAGACGAAGGCGGCGCGTACCCGTTCAAGAGCGGCCCTTAGTCGGGCTGTCGTAGGAAGATGCTCGGAGGCGAGCAATCTCCTCCTCGGCGCGGCCACGCTTAATACGAGGGCGATCAGCCTCTGAGGTCAGAGCACTGGGCTTCTGCCGCATCACAGACGACTCGAGTGACGAGATGTACCCGCTGTCATCCATGGAAGCAAAAGCACGACCATTGGGCCGCAAGACGGACGAGGTCGGGTTACGGCCTAGAGGTGGAGGCGTAGCGCCGCCACTCAGGTCGATGTGACGGGGAATTGGCGGCGAAGAGTGCATCGTGGGCGGCAGGGGAGAGTACAACGAGTCGAGCGGGGCATCGGCATCGGCCGCTTTATCATTGTCCTCCGGAGCGGCGGCATCCGAGACCGGGATGGTAGCGTCAGACGAGATATCAGGGGCAGCGATGGTAGCCTGAGAAGTCGGCATGGGCGGCAGGGCAACATGACCACCTTCAGAATGATGAGCATGTCGGGTCGGAGGCAAAGTGGGCTCGGCCATGGATTGCGTGGGGCCTGGTAAGACGGGGGCCTGAGGTTGCACAAAGGCGTGCGTTGACATCGGAGGGGCGCGAGCCAGCACCTGCATCTTGGGAGCAGCAGTGACGTCGGGACGGGCGGGGATCACGGACTCGGCAGTGGTGGAAGTGGTGTTGAACCTGCGGGTGGGCTTGTCCTTCAAGAAGGTGTGCTCCTGACCAGGCTCAATGCACCAGTAGTTACCCTTGCCAGGGTCGTCCTTGGGACGCTCAATCTTGTAAAAGGCCTTGTGTAGGCTGAGGTTGTGGCGAATGCTATTCTGCCACCCAGCATCATTCGGCTTGTAAAATGAGTAGTTATCCGAGATCCACTTGTAGATTTGTGAGAGGGTAAGTCGTCGATTCGCCGAGCGGAGGATGGCCATGCCAATCAGGGTAGCGTAGCTGTGGCCAGGCTTGGTGCCATCGTCGACGATGGGCGGGAACGAATCGTGAGGGGGATCGTGATCTGATGCGAGTCGTCGGCTGCCTTGGCCCGCTTCGCAGGGCGGGGATCCTTGATGTTAGGGGCGTCCATCAATACACGCTTGCCATTAGGCTTCTGGACATGGGCCTCGAAAGTCGCCATGGCGGGGCCGGGTGCGGGATAAATGTTGGGTCGAATGTTCTCCTTGCCAAAATTGTGAATCGCGGGTTTCTGTGCTACGGTTTTGAACTTGGACAAGAAGGGCTTCTTCTGTAGCGAGTCCGTGGTGTGGTGAGCTGTGTTAGGGGTGCCATGGGCATTGGCTGAAGCTTTCCGGGTTGGCCCGCCGCCAACGCCGCCAAAGCGTTCTGAGACTGTGCAGGCATCATTTTATGGGGCGACATCCTGACTTGACCAGGACGAGCTGGGGGTTAAGAACGACATTGCTGTTCGCGGCTTGAAGGGGCCTTCTTTGCCTAGGTGCGATATTTGTGGGCATGGGGGCCATGGCGTTGTAAGCGGATTGCATGGGGTTCTCGAAAACCCCGTCCTGGAAAATATTGAGAGGTTCGTTAGGCGCGATGAACCGCGTCGGGTTGGCCATTTTGGCCGCGTCAACAGGGCAAAGATGTTTTGTAACGATAGATCGGCTGCTCGAACACGTTGGAAATCCTATAGCAGGTTCAACTTGTTAGAGATTGCTCCTCGCACACGGAAGCACTCGCAGGCGTCCAAGGGGAGGAAGCCGAGGCAAGGTGGTGGCTGGAAAAGCGCGTCGGTGACACGACGGTGCAGCCTAGTGGTGATGTCTACACACCTAGAGCAGATACGACTGAGCTTCAAGGCTCGATCGATTGAATAATGCGTCGTTGGGTTGGAGATCGAAGCGGGTCGAGTCGATGGATGTGGTGCGACTGCCCAGCAGTGAAAGCGTGATGTCGAGTTCGACGCGTTGAGTAGGAAGCGAGTCAAAAGTCCGGCTACGAGGCGGCAGGTATTCGAGCAGGGTGGGAGAAAAAGGGGACCAAGATGACTCCGCAAAGGATGTTGTGGAATGGAAGTTCACGAGAAAGGAACGGAATCGAGGTCAAAGGGAAGAGGAGGAGGAAAAGGGAATGAAGTTGGAGAGGGGAAGTGAGAGTGACAAGAGAGAAAGCGGGTGGAAGGGGAGGAAAGAGGTATATGGGAGGGGAGGGTGGGAATTAGGTAGAATCGGGATGGAAGGAGCGAGTGAGAAAAAGAGGCGCGGCAGGGCCGATGAGACAGGCCAGGCCCCAGTGTTCGTAGCGCCGGGGCTGTAATTAGCAGCACGAGCACTGTGGAATGCTGGACGTGGCACGCCCCGGCCAGGCCACACGCACGACGTGACTGAGCGGAAGATGGCACTGTACGTGTACGGTCCTTGCTTTCGTGCTGTAACACAGTTGACCGTAATGGCTGGCTGGACGTGCACCGGCTACGGTTGTAGTGACATTGATCTGGGACGCAAACGCCGACAGTCGTGACCCGTCGTTCTTCCCCGGCACGCACTGGGGACGGTGAGTGCTCCGTCTTTCATCAATCTCAGGTTGGAGCCGGTGGCCAGGGCAGATCAGCGATGCAAAGGATCGATGTACCCTACCGCCCAACCACACCACGCTGTCTGTCTGCGACTTTTGATGCTCCAGCATCACGTCCTAGACCAGACCCATCTTTGATCCAGCAGCCCAACGTATTACAGGAAATCTAATCTCTCCAATGATTCTCTTCGTCATCTCCACCACATGGGCTTCTTTTCATTTTCCTTGCCTTCTTCTTTCACTTCTTCAACCCGTTTGCCAAAGCAAAAGTCGAGGGCGGCTAAGGACAGGCTGGAGTGGACGGATCAATGTAACCAGTGACAAGCGGGTGCGTGGACACACGCGTGCCAGCGCAGCAAAGAGCGCTGGGATGCACCTTCTCTGTTCGATAATGCGATGTTCTATCAGGCGGAGGTACCAAGGTACCGCCGCCAGTGCTCCGTATCGCACGTTGAAAACCAGCGAACCACGGACAGGACACGACCAAAACGCACCGTCTAACAAGTCGGCCTCGTTCCGTCTGGCCAGTCCTTTTCAGGCCTGGAATGAAGAGCCACACCCTGCACTCAAACCGACTGCGCGGACTGGCTGAGGCAGGACGCAAGGGCAGTGGGGGATTTTGGAGACGAGTCGCCCCTCGGTTGGCTCGCTCCCATGCACATGCACCTGGATTGGCCGAGAGAAGTGCGGCTTGACACGAATGAAAAATGAAGAAGAAAGGAGAGAAAAAGAAAAGAAAACGACGCGGCTACTCGTGCAATCTGTTACAGGTTTACACTCTCGACCCAGCCTTTTTTAGTCTTGAGGTTTTCTCCTCGAGTCCCTTCTTGGGGGCCGCTCTACTTGTAAACTAGTGTCTCTTCCATCTTGATATCCAAGGGAAGGGGTAGAGTGGATTGTGGAGGTGGGAGATATTCTCAAAGCATGTTGCGTTCGGAAAAGTATTCAAGAACAGTGTGACGGAGGAAGGGTGTCATGGCCCGATCTAGACACGGGCTGAGTTCTGGGGAGAGGCCTGAGAGCGGGAGATGAGGGGTTTCAATTTGATGCGCGTTTCTGCAAAGGCAGGGCCATGCACTTTAAGGGCCAGGGCAGAGCAGGGCCCGCGACGACAGCGCGACGTGCCAATGACTGGCACTGACAGCACTGGCGTGGGTTTCTTTATCCGACTTGGGGAGGAGGGATCGGACTCGCACGCACCAGGATTAAGAGCCCGGAGGGGAATATCACCCGAGTTCGTGATGCTCAGACGGTCCGGGATGATGATCAGAGAAGATGAAGAAGTACCGGACGGGAGGGAATGGCGTGAGCGAGAACCGAAACTCTTCGAAAACGGTTTGATTGAAAAGGCAGTTCAAGACGGTTTTTCCCTCTCGTCTGGTTCCTCCTCTAATTCCTTTTTCTTCGTCCTTGGGAAGGAGGGTTTCGGGATCATCCTATAACTGGGGCTAGTGGTCCATGGTCTCAGTGCCGGCGAGTCTCTTAAACTCGTGGTGGGTACGGCTGGAGCAAGATCTCCTCCTCCTTAGACAGAATACCTTGGAGCAAGAAGGGGTCGAAGATTGTACATGTTTAGCTTTTCGGCTCGATAGATCGATGGCAGTGCACTAGTGCCAGCACCGGTACCAAGACGATGCGGAAAGCATGCAGCTAGCCTTGCAATGCTACTCCCAACTTGGGGAAGTTTCTTAGTGTCGGGTGAGCTGGGAGCACGAGTTCAGTATTATTGCCCAGCTTGCCCAGCTTGCCCAGGTGCATCAAAGACTTGAAAAATCGATGGGGGCCTACGCATCCGCTTCTACTTCGTACGTCTATATTCAATTGTGCATCAACCCCACGATTTCTGAGTCGTCGAAGCTCCCGTCTCGCCGGCCCAGCAGAAACGGCATACAGGACGGCATTGATGGGCGTAGGATCTATAGTATCTAGATTTTTCCTTTGTTCTCTAGTGAAGTTCCCACGGCCGGATAGCTTCGACTTGCGGGGATTCTCGGGGGCAGTCTCATTGAGCCATTCAAAGAGAAAGGAAAAAAGTTTCCCGGCAAATGTCGCTAGCGGTGGGGCCTCAACCTCTTAATCCCCATCTCTTGCTTCGTGCGTGCCTTTACGTGTCTTTGAATCAGCTCACATCCAAGGAGACCTCCCCGTCCGGCCCACCACGGCAAAAGAAAAGAAAAGAAAAGAGAAGAAAAAATCCTGTTCCTCTCGGTTGCGCTGGAAAAGAGCAAAGTGTGGGAAATGCAACTTAATACTCGTTTTAGAGCCATTTTTTCATGCATGTGCGCACTAGACCGAGCTGATCGCCCAGTTTCCAAGGATTGATACATTGATACGATGGAGGTGGGTGCGACGTAATCTATCCCTCTGGTCTAGCGAGAACAAGGACCGGTTTTCACTCGATCTCGATTCCCTTGAATCATTCGTACTTGTAGATAAGGCCATCAGGTTTAAGATACTCTCATGATGAGGGAAGAAAAACGGGAGCACGGCGAGGAGAATAATACGGAGGCGGATACTTTCAGTCCGCAGGTAAGCACGGCGGAGTTGTGTCTGATCTTCCTCTCTTATTTTTGGGAAGATCGTTCCTCGTGCTCCTGGGAGATGGGCGCATGATTCCGGCCCCAACAAGTTTCGTCGTGACGCCACTTGCGAATTCCGTTTGGCGAAGTTTCGGTCTATTTCGAGTGGGGTCATCCATGGATCGAGCGATGGAGAGGGGGACCGAGGAGAGAGAGAAAAGGTACAAGGCGTTGAACCACGGACGTTTAATAGAATACTTGATGACAAGTTGATGCGCCCATTTCCACCCCAAAAGTCTGATTAGGGTTTATAGTTTACCAAGTACGAACATTTGCAAAGCCTCTCTTAGTCCAATATCGCCTTTTAACACTCGAGATAGCAGATACTCCCCCACAAAGAAGGCAGTAGAAGGAAATAAAAGTACAGGATAAAAAGAGATCCCGTAGCTTTTCCGAGAGGAAGAGAATCCAATGTGTGCGCAGCCAAAAAGAAAGAAGGAAAATTCCCTCTCCCTCTCTTCTCCTTTGCCGCGCGCGGTTTTCAAGAGCGGTCACAGGAAATTCGTGAGATGAAGTCTAAACCAGTCGACGCGTCCACACGCGTTGTTTTGAAACGCGAAAGTTGAACGTCGACATGCAGCCAATTAAAGGGGGATCGACCGGCGGACGGCTTTCGGGTGGGGAAAGGGCGGCGGCGTGTGTGTGCGTGGGTGCCAAGGGTGCGTGGGTTGAGGGAAGGGACAGGCCAGAGGGTTGGTCGGAGGAATTGATCCCTGGTTTGGGTTGGTCAGAAACCCGGGCCAAGGCTAACCCTGATTGGCTGGTTTCGGGCTGCAGGTGCGGTGCAGGAGGAAACGACTTGTTGGACAACCACAAACGACCGTCGAGGCCAATGAATGACGGGATGGGGGCGTGAAACCAAACGCAAGTTCTCTCGTTCTCTTTGCGTTCTCATTGATGTTCTCTGCACCCAGCTGATTCTCCAAAAGAGGGGACCTTAGGCAGTTCTTGCGGGGTGCTGATGGCTAAAAACCCTTATCGAAACCCACCAACGCGAAAGCACATGCTACCTCCGAGGAACCTCCGGATGAGGGATCCATCCGTGATCATCTCATCGCGCACGCACGCACATGCAGGCAGGCAGCCCCTCAAAAATTCAAAGTACTTGCAGCACGAGAACCATCAATATCATTCGACCTTGATAAAAAGAGGATACGAAGTACCCAGTGTACTTGGCGTCTTCTTGAGGATCTGGGGACCCAGTGTCTTATCGCGATGAAACATCAAGTGGTCACTCGAGAGCAGAGGAGCATGAATACAGGGAAGATGGCGAGTGCAGAGCTATCAGGAACAGGAAGGAGGACAAGATGAAAAAAGCAACCTGCCACCCTTTAGGTCTCCCAAGAATGTTCGGCCCCAGAGGTCCCGAGGCATACGCTATGAATCGCCGATCCACTCATATCGGGGAAAGGGTGTGGGTTCGGGATTCAGTTCGTTGGGCTCCAACGCCGAATTCAATCCACCTGCCCCAAGACAAGCTTCTTATCTACGAACAGAGGTAGAGTGAAGAGGGTAGAAGACTCGCGGGGCAAAGGGGAAGGAAACAGAAGTGGCATGAAGAAAGAAAAAGGACTTGATGTACCCGCGGCCATCAAGTTCTTGAGCCTGTTTCGGGGCGTAGCCAAACACTCCGGGATGAACAAGATCCTCCCCGATACCTCAGCACCTCTTTTTTTTTTTTTTTCTTCGTCATGACGATCTCGAGAGAATTCCATTCCTCGTGAAAAAAGCCCCCACTCTTCCTTACCGTGCAAAGTTCAAATGTTCCGTCAATGGTCGTGCCCAAGCCTCGCTCGAAAACCCACTAGCGTGTCATCCCGAGCCAAGCTAGTCACCTCATCCCGACATCATAGCCAATATCAACTCGGCCTCCAGCTCCTGTGCCCTTCCCTCCCCCGTCCAGTCCAGTCCACCAACCCAGTCCAGTCCGACCCACCCCCGCCGGCGTCCCATGCTCAAAAAACCCAGCATCTTATAGCAAGGGTGAGCTGGCAGACGGGCCTGTGCAGAAAACACAAAAGAACGGCAAGAGGCGAAGGGGAAAAGGAAAAATGGACCAGTGATGGCGCGGGCTGGCCCAATAAACCGGCCCTTGTCAAGCCCGCCTGGACCCATGATCACTTTAGACATTCATGCATGGAAACTAGCCTACCCTAGCCACAGTCGCAGTCGTAGTCGTAGTCGCATTTTTTTCTTCTTTCCCTCCCCTTCTCAATGGCGATGGAGCTAGCGACAGAGAGCCGCCGTTTGGGTCTTGGCTGTGGTGCAAGTGGCTTGCGCCAGTGTGTTCGATTGCGAGAATGGCGTCCATGTCCCTGGCCTTGGGGCTTGACTTGAGAGTGTAAATGGATCTATTCCATTCAATCCAGTTGGATCCCCCCTCCACGACGTGAGCAATATTCTCCTCGAGGAGACCATTCGTCACCTCACTTTCCACCTTCTCTTCAGGTTTCAGGTTTCAAGAATCGGAGGAGGAGAGTCTAGAACACTTTCGTAGTTGATAACCAGATGTCGTCAAAACGTTCGGTGGCTTGCCCTGAAATCACGCCATGGGGAGCGGAGGTCAGCCTCGAACTGAGCCCTTTCTATTCACGCTTACCGAAGGGCCTCTTCAGCTCCAGGTGCCGCGATAAGGGGTCCCAGTGGCTAAGAGAAGGATGAGAAGAAGGAAAGTGGGTTTCCCCGTCCTCTCCGATTTATCCACATCTTCAGTCTGGAAATCGTGCTGAAGATCCCCGATCCAACAAACGTCCTTCCGATCTCAGCTCCGTCTCTAGTACGGCCGTGCGGTTAAAATGTTGCAGGCCGGGACTTTTTTTTGCCTTTTCAAGTACCAGGCTCCATCTCCACTCCCCTTCTCGCATGTCAAAATTGTGAGTGACACCTGGATGGTCAGGTCAGCCTGATCAACAATCGTGTTTAGTTCAGTTCCATACCAGCGTGTATTAGTGTATCCCTAGTCCGGGAACCGGCTCATGCAGACTTTGCATTCTTTTTATCCTTCTTGCTCCCCGCCGGATGAGTACCTTGTTTAACTCTTCTGTCGGTCCTATCTACAAATCTTTGCAGGGGTTTGTTCCTTTCATCGACAGCCTTGGGCTTGGCTTTTCGTTCTCCAGACATTCAGATAACCGATGACATCAATGTAGACCACTTGACCCTCTAGTGTAGTTCGATAGATCCTCCATTCCACCCAGGTCTCCACCTTCAGCCAAGATGTCTTGCCTTTTTCCTTTTTTCCTTTTTCTCGTCTTCCTTTGCCCGGCCTCGTTTTGCACTCTCATCCCTCTCCATGACCGTGTCCATGTGTTGCTTTTTCCCACGTAGATCCACACAGCCATTTCTTTCCTTCTTCCTTCTTCTCCCTTATTACGGACCCGCTCTTCTTCTCATCGTCTCCGCAGTGGTTGGTCCGGCGCAGGGTTTGCCTTTCGGCATTCGCGTCGCGTCGAAGGACATGATCGTCCCTCCTTCATGGTTTGGCTTGGGGTCTTCCTTGTACTCATGGTGGTGGCGTCCTCTTGGCTGGACTCGATCAAGCCCTGGACGATCCAGGAGACAATATGCCCCCACCTATTCTAGTCCCCATTCGACTAAACCGAATAAATCCCTCTTGAACTATGATATATCATCCATTATACCGAGTGTTAGGATACAAAAATGAAGAAGCGATGGAAATACTGAGAGTGTTATTTCCACTGAAGCGAATGCAGTCTGTTTTCCTTCTTTTGAGGTGGCGGGGCATGCAATCATTCGTACATGTAATGTAAGTATACCAAGGTAGATGTAGCTGAAGAAGGAAAGAAAAGTAAAATACAAAATAGAATGGGGCTGTTAACAATGGTTTCACAAGACATGGATCTATGTGAGGCCAACACCGTAAAGAAGTGTAGTTCAGCTTCTTCCCCCGTTTTGCCCATGACCATAGTATATCTTCCCCTCATCAGATCTTCCACCTCGTGTAGCACATCGCTTCGTATAGCTTTCAGGCACCACCAGGGCGAAAGGCGAACTCTCCGTTTCAGAATCATTTCGCCAATTCGCTAAAGAACCCAGGAGCGGGTGAGCACATGCAGATAGGGTCTTTGCGACCTTGTCTCCGATTAACAAGGCTGGTCCCACCTCCAAGCAGAAACATTTACGCACGCATGCACCCACGCTAACCAGCCCTTTCCTCTCCTCTTTTGCTGCCCGCTTTTCCTCCTGTGCCGCGGTGGAGAGGCAGATGAGGCCCCAAAAAGAGAAAGCGTGGGGTAGGCGGTATCTTATTGAATGCAAAGAGGGGGCAAGGCAAGGGGAAAAAAAAGGAGGAGGAAAGGGGAAGAAGAGACAGCGGCCGCAACGGGGAATCTTGGTGACAATAGTCAGATATTGAAAGTAGGGGAGGTCCCAGTGATCCAGCTTGATCGGGTTCTCGTCTCGAGAAGGGGCACGTAAATTCAAAGAGAGAGAGGGGTAACTTCATCCCTCTTTTTTCTTTTCCTTTTCTTTCTTCCTCTCTCCTCTTCTCCCTACTGTTCCCCGTGTCGAGTATACAGCCGACGAGACATCCACTTAGACCAAGGAGACGAGCCTCCGAGAACGTCTCTTCCCCTCTCGCTTCCGTTGTTCGTCCCCCTCCCTCCAGCTCGAAACACGGCACCGATATTATACCGGGAAATCCGGGGCAAACCCGCCGTCTCCCGTTTCCCGTTAATTCTTGCCCTCCCTCTCTCCCAAAACCCATCCCCAGTAAACATTGCTTTCGCTTGACCCCCCTCCTATTGACTTACTAGTACACCATCCTGTGAGTAATACAACCTGCGCCCTCGTTCTTTTGCTTCTCTCAAGGGGCAAGCAAGGGTTTCTGGGGATGCTAGAACTTGCCTTTTAGGGAAGAAGTAAACTTGGGGTTCTTTTCCTCTTCTCCCTCTATTTTTCCATCTCCTTTTCTTCCATTGGCCTGTTCCCCGCCACTCTAGCCACCGGTTTCATGTCTTTGATAACCACGGTGAAATGCCCGAGCCTTTGCGGCATCTTTTCAGGTACTAGAGACAGGCAAGGAGAAAAGAGCCGGATCTGAAAAGGGGGAGGAGACAAGTCTTACTACCCAAGGCCTACGTGTGCTCAAGCAAAGTGAAGGGGTTTCCTGGGCCTTTCAGCCTTGTTCATCTCTTAGATCTTGTATGAAGCAAGGTGTTTGGTTGAGACTGACAAAGGGATTGAGATCCCCGAGCACGGGTGGATGTTCGTCCGTCAAGTCCCACTTTACAAGTTTACAAATGAGGAGTGGCAGAAAATGTCAACAATCAATAGACTTCTTTGAAAGGCGTCACGTCACGGTGTTGACTCTAGCTACCTGGATCAACATCTGACCACTCATCCAAGTCCAAAGAGCACGCGTCGCCGCAAGAGACCAGCGCTTGCTTTCGGAAACGAAACCTTACCTTCCTGACATAGCAAGTACATTCTTCCAGTGGACTAAGACTGAGCTGAGAGGAGAGCATGGGGTGACACGGAAAGAGACAACACCTCAACGACGATAACATGATAAACAGTAGAAATTCAATTGATGTAGATACAAGATGTGGCAAGGGCTTAACCAATTATCGTCTCCCGCCCCAGTAATCATTATCAGAGGTGTGCGTTGACGTGCATTGGCGAATAGTACGATTGCTCCACCCCTTCCATTTCAACTAGTGACCTGTACCCACCTCAATCCAAGACGCGTCCAGCAAACGATGATGCGCTCTTGTCCTTGGTCGTGGTTTTCTTGAGCATCGCTCCGGCCTGGATCTGACCCAAGAGGCCGGCCGGTCGGCCTCCGCCAGGTGGTGCGGCGGGAGCACTTCCTCCTCCGCCGAGGCTAGGCATAGGAGGCGGGGGCGGGGGTCCAGGAGGAGCAGGCGCGCCCATGTTTGGCATGGGAGGGGGCGGCGGCGGCGCAGGGGCAGACGGAGCACCAAAGTCAGGCACAGGGGGCGGCGGCGGGGAGGAGCGGCCGGAGCTGCGGTGGGAGGCAACGGGGGAGGGGAGGAGGCGATGTGGCCGGTGCGCTAGTAGGCACTGGTGGGGGAAGAGGAGGTGCGGGGGAGGCGCACTCGGAGACTCTTCCGGAGATGGGGCCTGCGGTGCGGATGCGGGCGGCGGGGAGGCGGCGCTGGTGGAGGCGAGGTTGTCTGCATCGGGGGTGGGGGCGGCGACGTGGCCTTCTCATCGGCAGCAGAGAGTGGCCGAGGGGGTCCCATGGCGCCAAAGAGCATTTGCGCGAGTTGCGCGGCCTTGGCGCCGCCGGGTCGTCCATCGTCCGACTCATCGTCCGACTCATCGTTGTTGTCGGAGCCCCAGCCGTCGTCGTCATCGTCGGCGCGCTTGCGGGAGATGGTAGGTCCGGGGACGAAAGGCGCCGATGACTGTCCCTGTTGTGCCATTCGGTGGAATGGATTCGTAGACTCTGCCGGTGCCGAAGCGGGGGCAGACTGGGCAGACGGGGCAGGCGGGGCGGGCGGGGCGGGGGCGCTAGGCGCTTGGGTCTCGGCCGCTGGCTGCGCCATCATCTTGAACCAGGGGTTCTTGCTTTCCGTGTCCGTAGGAGGCGTGGCCGCCGGAGCTGCAGCGACGGCCGCCGCGGGCTGTGGGGAGAGGTGGTCGACCGCTCCAGTTCCTGGCTGCCGTGTGTGGCGGTTGACTCGGGGGCGTGATTTGCTGCGGGCCTTCCTCATCGCTTGATGAATCCTCATCGTCTTCCGCTTCAAGCTGACGCCGGAGCTCTTCCTCGCGTCGTTGAAACTCGGCACGCTCCGCCGCGAGCTTGGCCTCACGATCCCTCGCCTCCTTCTCCTTTGCCTCTCGCTCCTTAGCCTCTCGCTCTCTGCCTTCCGCCAACGCGGCCTTCTTTCGCCGTTTCTCCTCCTCCTTCTTGAGTTTGTTCTGCTTTACCTGCTCTTCCAGAGCCTTCAGACGCGCCTCCGCCGCCTCTCTCTCGCGCTCCAGCTCGCCCCTGTTAGTGCTAGTCAGATAGTTAGTAAATGGAGAAGAAACGCTTCTGAGGGTAAATGTGGACAAAGATGGACCGGGGTTGACGTACGCTTCTTCGCGGGCTGCGGGTTCCTGCTGGGCGGGCTGCTCCTTAGCCGTCTTTCGTGAGGGCGGAGGTGCTGGCTTGCGACTTTCGCTCTTGGTAGGCTCGGGAGCAGGAGGAGGAACGCCCTGTTCGTCCGCAAGCCTCGCCTGCCGTTCTGCCTCCCTCCGCGCGTCTTCTTCTTCAGCTTGTCGCAGCTTCGCGGCCTTCTCCGCCCTCTCGCGCTCGAGCCTCTGTGCTGCCGTCTCTCCTGGTTTCGAAGGAGCCTTGATTCCCAAAGCGGCAAGCCTTTCAGCCATTCGCTGCTCCGCTTGCTGCTTGATAAAGGCGGCACGGTCCTCTGGCGTCTTGTACGACGAGTATGAGTTACCTCCCGCGGTAGTCGAGGGCGACGCTGTTGATCGCGGAGGAGGCGTGTCGTTCCTGAAGGACGCCTCGGGCTGGGACCGAGGGGCGGGCTCGGGAGCACGTGTGCTTCGAGTGTCTTGGGACCGGACGCGAGCTGATCGGCTGGAACGCTGCATGTCGAAGATGAAATCGCGGACCTCGTCCTCGACACCTAGTCCATCCTCCCACCGACGCCGTTCGTGTTCGCTGGTCGAGTCTCGGCCGCCGTCCTTCAAGTTATCCTCGAGGCCCTTGGCAAAGTCGCGAACACTGTCCTCGACATCACGGACCATGCGCTCATTATTTTCCTTTTCGGTCCTGGCTTTAAGGCTCTCCTCTTCCAGACGCTTAGCGGCATCTTCGTCGTTGCTGATATCGACCTTTTTGCCAGTGAGTGCGGCTGTTCGTTGCTGCATCATGGCCTTGGCCCGAGCCTTGAGCCTGTCCGATTCCGTGACCATACCGCCCGGTCCAGTGCCAATGATTGCGGCGGCGCTGCCGGGGTTGGTCTTGGCGTCCTTCAATCGGAAAAGTTCCATTCGCGCGTCTGCAATCGCCTTTTCGGTCTTGCGGACCTCTGAGGCGAGCTGGGGGATGCGATCGGTGAGGTTCTGAAGCTGGCGCTTGAGAGCACGCCTTTCGGCATCAGTATCGCCCGAGACATAAGAGACATAAGCAGAATCGGGGTGGTTATCAATATCCTCTTGGATCCGGCGGACACGGCGGTACAACTCTTCTGCCTCCCGACGATCTCTTCGGTCGAGAATATCATCTTCCTCAGTGTTCCTCTCATCCTTAAAGTCGACGGCATCGAGAAGGACCTGCTTTTCGCGAATCTTCTTTCTCAACTGATCCAAGCTGAGATCATCGTTGGACGTCACAGAGGAGACAGGCGAGTCGGGCCTAGGAGAACTGGTTCCGATTCTACGGCGCGCGCTCGACTTGTAACCGATATCGTCGTCATTATTCCTAAAACTTGTGGCATCTTTGCGTCCAAATGCGGCGCCCGTGTTGCCTCTGAGCGAGTGGGACTTGGCATAGTTGACGCCGGTGCGTTGGGGAAGGAGGGCAGCACCAGAGTTCTTTCGGAGCTCTGATTCTTCGTGTAGCATCGACTTCATTGCCCCAATGGACTGGTTGATGTTTCGCGTTGATGGCGGCACAAGTTCCGGCGGTAGATTGTTAGGGACTGGGTAGCCATTCAACTTTCGGTAGATCAGATGCATGGCCACGGCGAACTCGTCGAGATTGAGGCGACCCTTGTTGCCGCTGTCGGCGAGCGTCCAGATGCGCTCGAGGTCGGGCTTCTCCAGTCCGCTCTGACCAAAAATTTCAATGGCCTGTGAGCCGGCGATAAACCCCTTACTCATGCCATCCCAAGCGCGGAAAAGGCCGTCATATCGATGCTTCTCATCCTTCGTGATCGCCCAAGGAATCACGGCGTTGCCTTGCAAGCCTGCGGTTGTAAAGCTAGACTGCTCGCGCCCTTGCTGAGGCATCATACGGGCTTGAGGGCATCGATATTGGGTAGGCCAGAGGCGGGGTGTTGACGAGTCCCCACTGGCCCGGTCGGCCGGTCGGCTGCGCGTTTAAGGGCGCCGCCATACCGGTTGATAGGCTCTGGCCGAATCCGGTGGGCATGGGTGGCATGGGAGGGCGCGGGCCGTTGTAACCAGTAGCAAGAGGGTTGGACATTCCTGGGAATCCGGTTTGCTGAGGCTGCATGCCTTGAGGCTGGCCGAAGCCGGTCTGTTGTTGCCCCGGGAATCCAGTCATTTGTGTTTGCAGGAGCTGGGAGTTCGATGCCTGCGGCTGAGGTTGGTGAATAGTGGGCGGGGAGGTGGTGTTCTGCCTGGCAAAATCGGGCGCGTTTGTGGCCGGCGCAGAAGCAGCCTCCTCGGCAACACTAAAGTTAATAATATCGACCATGCTTGACACTTCGTTCTTGATGTTATCCGGAAGACTTGGGGGTAGCTGCTTGCCAGTAAGTTTCAGGTTGCATAGGTACATGGCCAAAGCGAATTCGGGGAAGTGAAGCTGGCCAGACCGGGTGGTATCGGCAAGGGTCCTAGAAGAATGGCATGTAAGTCACTATGCCTAGTAGGAGTGGGAGGCATGTGCGAGGTAGGGTCTTACCAGATATGTGATAGGGTATCACCGTCGAGCCTGGACCGGAGGAGCAGGTCGCGAGCCTTGTCACCGGCAATGGTCGTGGCTGAGTCACCTACTTGAGCCTTGAACAAGCCCTCGAATTTGGCTTGATCTTGTGCGGTGATAAAGGACAGCCTGATATTAGGGATCTTGTTGGTCGGCTTCGGGGGAGGAGGAGGAACCGCCGCTTTCGGTGCTCCTGTGTGGAAGGAGGCTGCCATCTCCGAGAACCCGGTGGGCTGAGGCTTCTGCACCGGTGCGGGAGGTGGGGCGACCGGGTTCAATTGACTTGAGAAGAGAAGCCAGTCGGCTGTGAGATCTGAAACTGCGGTGCCTGGAGCTGCTGATGCTGTTGTTGTTGCTGTGGCTGCTGCTGCTGCTGCTGCTGGAACTGCTGCTGATACTGCTGAGGAATGGACGGCATCGGTGGTGCTTGAAGCCTTGCGGGCCACCGGGGCCGGGCATCCCCGTGTATTGATTCTGGAGGGACATTGGAGGCTGCTGCTGCTGCGGCATGCCAGTCGCCTGGGATGCCATGGGAAACCCGGTGAACTGCTGCTGCAGAGGAGCTTGGCCAAAGCCTGTCGGCTGAGGGGCGAAGGGACTAGGCTGTTGTTGGCCCATGGCCTGCTGGCCGACGCCCATTCCGAAGGGGCTCCCATATTGCTGTTGTTGGCCAGGCCGCTGGCTATTTCCGCCTAGATAGGCGTTTGAATTCGAGTACATCGCGGATTGGGTCGATGGCAAGCGTTGCGAATCCCAGTCAGGTTGGGGGAGCTCGATTTGCGGGAGGTTTAAAACCGGTTAGGAAAAAGGAAATCAGGAGAAACTTGAAGAAGAGGCGCTGTTTCGGACCCGCGCTACATGTGCGGAGACACGGCGGGGGAACGTTATTCCAGCTGGGAGAGCAAGGGAAAAATATTAGGAGACGGAACTGAAGTTGATGGAAGCGAGATAAACCTAGGAAATAAAGACGTCGCGATAGCTAAACGGGCAGTGCAGAGCTGGATGAGGTGGCCCCGAGAGTGATGACGACTGGGGGCTCCAGAAACAACAGGGACGAATGGCTCAGGCGAACTTCATCCTCGAAAATAACGCTCATTGGTTGGTTGACACCTCTAGCCGGATGCTGCAGATGAAGCAGGCTCCAGCTTTCGATGGGAAAGGGGCCAATAAAACTCATGGCGCTTACATAATGATCTAATCTCTTCATCTCTCGAACAAACACTAAAATCTCCTAATCCGGTAAGATCTCCCGAAGTTTGAGCTTCCCATCCTCGAGAACGAAGCTAAGAAGAGGCCGACACAACTCCGAGGACGGCGAGTTCTCGACCTGCGGATGGACTTGAATCGTCACTTGTGCCCTAGTGCAGGCCATCCCCGCGAAGGTAAAATTTTTGCTCCCGAAGGGAAGCGGGGCTCCCAGTACATGGATGGGTGTAATATACCTCTGTTCTAAATTCATGTCATTAAATTCGAGGCTTTGGAAGGCTTTTAGCCATGGCCAGCAATTAACAAAACGAGGTGGTACATTCGCGGCCGAAAGCCACAATTTTGTCTACGCTCTATATTCCAACTCCCCCTTTTGGGCTTGCCTTTAGACCCCTTTAGAAAGCAAATACCTGGTCCTCAAGCTTGCTCACAGGCCTGGCTTTCTTGTAGCCAAGGGCCTCGGTGGCCTTCTTAAGACCGCTCACCATGGGAGGCGGGCCGCAGAGAAGAATCTTGACGTCTTCAGCGGGCTTGGGGAGGTATTTCTGGAGCATCAGTTAGTAATGCTTGTCGGGGAAGCGAGCCGAGGCGCTGGTAATCGTGTAGGAGGAGAACTTACGGTGATCATCTCAGAGGTAACATAGCCGACGCCGCCGGTCCAGCCCTCGGGGGCCTGTCAAGAACGTAGTGGACCCGGATACCGGCGTCTTCCTTAGTGAGCGCGTCGAGGTCCTCCCTAAGAAGGATGTCCTGCTCGGTAACGTTGGCGAAGATGAGATCGACTTCGGTCTTGTCACCTGCGGCACGTCCGCGGATGATGGCCTTGACAACCTGGAGCATGGGGTGATACCGGTGCCTCCAGCGATCATGCCGAAGTGGCGGACCATGTTGGGGGTATAAACGAAAGCACCCTTGGGACCACGAACGCGGATGGTCTGGCCAATGGCGAGGCCGGCCAAGTTCTTGGAGATGTTGCCAGTGGGATACGACTTGACGAGCAAGTCGAAGTGGCCGGGCTGATCATCACCCGAGATGGGGGTATAGGAGCGGACAACCTCCTGGCTGGTGCCGTCATCCTTGGAGATGGTGGCGCCAATGGAAATGTGCTGGCCGATGGGGAGGCCGAGGATGGAGGTGGGCGAGGGCAGCTTGAATCGGTAACTAACACACCCAGCCTGATTAGTTAAATTGCCTCGCGCATCGAATAGAAGGGGATGGCTTACATGGCGACATTGTGGGAGATGATGGTCTTCTCGCTGAGCTCAAACTCCTGGAACGTGTCGGGAATGAGAACCTTCTTGGGCTCTAAGGCATCGCGATGCGTTAGCGAAACTGCTGCGTCCGTGGCGTACTAGGCGAGGAGGGAACTTACGGAGACCGTAGAACTTGAAGCCGGCGAGAGCTACAGCAATAGCGGCGGCATAAGGGACAAACTCCTTCTTCATGATCCATGTGCCGAACACAATGAGACCCGCGGGAATATACACCGCATCGAAGTAAGAGCGCGAAAAGAGAGATTCGCCCATTGCGAAGGAAAGGTGAGGAGGAAGAAAAAAATAAGAAAGAGTAAAGGGGAAGAGGAGCGAATCAAAAAGAAGCCGCAGGCTGTCTTAGTCTTTGATTCTCAAGATGATGAGCTTGACGCTGAAGATCTCAAGGACCACCACAGATAGGGATTACGTCCAACTGGCCTGGAGAAGAGGATATTGAGGGGAGAAGGAGGGATCGGAATCGGAGTGGGAGGTCGGGAGCATTAAAGGACTGGAGGGCGTCGTTAGTAGCGCCAAATATGGTCCGAGTCGAGGCCGGCAGTTTTTCGCGGTCGCTGACCCCAACTTTTTTCGGCATGGGTCCCCTTTTTTGGGGCACCTGCCTCTTCTCCACCCCTCAACACATTGGGACACGGAACCTTCTCCTGCCTCCAGCTCTGCCTGGCGTTGGATAATCTCGCAGGAACCTTACCAGCCACACAAAACTCGGCCGGGCGCGCGCTTAGTCAACACTTTCTTATCGATAAGGACACAGCTGCTCCCACATGTGCCTTGACAAGCTGGCGCTCAGCGTGAAGCATAATCGGTGGCAGTCAACCTCAAACTTCCACGCGTTCATCTCATCCATATATTCCTTCTCGCCCCCTCGGGCATGTGTGACTCGCTATAAGTCGTCACTACCCGACCGCATCCGTCCTTAATTATACTTCAAAATTTTGACCCTTGGCGCCAATTCATCTGCTATTCGGAATGAGCGGAGAGGGCCCGATCGAGTCGATCGCCGAGCCTGGCATCAAGGCGACTGGCGAGGTCCTCCAGACCATGAGACATGAAGTCGCCCAGCTCTTAAATAGGCACCAGAGGTCATTTCCTGGAGCGCAACCGGTCAGTTTCACCAGGGCCCACCTGGAAGAATTAAGAAAGGAGGAGTAAGTTTTCTGGATACCCCTCTTTGTAAAACGCGACACCTTATTGCCGGCTTCGTTTTTGCTCACTCATCCGCTCTAGTTATTTTGTCTGTGAAAAATCGGATGGCATCCGATATCTACTCTACCTCACAGAGGATAATTATGGCAAAGAGGCACACTATCTCATTGACCGCAAAAATGAGTATTGGTACATTAACAACAAGAGCTTCCATTTGCCCACCCCAGGGGATCCAGTCCTTTCACGTCCAAACCCTGCTCGATGGAGAGCTTGTTATGGACAAGGAGGATGGCCGCCAAGTACCCCGATTTTTGCTATTTGACTGTTTAGTCATGGACGGCAAAAATCTCATGGAACGGCCACTTGATAAACGCCTCGCATATATCAAGGATCATATGTATGTTCCGTATAAGAGGCTGTTTCAGGAATTCCCCGAGGAGCTTAAATATCAGCCATTCGAGATCCTCATGAAGGATATGCAGTTTAGTTACGGAGTGGAGATGATGTTCAAGGATGTCCTCCCGAAATTGAAACATGGGAACGACGGCCTCATCTTCACGTGCCGAACTTCTAGTTACCGGCATGGAACTGATCCGCATATTCTCAAGTGGAAGCCTCCAGAGGAAAACACCATCGATTGCCGACTGAAACTTTTTTCCCCACCGTCGAGCCCGACGAGGAGGATATCGCCAACGGTGTCACGGAGCCGTATATCGACTACCACACTTTGGATCGAGTGGAGCTTTGGGCGTATATGGGCGATAGCCATCCGCGGTACCAAAAGTATGCTGATGCCTACATCTCTGAGAAGGAGCTTGAGGATCTTATCAACCTTGGGGATCCTCTCAATGATAGGGTCGCCGAATGCTACCTGGATGATGCGGGCCGATGGAGGATAAGTAGATTTCGAGACGACAAGCTAGAGGCCAACCACATAAGTACCCTCAAGAGCGTTATGAATAGCATCGAGGATGGCGTCACGAAACATGACCTTCTGCACGCAGCCAAGGCTGTAAAGGATGCCTGGAAAGCACGGAACTCCCGGCGCGGTGGCTAGCGATTTCCTTTGTTTTTGTCTTGTTTCCTTGTTTCCTTTATTCTTATTTGAAAGGCGTATCTGGGCATGGTTTCGAAAAGGACATCTTGGAGTGCTGGATCGCGAATACCCTTTGGAAGGAGGAATGAATGGGATCGAGGCTGGATATGCAATTACACGTACTATGTATCTTCATCCATTGGTGCATATGCATCAATCGCGTTTGGCTCCAGTGCCAGCGATACGCCATGCTCTAGTGCACGGACCCTTCTGAGCAGCAGCAGCTCTGTTGGCATCCCGCCATGGCAGCCTCGTAGCAACGACACACTGCCAAAAATTGTGAGACCGTCTTCTTCGACTGCAAAATCGATAGCGACGCCTTGCGCCTCCCTCCCTCCCAACTCGAAAACCACCCCGACTGCCCTTCCTCAGCACATTCCATACACGCTTTCATCTGGGAGAACGATGGGCCCAGAATTTTGAATGTTCATCTCGGCAACCTTTTCTCGCCAGCCTACGTCTTTTTCATTTTCGATACTCCGCCCATCGTGCCCTGGAACCCAGCGCTATCCGCGGCGAATTGGGGACGAAACCCTCCATCGCATCCCATTGAGAGCGGTCCTCCATCTTCTATAATAGCTCTCTCCCTCGAAATTAGATCATGGCGACAAACGGCGCGACGAACGGCGCTGCCGCCGGGCCTTTCAGCACGCGTTTTTCCGATATCCCCTCGACCATCGACATCCCGGTCGGCGATCAGCTCGACGAAGCTGTCGAAGTCAATCTTGATGACCTCATTGACGATCCAACCGAACTATGCACGCTTCTCGAGAATGAGGGCGCCGCCCGAACTTACTGGATGACGGTAGCGATGGCCTATGCCAAGGAGAGCAAGATCGACCACGCGATTGAGATGCTTATTCGAGCCGGCCAGGTCTTGCAGAACAGTACACCACGCGAGCGAGTTAGCATGACGTGTAGTCTATGCTGGCTTTATCTTCACAAGAGTAGGGAAGCACCGCGTGTGCCCCCGAGGGTGTTTTGGTCGCGGAAGCCAAGACCAAGGAGTACTACCTACAGCTCGCCACCTCGTCCCTAAACGATGCGTCGCGAATTAACCCGGCGTTTCCTCCTCTATTCCTAGCTCGTGGCGTTTTGCAGCTTCTGAAGGCATCTCTTCAAGCCCCCTCCGCCTCTACGGGCCCCAAGGCTGTTGATCCTGAACGGACCGAGCTGCTTCGACAGGCGCTCAAGTCATTCGAGGACGCGCTGAGAGTTTCTCAAGGAAAGAACATGCTTGGACTAATGGGAAAAGCGCGTGCCCTCTACTCGATGAAGAAGTACCCCGAGGCCCTTGTGGCGTACCAGGAGGTGCTTCGCAAGATGCCCAATCTCGTTGACCCGGATCCTAGAATCGGCATCGGCTGCTGTCTCTGGCAGAGCGGCTACAAGGATGACGCGAAGATTGCGTGGGGGCGATCTCTTGAGCTAAATCCCAACAACAAGTTTTCCAACATCCTCCTTGGTCTTTACTATCTCGACTCCAGCGGCCAGCTTCCAACCAATAGTGCCGAATTTATACGGCTATATAAAATGGCAATGACTGAGTACACCCAAAAGTCTTTCAAGCTGGACAAAAATCTGCCCCTCACTTGCGCCACTTTTGCGGGCTACTTCTTGTCCCGCAGATCTTTGCAAACGTTGAAACTCTTGCGCACAAGGCAATCCAGTATACCGACGTCAACGCTGTCGCAAGTGACGGATGGTATCTACTTGCTAGGAAAGAGCACTACGAGGGTAGCATCAACCAGGCGAGCGATTTTTATCGACGTGCAGATGACGCGCGTGGTGGCACAGAAAGGGGTTACCTGCCCGCCAAGTTTGGCGCTGCGCAGCTTTCCGTGCTGCGGAACGACTTGGGCGAGGCGAAGTTGCAGTTGGAGAAAATGATCCAGCTTTCTAAAAACTATGAAGCAACTATTCTCCTCGGTACCCTTTACGCAGAAGAGGTCTTTGCCAATCAAGCCGCCGAAGTAAAGGATGACAAGTCGGCTGAGATCACAAAAGCCATTACCTTACTTGAGACAGTCCGCACTGCTTGGAAAGACCCCAAGAAAAACCTAAACCCGGATGCTTCAGTCCTTCTTAACCTTGCCCGCCTCTATGAGTCCGACCAGCCCGAAAAGGCCCTGCAGTGCCTCCAGCAAGTAGAGGAGCTAGAGGTCGCTCAGGTACCCGACTCTGAGCGCCCGGCTGATGCCGAGGGCGAGGCCGAGGTTCGCGCTACTCTGCGGAAATTTCTCCCCCGCAGCTTCTTAACAACATTGGTTGCTTCTACTCCCAAGCCGAGAAGCATGATCCTGCGAGCGAGATGTTCGAGGCCGCCCTAGGCGCCTGTGTGCGTATCGACGCAAAAGATGAGAACGCTGATACAGACTCCCTGATTACCACGATTAGCTACAATCTCGGCCGCAGTTATGAATCGCGGGGGATGATGGATCAAGCTATCGAGGTTTACGAGCGGCTCTTGGCTCGCCACGACGACTATATCGATGCCCGCACCCGCCTTGCCTACATCAAGCTTCGCAAGAACCCCCATAAGGAGGGCCCCGATGCAGTCGCCAAGCTTTATCAGGAAAATAATACCGATCTCGAGGTTAGAGCGCTGTATGGCTGGTATCTTGGCAAGGTCACCAAGAAGAAGGCCGTCAACCTCAATGAAGACCAAGAGTTTCGGCACTACAAGCACACTCTCCAGCATTATGATAAGCATGATCGGTACGCACTTGTAGGCATGGGCAACCTCTACCTTCAGCAGGCCCGAGAGATGCGTCGCGAAACGGAGCTGGAGAAGCAGAAGCGGAGCGCCACCTACAGCAAGGCCGTCGAGTTTTTCGAAAAGGCTCTGTCTCTCGATCCCAAGAACGCCTATGCTGCCATGGGAATTGCCATTGCGCTCGCCGAGGACAAGAAAGACTTGAAGAGCGCTCTATCCATCCTTGTCAAGGTTCGCGAAACAGTGAAGGACGCGCACGTTCATGTCAACCTCGGCCATATCTATGGCGAGCTACGCCAGTTTAGCAAGGCAATTGAGCACTACGAGTCTGCCCTGTCCAAGGACGGCAAGGAAAACGACCCCGTCATTCTCTCCTGCCTCGGGAGGACCTGGCTCAACAAGGGCAGGTCGGATCGAGATTTGGACGCCTACAAGTCAGCACTAGCGTGTGCTAAGAAGGTGAGTTTTGGCCCTCGCCAGCCACCGCCCTTCCCTTTGCTAATTCTTTTCTACGTAATAGGCCCTTGAAGCTGCTCCCGATCAAGTCCACTACAAATTCAACGTCGCTTTCGTCCAGATCCAGCTCGCGTCAACGATCTACAACCTCTCCGAGAAGCAGCGGGCACTGGAACAGCTAGAAGAAGCGGCTGAAGGACTCGAGGCTGCCATCAAGGCCCTCGACGAGATCGCCACGCATCCTCATACCCCCTACCCCAAGCATGATGTCGAGCAGCGTGCCAACATGGCGCGCAACACGCAGCGAAAACAACTGGAACGTGCCATTGCCAACCAGAAGGAGTACGAGGAGAAGAACAAGGAGAAGCTCCAAGCAGCTCTCGAACAGAGGCAAACGGAACTGAAGAGGAGAGAAGAAGAGCGTCAAAAGCTTCTTGACGTGGAGCGTGAGAAGCAGGAGCGTATTCGGAAGGAACGTGAGGCAATCTCTGCCAAGGACGCGGAGCTAGCCCAAGCTAGACTCGAGCGTGAGAAGGCAATCATGGACGCGGAGATGACTACGGACTCGGAGACGGGTGACAAGATCAAGAGGAAGCGGAAGCCTGCTCCCCGCCCGACAAGCGAGGGTAAGCCCAAGCGAACGCCCAAGAAGAAGAAGGGGAGGGCCGAGCAAGGTAGCGGGTCCGAGGGCGAGGGTGAGAGGCCGGCAAAGAGGAGGAGAAGGCTCACCAAGGTGGAGAACTCCAAATTCAAGTCGGCCGAAATCATTGTCGATAGTGATGAGTCTGGCGATGACGACTACGGCGAGGACGACGCTCTCGAGAGAGCCGAGAGGAACCTCGAGAGATCCTCCGCCCCCGCATCTGATGACGAAGATGACCGTGACCGCAACCAGAGCGACGACGAGGATAAGATGGACGTTGACAACGGGAACAACAGGACGCGTGATGATGACGAGGATGATGATGCTGAGGAGGTTACTCGGAGATCAAGAGCGCGTCGTGGCCGCGTTGTTGACAGCGACGAGGAGGACGACGAGAATGAAGGCGCGGGACAGTCAGACGATGATGCTAAGCCCGCTGCCAAAGATACGAGCATGGTAGACGCGGACGATGATGAAGACGACGAGTAGTGTACTGGAAGTGAAAGGTGTGGATACGAAAGGGCGCAAACTGGCGCAAGTCGGGTCCTGTATTTTTTTTTCCTACATCTTTATTCTCTCCGGCCCCATCACCGTGTAGAAGCGGGCCTGAAGGGATAGAGTGACTCTATGGTCAACAGGTAGAGCTGAAGCAACAGCGGGAAAGAAAAGGCCCCTTGTCCTCTCAGGCTTGGTATCCATGCAAGACTTGGGTATCCCTGATTTGTACATGTAAAACATAACAAAAAGCCTATGTATAGCATTTAGATTGGGAAAGGACAGTCATCCAAAGCGAGGGCGCTTAAAACATCTCCCCTGGTGGTTGTCCTTGTAACATGATGGATGAATGCTCATTATCTCCTTCGCCCCCTTCACGATTGGAACTCAACCGTCAACCATAGATAGGTTCCTTGCATTAACGGCGATACTTTGCCTTTACAGCGCAAGGATATCCCACGTGGGTATCAACTCTGTCTATCCGAGCTGGCCAAGGAGATTTGGGCTGGCTTGTGCTACTTCCAAATGAAGCCAGGAGGAAGGCTTTGGGCGCCCATTAAGTCCCTGACCTCGAGCTAGCTTATATCAAGGAAATTGTGCGCGGCGAGGGACAATTGGGGAGCTGATGACTTGGCGATGGTAACCCGCCGATACACAAAACTGGCTCTTCAAGCGTACTCTCGAGATTACTCGGCAAAAGTGGTGAGCGGTAGAATTTTTGGTCCATCCATTGACCCACGAACCGTTCGAAGACCACAGCATTCTCGACAGCTGGTGAGAGCCACCAGGTCTTAAATGGGTTGCCTGGAGAAAGTGCTGGGGTGGGGAGGTGGGGCAGCTTCGGCTGCCTTTCCTGGTTACGTCGTCGGCGAAGGCTCAGCTCTGCTTGCTCTTTCCCCATGCCGTCATGTACATGTTTCTCTAGGATATGTACCTACTTGTACACAAACGCAGAACCCCAGCCAAATTTCTCAGCTCACTCATTGAGAAATACTTAACAATACCAATTGTGCCAGGCATGGAAACAATGCGACCATGAGCACCCCAACCGAACTGTCCCACTTCATCACCGTCCCAGACCAACTCTGACGATAACCTTCTTTTTCGCAAAATAGGGACATCTCCGGGAAGCTGGGAGTAGTCCGCAATCTGCATTTTCCTAGTCCGGAGACGCATTTCTCGAAGAATCGTGGGCGCTAGAGCTCATTTACCAACTTAATTCTCTCTGAGCCGTTTTCCCGCATTGCCTCCACCTTCGCAGTGGCGGACAGCGCGCGCCATGTGGAACGACGAGGACAACAATCCCTACGGCACCAGCTTTGCCCGGGCCGACCTGTCGCCTACGGGCCATCCATCATCTCCCGAGTCCCAAGGATGTGAGTCTACTCCCGGTTCTGCGTTTCCAAGGTCGCGTCCGGCGTCGCGGGAATAGCTTGCCCGTGTGCGGGGACTGTGCGTGCGGGTTAATGCCCAGCGTGGCGAGGCTGGACTTGATCAAGAGGCTGACTAGATTGGCGAACCCTTTTTCCCTTTCAAAAGATCCCCGCTACGATACCCCTGCGACACCCACATCGACGACCGACAGCGAACCCATCCAAGACACCCTCGGGAGAAATGCGGAGAGCGATGAAGAGGACGCGGCGCGGGATCTCGGGGAGATGGCTCCGAGGAGAAAGCCGGGAGGCTACGACAGCCGCATCGAGCAGATCCTCTACGAGAATCCCGAGCTGCCCATACTCATCACGGACGCAGGAAAAAGTCCCGATAGCGGTGGCCGGTATATTGTTTACACTATCCGAACCGATGTGCGTCTAAGCCTTCCTGGCCGCAACCTTGCCTGTTTACCGCAGCTTCTAACGTGAAAAACGCAGGACCTCGAGGTTCGACGGCGATATTCCGAGTTCGCGTCTCTTAGAGATGCTCTAACTAGGCTGCACCCGACGCTCGTCATCCCCCGATCCCCGAGAAGCATACGATGGCGGACTATGCGGCGAACCCCACCAACGCTAAGCAAGACCAAGCAATCATCGATTTGCGCAAGAGGATGTTGGCCGTGTTTCTGAACCGCTGCCGTAGGATGGAACAAGTGAGGACTGACGGCGTCTGGTGGCGCTTCCTGGACCCTAATGCTAGTTGGGTAGGTAATCATGTCTCTTCCCCATGCTTTGCCGTGCGCTCGTCGCTAAAAGAAAGGATCGGTACCGCGCCCTATAGAGTGAGGTCCTAAACTCCCATCCTATTGCGTCTATTCCCAAGTCTATTTTGAAGGCCCCCCTCTCAACACCGCCAACCCCACGCCAGCCCATTCCTACCTTCCCATTCCCGCGAGCTCGTCAAGGTTGAAGTCCGGCACAGCAAACGCCAGCCCGACCCAGGAGTTCGATCCGTACTCCGGAGGTGCACTGAGTAGATTCCCCCGACAACAAGAAGCTTAGTGAACAAGAACTCGACCCGTACTTCATCTCTTTCGAAGCCTCGATCAGAGAATTGGAGCAGCTCCTCACGGGCCCTATCGAAAAGGTTAACCGGAGAACTCTTAGCCACCTTTCATCACTAGCCGCCGATCTTTGCGAACTCGGGTCTCGTTTTAACGCCTTTGCGCTTTCAGAGCAGTCCCAAACTCTTGGCGCCGCGATCGAACGCATCGGCCAGGCCGCAGATTCCTCGTATATTGCGACCGAGGAGCTCTCAAGCACTTTGGGAGCCAACTTTGCAGAGCCCATGCGTGAGAATGCGCAGTTTGCGGGTGTCGTCAAGAACGTGCTCCGGTACCGGGTTCTCAAGCGAGTCCAACAAGACATGACTACTGACGAGTTGAACAAGAAGAGGGCCCTTCTTGACCAGCTCGAGCACAGCGAGGCCGAGGCTAGGAGGATCGAGCAATACCTAAGCGGCAGCCAAACCATCACCTCTCCCCCGGCGACAATCCGCGACCCAGGACCACGCGGCGCGACACTCGCGGGAAGGTAGCCAGGATGACGCGGAGTCCTTTGACTCTGACTTCCCCCACTCACGGTGTCTCGTCGGTGCCTTCGGCAAGGCAGGGGCTCCTGAGCGGACACCCAGTGCCCCAGTGCACAAGAAGATGCCCAGCGGCAACTCCATCACGAACAAAATCTTTGGGCCCATCCGGCACGCGATCCAGGGCGTAGCCGATGTGGATCCAGAGAGGACGCGACGTGACCTGATTGGAAAGACGAGGGAGAGTATTGGGCATCTCGAGCAGGCGCAGGTCGCGTCAGCACAGGATGTCAAGGATGCTAGTGCAAGCACGTTGCAGGATCTCAAAAGGTTCCAGCGCGAAAAGGAGGACGACCTCCGGCGGTACATGGTAAGCCCTTTTTTCTTAGTGTTCCCTTTGGTTGTCCATGAGGCACCGTTTTCCCCACCGAGTCCCATGGTTTCTTCAAACGCTAACACGATCTCTAATTCACCCCTTGTAGCTGGCGTATGCGAGGAGCCAGGTAGAATGGGCAAAGAAGAACAAGGAGACGTGGGAAGAGGCACGGGATGAGGTGGATAAGATTGAGATGGACTAATCATCATCTTCCCTACGAGGCTACAGGCCGGTATGGAAGAAAAGTCGAAGAGGCGTTGCGTAGGGTGCTGGGGGAGTCTCGAGAATACCTGTTTCTTGCTAGTATACACAGTATCACGAGATTCTTGTTCTCCTTGGGAGTTCGATGCAGTTGGATTAGCCCTCTCCAGTCACGGAGTTGGCAATTCTTGTTTGCAGTAGGGGCGTGGTGGAAGGCCTCTAATATTTAACGGTAGCACATCAATGTATAGTATTACACGGAAAGCCCTTTAGAAATAACCGTTTTATTAGCTTAGGTCTTTTGCCCTCCCCTCTGCTTGCAACACGCTTAACCAGCTCTTGCTAATGCCCAAGGGAATCCCGAAACTTGGCGACCATCGACCCCTTGGATCTCTAGAATAAAAATGAGATGAAAGGAAGTCCCTGTTTTAGTATAAGAGGTACGCCGTGCTTCGAATAAATAGGTGGCGCGACCGGTGGCTTCTAGCTGCCAATGGAATTCATCACTTAGTATGATATGATTTGCCGCGGCCGCCCTCGTTTCTTAGCCGGACCGGACGAAGAGTTACAAGCGATTACGCAATCCTCGTTTAACAGGCTGAGAAGCACTTCCGACAACCCAGAGGTTGTGAATAAGACTTTGATGACCGTACCCTCAGCACCGGCAAGGGGTTCGCTAAGCGCGTGAAACATTGAACAAGATCCTCCAGTGCCTCGGCAGCGATACCTTGGGCCTCTTCTTCGAGGATGTTGAGGCCATGAACAACGAAGAGCACGAGCGGCAAACGGACGCCATCCACGAGGTTTTCAAAAAGCTCCAAGGCGTCCTTCCAAGTGCGCAAAGTACCATCTAGAGTCGAGAATCTCTCTTCGTCCAGAAAAGTCGCAACCTGGGTGTTGTTGGTGGGGAGGAGATCGATAACCTGGCGGATCAAGGCATATAGTAGAGCCGAAAGCTCCACTGACTCCCGACTCCTATCAGGGGCGGGTCGTCGTGGGATAGCTCGCAGAAGTACGAAACCACGGGCACCCCGGCTTCCTGGGCGAGGGTTTTGTACACGACCGCAGATTTGTCCAATATTCCTGGGCCCTGTGTGTGGAACCGGCCGTACGCGTAGAGAAGCTGAGACTCCATGGAGGTGGTGAAGGCGTCTAGCCTCACCACGAAAGCGGTGTCTGCGAGCAAGGGACTTGGCGTCTCGATGAAAGGATGGACGTGCTCCCAGGTGAAATATTCCTCAAAGTGCCGTGACGCTAACCTTATACTCTCCATGTCCAAAGTTTGGTGTCCATCGTCAGCGTCAGAAGTGGAGTGGGTGTCCCGAGGCCCGCTCACGCTCCGCCGATAGCGCCGTTTATCGGCATCAATGCCGGCCGGTGAAAGTTGTGTCAAGGTACGAATGGTCTCGGGTACTTGCTGTTCGAGGAGGCCGGTTATGCCACTCCCGGAAATAGCACTGCGCATCATCTCGTTATAGGAGCTCATGACGCCGAGCATGCATTCCTTGACCTCTTCCTTGGACTTTTCAATCTCGCCGCGCACAATGGCCCGCAGCAGTTCGGCGTTGGCGGCATCCCGAATCTTGGATTGCCTCTCTTCCAATTCCGAAAATCGGAGCAGGTAGCGGATATCGCCGCTCAAGTCTTCCAGCATGAGTTTGGAGACCCGGACATCCGCCGACATGTGCAGCTGGATCTGCCGAGAGAGGAGGTTGGAGACGAGCTTGATCTGCGAGAGGTCGTCTTCAAGCAGCCGCAAGGAGGACTCGTTGAAGCTCTTGAGCAACCTCGCCACGCTGCGGTCAGTGTACCAGGTCATGAATTTGATAAGGTAGGAGAAGATTTGTGCATAGAGGCGCATGGTGAGTTGCTTGAGGACCGGCGTGTCGTAGACATGGCTCAGATTCTCAAGCCGCACAGCATCATTGATCTCAACCATGCCCTTGGCGAAAGCCTCCGAGATATTGACATGGTTTGCGGCAGCCTATGTAAGTCGCGCATGATTTCCGTTAGTTTATCAGAGTCCTCAAAGGGCACCATAGAGTACGGTACCTTGATGATCATCAAGACGGAGCCGGCAACCAGCGAGACGTATTCGCTTTCCGTGGGGAGCATCTTTAGCGCCGTGGCGTGGTTATTCATGCCGTTGCACACCTTGCGGACCAACTCTCTCGCCCGGCCGGTGCGCGAGTCTTTAGCTTTCGTCTCCCACTGGGTCTGGACCGCGGTCGCTGCCAAAACAACATCATCCCAAGAGGTGGGCAACTCATTTTCCTTTGCGCCAGGTACATGGCTCTGGAATTTCCTCATGGAATCCAAGAGTTGGCGCTTAGCTTTGTTGAAAATGAGGGCATCGTCCGGTCTAAACCCCGTTAGGTGGTGCCTTTAAAAGTCCCATGTGTTCAAATGTTGTTGATGAATTGCTCACCTTGTCGCTTTGAACATTTCCTCGAGACGCTCAATGTCTTTGTTCCTCTCTCTCATCCGTCTATCCCTTTCCGACGATAAATCAGTCCGCAGTTGGTCATATTCGGCCGTGTCCGCTTCGGTCCTTCGTCGAGTCTCCAATTCCCAAGAGAAGCTCTGAACTAAAGCTCCCGGCTCTGGATCGAACCTAGCCATCTTCGCTGAGCCTATAGGGCTATACAAAAACTGCAAGATCAGAAATAAGATGGAACTTTTAATATTGAGCTATCAAGATACGGCCTCGTTCTTGAGATGTGGTCTAGCACAGTTGAGGGAGCCGACGAGTATAAACTTATTTGATACCGGCACTTGCATTTCTCAGAGGTGGCTCTGCCTGCATCTACCAAGTTGCGCGGGGTTCTGATGCTGGTCCTTCATGTGCGCGCAAGCAGGCATCACCACAGCCACCGTCACAGTGATCCTCCCCGCATGCAGATGGATTTTGGCCCCCAACCACCAACATCGGACTGTGGACTAGGATCAATTGATGGCAACTCGTTCCTAATGAATGCGGAGGCATAAGGCATAAGCAGCCATCCCGCCAGGCTGTGCCCCCTTCCCTCAAAAACTTCTGCCCACCTTCCCCTCAATACCTCGTCAAGCATTAGGTTTTTCTGGTCGTGGAAAAGCCTAGGCTAAGCGAGCTCGTTTTCTTTTACCTGTCGCTTCGCAAGCGATCATATCGGCCTTTCATCGTCTCGCATTGTCGCCTACCGCTTTTTTCCTGCGATATCTTCGGCTTACATGAAGACCCTCTTATCTTGAACATTCTAGACAATGACAGCAGATCTGGCCGGTCAGGTAGGGGGCTTGGAGACAAGATTTCAATCTGTCACTTTAGAAAAGCCTGGGATCAAAGAAAGTAATGACCAGGACAGTCCTGTTGTTGACGATGTGCCGCCCAAGGTGACACCGGCAGTCGATTCCCTCGCTGAAAAGACGTCTACCGGCACAGACGAGTCAGGTCCTATACGATATAGAATTGAATATGTCGGTAAAGACTCTGGTACTTTTTCGATCCAGGGAAGAACAGCCACGCTTGACGCTTTGGAAGAGCCTCCAGTCTTTGAGTATGTCGAGGTCCGCTTGTCAAGCCAGAAAGAACTGACTTCGGCGACAAAGGCGGAGGACATAAAGAAGACCGATAAGGGTAAAGGGCGTGCGTATATCAACATATTCTCCCCTGCCGTTGCCGAGGCCCTCCGGTGTGTGGTTGACTACTTTCCCAAGCTTGATCTTTCCGGAAACGTCATCAAAATCTTGGAGCCTTACTCTGTCTTTGTCTTTTACGAAAAGGAATTCACGGCATACCGAGAAAGAGCCGCCAAGCTTGCCGCCACGGGGACCCGTCGTGCCCGAACCGATGGGCCGCAAGGCACCTAGGTATTGTTCAAGATTTCGTCAAGGAGCACATTCAAGAAGCCGTGAATGCCGAAAGAGCCCGTCATGCAAGGGGATATGCCACCTTTGACATGCTCTGGCTCCTTTACCGGCCGGGTATCGACGCCTACTTTGATGTCTTCGAAGTCGCCGAGCATGAGCCTTATGTTGTCTCCAGTGTGGATTACGAGCTCGTGAACGGCTCGACAAGTGCTTATGAAGTCACGCTTTGGCATATCGACGCCGACTCTGTGTGGGTAGGACCTGCATCAAGCAGTACTACGATTCAGCACTTTTCTGGCGAGAAAAAATTACATCCCTTTCCATCTATCCGTGCGAGTACCTGCGGTTCACCGATAACATAACCGAAGATGAGGTTTTGGCTATCAGGCAGCATTTTGTAAACCGAGGGAAGAAATGGTTTAACCTCCGGCGCAAGGTTGGCTGCCACTATTTTGATGGTATCACCATCCACTTTCCGAGACGCTCTGTAAGCCCACTCCCCGCCTATCCCAATGAGGGGGTACCCTGCCTTTCCTCTCGCTAACGCCGCCCTTGACGCGACATTCAGTACTCTAGTCTTGTCATGGTTGACCCCATTCACTACGCGATGGTGGACGCTAGGGAAAGAACGGAGCTCCTACCTAGCCTGGAACAGCCATCAGGGCCGGTCGGGATCTGCGCATGCCAGAACTGCGAGGAGGTCATCTACAGCCATGCCACCAAGCCCAAATTTGCGAAATATTCCAGGGTCAATCCTCTCCTAGTGGACGAGATATCGGAGCACCAATATTTCCTGTGCGACCAGTCCATGGAGGCTTTCGTGTTCAAGATCAGGGCTTGGAGTAAGTTTTAGCCTCGATTCGAGCAGAGAGTGACCTGCCATTAGCAAGGTTGAAGCTGACGAACTCACCACGTAAAACTTTCCAGAGCTCCTTCGAGTCGACGGTTTCCAGGACCCAGTGTTTGACAGTGCCCTCTTCGACCGGCTCGTGATGAAGAACTCCACAAAGGAGCTTATCAAGGACTTGACCCAGGTATATATCCGAGACAACGCTGGGTCACACCTTCGCGAGGAAAGGCTATACACGAAAATCACCGATGTCTATAAAGCGCCCGCGAACACGCAAACCAAGACGACCTGGTCTCCCGATTTCATTGAAGGGAAAGGCGAGGGCTTGACGATACTCCTCCACGGAGGCCCTGGAGTGGGAAAAACGTATACTGCAGGTGAGTCGCTTGTGCTTGCTTTCAAGGATGCCGACGGCGCTCTGACTTAGTCCCCGTCGGCCACAGAATGTATCGCCGAGTTTATTGAAAGACCCCTGTTGTCCTTGACCTGCTCAGATATCGGCGTGAAACCGGAGACGATTGAAGAAAACCTCGTCAAGTGGTTCAAGGCAGCCGAAAAATGGGGCGCCGTTATGCTTGTCGACGAAGCGGATATCTACATGGAGGAGAGGCAGGTCCAGGATATCGAGCGAAACCACCTTGTTGCTGGTTTCCTGCGCGCCCTGGAGTATTACAAGGGTATACTTTTCATCACGACGAACCGGGTGGGAACGTTTGATGAAGCGTTTATCTCGCGTATACACTTGCAGATACACTATCCTAATTTCGAGCACGAGGAGAGGGAACGACTGTGGAACACCTTTTTCGAGAAGCTGGAGGAGGACAGGGAAACGACGATGCGAATCACGCAATCCGCCAAGGACTATGTCCAGTCTCAGGAGATGCAGGCCTTGGAATGGAACGGTCGAGAAATTAGAAATGGTAAGCGACCCTCGAGGTCCCCCTCCGATCTTACTCATCCTTTCTTCCCTTGTCTCGTTCAACAAGTGTTATTCCGCTACTATCACGATACCCCGTTCCGAATGAAGAGGACTAACAGATACACCCACGAGTAGCTTTCCAGGTTGCCGTGGCACTCGCCGAGGCTCAAAACCAAAAGACAAGGAGGGGCGCATCCTCATCAAGTCGGACCACCTCAAGGCAACGGTGCAAATGTCGAGAGAGTTCCGCAACTATCTAGCAAAACTGCACAAGGGGGATCTGAGCAAAAGGCTTCTCGGATGGGCAACAGGTATGATGCGTTTGGCAAGGATGTATCTGGTAGCACCCCTTCCAAATTTTAGTCTAGCGGGGAGCTTGCTTTTTTATACAGGCTGCGTTCGCCACCTCCCTGTTCTTTAACCCCGGCCCGTGCCTTGCGATCGACAGTGTTTGGTGGACCGGGGAGGGGTGGGCGGCTTGGGTGGCTTGAAAGAATCAATGTCGTCTATATTCTAAATATAGCAAATAATTTAGCACCAAAACGCGACCATAGTGAGCCAAATCTCGTAGATACCCGTTGGTGACACTTAAACTGTTCTTTCGCCCTTTTGAAGAGACCTTGGCGGTTGAGACGCGATGGTTCGTACCGAGGTAGACAAGTGCAACGTGTAAGTGACCAACGCGCGTGCTTGCTTTTTTCTTCTTCATGGTTTGACTAAGCGGTTGGCCGGTGCCGAGTTTCAACGTCATTTCACTTCGGCGTGTTAGTCGCCCTCTGGACAATTACGGGAGAAGTAGCCAGTGGACTTGAGGAGGATGGACTCACCAGGCTGATAAAACGACATTCGTCATAGAATGGAGACGGATTGGTACTTATGGTTGGCTGTATATGTGCACCAGCTAATTTCTGTGTGTTCCACATTTTCAATACTCTCACGTAGGACCTCTAATGGGCAAGAATCTAGACTATGAATATGGCTAAGAAAACCCTGGGCGTTGGCTCACTAACATATTGCGAGTACGAGCGATGGCTGGGGTCTATACCTCAAATGCCTGTTCCCCATCATGCCGCTTTTGAGAATGAAATCATTGTGTTTGAAATCACGACGCCTCGAGGAGATATAACCTTGCCCACAACTCCGGACGGCCTACAAGTCGGGCTTGCATAGGGCCTCTTAGTCTATACTGTCCCTTCTTCTCGGCCGTTCTAGAGTGTATCACAAGGTACGCGGTTGGCCAGAAAGGTGAGATCCATGTCGCGATCGTGGATAGTCTACCACGATGCCGAACAAGTCCCATCTCCAAGGCTCCTGCCCCATTTTCTAGCCTCCGCCCCTGCTCCTGTGCTCCTTCCTTACCTGCAGCTCCAGTTCCATATCTTCAGTCTGCGTATCTTTCCCTACTGATTGCTTGCTAACTGGCTAACTATTTAATGGCCCTCTTCGGCCCCAACCCAACTTCATGTTGCTTCACTTCCTCCCACCCACCAACTTTTCCAACTTCACTTCAATCGTTTTACAAAAACCTCGATCCCCAACACTTCAACTCTATTCACTCTTTCAAAAACATATCGCGGAAGCAACTGCTTGAAGCCGGACGATACTACCGTAAGTTTCATTCATTACTAGTTGATGAGCTCTTCATAAAGCGGCTGGTGCGACACCGTCCTCTTCAGAGAGCAGCTAGCCCTGCTTGATTTGGGTCTATGTCAAGAGCTAACCAAGAACCATCGCTCTAGATTGAATTGTAAGCTCAGCTATACCTTCTTCTTCCCCTCCTGCCACCGCGTAGCCGTTCATTCGAAACCCTCCACCATTCTTCCTTCTAACGGGCAATATCTCGAAAGCGTTCAAGTTAGACCTGATCTTCTGGTAAGTCGGCATGTGTTTATTCTTTTCTCTCAGGCCACAAACACTCCGGAACCTGCCGCGTTCTCTCTTCATCTTCGACATTCGAAACCCTGACTTCCACCTATGCTCCTTCCACTCCGAGCCCATCCCAACCCTTCCCGCCCTAATCCCACCTTCAACACCCCCTCAAACGCCTTCATACCCATTCTACACTTGCGTGTCTATGCAAGAAGCGCAAGCCAGCATCTCCATACACCATCCTTCTTCATCACTTGATAGGTGTGCTCAGCACCTCAATACTTTGATACTCTCTTCCTCTCTGCCTCCCCTTCACCTTGTCGAAGCCTTAGAAAGCCGACGCTCTTTCTCATTGGACTCTGAATCTGATCTCGGTTAACCTCTCGTTGGCCTGGCCTCCAGAAATCGAACTTGCATTCTATCCCCTTGAAGCAATTCAACGACCTCAAATAGAAGACGAAGTTTTTCCGTAAGTCCTCTGTGGCGTCTTCTTCCATCTATAGACAACAGCGATCTAACTACTCTCAGTCCTGACCGTCAAAAAATGGCGTCTTCATCGAGTATGACCTCCCTGGGATTCTTCATATGAGAGTTATAGGCTAATGGCTTGCGTAGTCCTTGAGAAGGAGCCCCATGTTCAGGTTGGCGAACGGCACCCCAACAAGAGCATGGCTCGCGACCATACTATGGCCAGTGATAACAAGGTCAAGAAGCCTCTCCGTCATTACGTTCGTAGCTGTATCGTCGGACTTATTTGCTTGCTTGCCATTCTCATGGTCGCGATGCCTGCCGCTCTTATTGTGAGCGCTCTCTATGGTAACACGGAAATCACTGATCCCTACAAGAACGCCACTACTCAGGGGACGACCCCCAGAACTCCCTGAGTCGCCGTCAGGCCGTCGGTGACCTTTTGGCTGGCCCTCCTCTGGAAATTTCAGCTCTTCTATCGCTACCACTGGGAGACCGACCATTACTGCCACTTATATCTTCAACGGAACGTCTAGAACTAGCAGTACCTCTGAGGCAGCCACCACGACGTAGGGTTTATAATCTCCCCTTACTTGCACCGCCATCACTAAGTACATAATTTTAGGCCCGGGTTTACTAGCACGTCATCGCTTGTGACCTTCAATTCTTCGATGTAAGTGTCTTCCCTATCTCTTCAGCCTGCCTTCACTTTGCAGCCTGTTGATCTGTTTTTGTAGGGTTGTCAGTGTCACCTCTGTCGACCAATCTTCCCTGATCGCACCGGATACTTCTCTCGCCGTCTCAGCTGCCCTGACTTCGGCTCCTACCGTTGTCAGTCAGATAACATCCGTTGGCCCTGCTCCCTACGGTAACTCAACCAGACCTTATTTTTCGTCTTTGGAATGGACGGCCTCTTCTGGGTTTGTCTCCGCTGGGAACGTTCAGAAGTCCTCTGAAGGCACTCTGACGCGAACATCAATCTCCAAGACGGTGACGAAGACCAAAACCCTTACCCCCACAAATGTCGTGATCGTAACCCCTCATGGTGATACAACAGCCACGTCCGTCTTCCCATCATCCACTCTGGTCTCTGGGGATCGCTTTGGCTGCAACGATACCAGGTTTATTACTATCACGAAGACACTCATTCCCGTTGAGGTGGGCAAGGAATCAAGTACTAGTCTTGAGACCAAGACTACCAAGGATGCTCAAGATGGCCCAAGCCTCTCTAGTCATTCAAGTTCTGACAGTCCCAAGTCTCGGGGTACGGTTACTGTTACCCTCACTCATCAGGACACCGTTCTTGTCACCAGGACCGAATACACCAATTCCACTTCGGCTGGTGGAAGCGCTGGCTCTGTGACCCCGGTCCTTTCTAACATGGCTGCTACTGAACTTGTCGGTGGTGAGCAGACAGTATACATCACTAACACTGCAGCTGCAGTGAATGTGAGCTACACAATCGTTCAATTTTCGGAGTCTACCCTTCAATCGACTAGCTTAACCGACATCACCCCATCCAACGGGACTCAAGCAATTCTCGAACCTACCACTGTCGCGTCCCCTACTTCTCCTGGAGATTCTACATCTGATGGGGAAAAGTCAGCACAGAGCAGACCCCCATCATTGACCGGGAGCAGGTGATTCTGTGCCTTGTGATGATTGGAATTGCTTCGCAACTTCTCTAGTCGCCACGCCTGTATCTACGGCGGAGACTAGGTCTGGTTAATTTTGTTTGTGGTCAAGGTTCTTTCTTGCCTTCTTTCTTTTCTTTTCTTTCTTTCTTTTCTTTCTTTTCTTTCTTTTCTTTCTTTTCTTTCTTTCTTTCTTCTCTTCCTTTTTTCCCCTTTCTTTTGTCTTTCTAAGTTTCATCTTCGAAACTGTTGTGTACTTCATCTTTGCTTTCTACTTTCCTTGTTTTCTTTCGTTTCTTTCGTTTCTTTCTCTTTTTCCATTTCTCTTCTGTCTTCTTTTTCATTTTCTCTCCTCTGCCTTGTTACGGGCGAAAAAAAAAAAACAAAAAAAAAGGAACCCCACGGCGCACTTCTAGAAGATCTAGTCTCCAGGTCGGCCTAGCTCCCGACACCCTGATGTAAAGATAGGATTAGAAGAATAGATGAACATCGTAGAGTTCCCCAAAACAACTCCCCGGCTGCTATGATACTTCATGTAGGTGACGTGGTGACGTGGTTAAAGAGGCGTATAATAATTCTGGATACAGCGCTGACGAGAACCCACACCCGAGGTTTACTACTTGTACATCACAGAACGCGCTTGACTGCAAATATTTGAAGGACAGTACGGTAATTCTCGGAGTTCGAGATATCCTTTGGCGTCCTTTGAAATTTGTATCATTAATTGGTTCGATGGTACCTCGGTTGTAAGAATTGTGGTTGGATGGTGGCTGCGATATGATGCATCTCCTCAACGGAGCATGGTGTAAGTGGCTAGTAGCCTACGAGCATAACATTGAAATATTTTGCGATGATCCATGGTGATATCAATTTCTAAGCCTGGTAACAAGAAAAGCGTGCCTATGCAAGCAATTTCTGCCTTGGTTCGACTAATCAAAGGGTTTACAGAAGATGGCCAACCTTGAGTGTAGCGATAGAACGTGTAAAAGGAGAATTTATGTATTATTGCTCAGTTACGGGGAATCTTGCGCGGGGCAAGGCCGTGTTGATGATCCATCTCACTCTTCAGTGCTGCTCGTGTGTCGTCGAGGAGGTTGGGGATGATTAGTCACGGTCCTGTTGTGCGACTGGGAGCTTAACCTTTTGACGTGAGTGGTTCAAATGGGGCAAGAGCTGGAGCCACATGGGGCATGGCCCGGGCCCGTGCAAGCCAGGTCCTGGGCAAGAATAAGGTACAAGTACAAGCGCCCCAGTACAAAGGTACTGGGAGTGGGTTACGCGACTTTCGCGCGACGACGCCAAAGCGATTGAGGAAACCCCCGTTAATTTCACCGCATCTCCCTCTCGCAAATAATTCAAATCTCGCCGGACGCCCTTGCAGCTCACTTATCCTCCACCCACCCGAATCGAAGCGTGGTGCGGCACCCCGACACTCATAGCAGGGTTCCGTTTTCGCCGTTCCGTTCTATCGCTGTTTGACAAAATAATTCATCAACTTCTGGATGAATCGGGTTTCCTTTGTTTCCCCCTTTCTCTATCTCCCGTCGTCCGAGTCTTTGGAACTCAAGACTCCCAGTCCCCGTCACGTCGCACGCCTTGTGTGCGGGTTTCAGTGGTTAAATAATAATTCCCACCGATTTCTGCAAGTGCGCCGAATCCCACCACCCGCCGCACACACACCCACCCGCCTCCCGGGCTAAACCTCTCACGACACGTTGGCGCCAACCACTCAATCCTCTCGACGTTCCCATTTCCGCATCGACGTCTTCACCTACCCCCAACGCATAGTGCTCCGTCCTCTCAGCTAACCCTAGCGGCAATATCAATTGAGAGAACAGCGCTACCCCCATTCGACGCCATGCCGCCCCGACGCCGCAATCGCCGTGGCAAGGATCCGACGCCTTCGCCCGAACCTTCGCCCGAGCCATCACCCGAGCCCCAGGTTGAGGAGCAAGAGCTTGAAGAGGACACGGCAGATGAGGCGCAAGAAGGCCCGTCGGGCGCGGCGCACGCTGCTGCCGGCGATGATGGTTTGGAAGGGGAGATGGCCAGGCTTCACTTTGATGAGTCGTTGACGTGGCGACCCGGTAAACCGATCCCTGTATCGCAGCTGCTGCCTCGGCTGCAACGGCTCTTCGAAGAGCTCAGCGATATGGAGCAGGACCGCGTGGATAAGGAGTCGCTGGCCGACGTGGCGAATTCCCTCGCGCAACGCAACCTCCTCCAGCACAAGGAGCCCCCATCAAAGCTTATGTTGCATCGTGTTTGGTCGAGATCCTGCGCCTCTGCGCGCCCGACGCGCCTTTCACGGAGGATCAGCTCAAGGTATGTTGCACCTGGCATGTTTTTGGCCTCTTTGCGTTGTTGCGTCGTTTCGCAACCCCCATTTACCCATCCTTATTTCGCGTCGATGCTGGTATCTTTTATTGGCTAACCCTGTCTTGTCCTCAGGCGATCTTCACATTCCTCATCACATATGTGCTTCCTGCGCTAAAGGATCCTTCGCATCCCTACAATGGGCAACATAAACACGTCCTCACCTCCCTCGCCGAGGTCAAAAGTATTCTTCTCCTCAACGACCTCGACGGCACCGACAACCTCCTCCTCCACCTCTTCTCCACCTGCTTTGACTGCGTCTCGGCCTCCTCTATTCTCGACGCCGATGGAAACCCACCCGCGGACGTCGAGGCACACATGACCGATGTGCTCATCTTCCTCATTGACGAAAGCCCTGGCCTTCCCGCCAAGGTTGTCGAGGCTGTCATTGCGCAATTTTTGCGCCCGGCGCATTTCAACAAGTCCCAGCTCCGGGGGACAAGAGCGAGTCGAATGGCAACCAGTCCACTCTGATGCCCAAGAAGGAGCCTCCCGCGTACGTCATGGCGAAAATGATTTGCACCTACAACCCGGAAAAAATGGCCCGATATGTGAGCCAGTACTTCAGCGACGTCATTATGGATGCGTCGAGCTTCGCGACTAGAGGAAATGGCCACAACAAGCATGGCGACGACGACGACGATCTCGCCCCATCTTCAGGCCCGACCGAGGCTGATCTAAAGAACCTCTCACAAGCCCATCTATTGATCCGCGAGCTTTGGCGCGCAGCCCCTGCCGTTCTACAGAATGTTATTCCCCAGGTCGAGGCCGAGCTTTCTGCCGATGACGTCCATCTCCGCCAGATCGCTACCGAGACTTTTGGCGATATGATCTCTGGTATCGGCGCTGCCGGCCCCTCCCCTCCAAACTATGACCCATGCCAATACCCGCCCTTGCGCTTTAACGAAGAGTCGGCCGGGCCCGTCTACGATAATGTCCTCACAACGCCGCTATGCCCCCAGTCGTTTGCGCAGACTTACCCGTCGACTCACAGCAGCTTCCTTGGAAGGAGGAAAGACAAGATCCCGCAGATCCGCGCCGCCTGGACCACCGCCGCCGGTTATATTCTCGCGACGTCCGCAGGCGGAATCGGCCTTAGCCGGGAAGAGCAGTCACAGCTGGTTGAGGCGTTGAACGAGAAACTCAACGACACCGATGAAAAGGTTCGACTGGCCGCTGTCAAGGCCATCGAGCTCTTCTCTTACCGGGACGTCATCACCAAACTCGGTCCGAAAGGCGGTGCCAACAAGGAAGGGACTGTTCTCGCAAGCCTGGCTGATCGCTGCCGAGACAAGAGGCCCGCCGTTCGTGTCGAAGCCATGGTTGTCCTTGGAAAGCTCTGGGCCGTCGCCGCGGGTGACATGGCCACCGGCCAAGAGGTCGTCGTGTCTTGCTTCGCTGGCGTCTCGAGTCGAATTCTCAGCGTCTTCTACGCCAATGACTTGGATCTCAACCTTTTGCTTGACCGGGTCCTGTACGAGTATCTTGTCCCCCTCGGCTACCCCCTCGCAAGCAGAAGCCCACCGCAAAGGGCAGCTCGCAGAGCCAGAGCCAGAGCCAAGCCGCAGCTGGGAACTTCGATCCCGATAGGATCCGCGCGGAACGGCTTTTACACTTGCTCAGATCCTTGGACACCGCTGCAAAGAAGGCCTTCTTTGTTATGCAGTCTCGGCAGCCGCAGTTTGCCGACGTTTTGAACATGGTAATCAAGCAATGTGAGGCATTCAACGGTGGTACTGTCGACGGCGACGCAAAACTCACGACTGAGCGACTCAACAAGATGATTGCCTATGTTTCCACCTTCTTCCCCGACCCCCAAGGTCGTCTCGGATCTCCAGCGTTTTGCGAAGCTCAACGACCGCCGCAACTACCAGCTTATCAAGTTCGCCACCAGCCCCGAGAGCGATTTCAAGACGGTCCATGGGGCCATCAAGGAGCTGATCAAGCGTGTCCAAGGTGGAAACTCGGCGCACATGCTCGATAGCCTCCTCCCCATCTTGTACCGCTCAGCTTGTCTCATGCTCAACCGGAGCCATCTTCCCGCCATCATGGACTGCTCCAAGAACGACAAGGACGGCCTCGGCGCCGTCGCCCACGAGGTGCTGAGCGAGATCTCGCAGCGCAACCCTGAGATTTTCAAGACCCATGTTGGAGACCTGTGCAAGAGCCTATCGTCTCAGGCGCCCACCGAGCGTAAACCCAACGACCCTACCGTCATTGACGTTCTAAAGGCCTGCTCGTCTTACTCGCGCAAGTACCCTGACGAAATCCCGCGCGATAAGGCCTTTTGCCAGAACCTCATCAACTACGCGCTGTACGGAACGCCCGCCAAGGCGGCCAAGTACGCGGTCAACATCTTGCTAGCGAAGAAGGACGACAAGTCTCTTGTCAACGCGACAAGCCTCATCCAAAGGCTCATGAAGGATTGGAAATATGATTCTCCTGGCCTTCTCAACAAGCTGGCGGCTGTCAGTCAGCTTGAGCTTCTCGTGCCCAAGGTTACGCTTGACTATGACGATGATATCCTCGACCTGACGGTACAAAAATATTGCTCAATGTTCGGACTGACGCCACTGAGAAGGATCCCGTCTGGGTGGAGGATGCAAATGCGGACGAAGAGATTCAAGCCAAATGTCTTTGCCTCAAGATTCTCGTGAACCGACTACGCGCTACCCAGGATGTCGAGCAGGCAAAGGAGAAGGCCGCACCGGTCTTCAAGCTTCTCAGGAATATCATTCTCAAGGACGGGGAGATCTGCAAGGTGAAGGACACGCCAAAGCATCACCGGTCGCGTCTCTTGCTCACGGCGGCGAAGCTGACGCTCAAAATCTGCACGATGAAGCACCTGGACGACATGTTGCAGCCGAAAGATTTCAACAGCTTGGCTTATGTCGCCCAACGAGGCGAGCCTGCGGTCCGGCACAGATTCGTCGAGAAGCTCCAAAAGTATCTTGCCCAGGATAAGCTGCGATCTAGGTTCTACACCATCATCTTCTTGACGGCGTTTGAGCCCATTGTCTCTACTAAGCAAAGATATGAGACGTGGATCCAGTCGAGAGCTCGATTGTACAGCGGCAAAGACAGGTCGCACGTCATGGAGTCTACCATGAGCCGCCTTATCTCGCTACTAGCCCACCATCCCGATTATAGCACGGATGTGGACAACCTGGTCGACCACGCTAGGTACATCATCTACTACCTGAGCAACGTTTCGACCGAGAACAACCTGGGCATCATTCTCAGGTATGCCGAACGGTCCAAGCAAACGAGGGATGCTATCGACCCCTCGATGAGCGAGAATATCTACGTTCTCTCGGATCTAGCCCAGACCATTATACGCAAATGGCAGGATAAGAAGAACTGGAGCCTACGCCTAGGCCCCGCGCAAGTGGGCATGCCCGTGGGCTTGTATGCGAAGCTGTCTTCTCACGACACGGCACAGGAGATTGCGGAAAAGCAGTACCTACCTGAGGGGGTTGATGAGAAACTCGACACACTTCTGAAGTCGATTGATAGGAAAAAGGTAAGATGTTCTGGCGCCGTTCTTTTGTCTCTCTGGTGAACCGTATCCCGTTGGATGTGCTGCTAATATTTGATGCCTCCTTTAGAAGCGTAAATCGATGGATGAGCGGGCCGAGCCGTCCAGCAAGCGTACAAAGACTCTGGTGACGAGGGAGAAGGCTAAGCCAAAGGCGCGATCGGCCACCGGGGCGCCCAAAAGAAGCAACCGTCGCAAAAGGCTGCTAAGCCTCGGAAGAAGAGGTCCCTGGATGACGATGATGAAGATGATGACGACGATGGCAACGCGCGCGCAGGTGCATCTCGGTCAGCTGCCCGAGCAGCGGCAGACCGCAGACGCAGCTCGCGCGCTACCAAAGCGTCCACTTACGCAGAGAGGGACTCTGACGAGGACGACGAAGAGATGCTTGACGGGGTGGCGGAATGGGAGTACCTCGATCAGAAGAAGGGTGGCAAGAAGGCTGGAGAGGATGAGTCGGAGGAGGAGGAGGAGGAGGAGGGAGCCGGCGATGACAGCGAGCTGAGCGACCCGCCCGATTCTGAAGAGGAGGTGGCTCCAAAGAAGACGGCTGCTTCGCGGAGACGGAGATGAAAACGGTGTCGTGTTTGAGGATTTGTGAACAGAATGTATGGGTGGAACAGTGCAGGCTGGCGCGTGGATGGAGGAAAAGGAATCAACGAACGGATCAAGGTTTCATGACACGAAGACGAGTCGGGGCTTGTTTGATAATTCTTGTTTTTTTACCCTTTTCTTTCTTTCTTTTTGTTTCTCTCTTTCTTGCCATCTCTCTCTCTCTCCCTCTCTTGCGTCTCTTTTTTGCGTCCTTTGGGTCCCACTGCCGACGTCTTCCTTGACGCCTCTGGGAAACGGCCGCGGTTCTTCTGTTTCTACTTTATTTTATTTTTGATGATTCCACTCTGACCTTGTTTTACTGTACCTACCTGTGTCCTTTTATTATTGCTTGTTTTGCCCGGTGAAGAAACCCTTTGTTCGATATCTTGGTCGATTTGCAACCAAGTCTTGTTCGCCCCCCTTTTCTCGCCTTCCTCTTTGTCCTCTCCCCGCCGTCTTCTTTCGGATGTCTGTCCCTATTCTCTTTTGGCAAGATGCGCTTCCTTGCTCCGTGAGCCAGGGAACATTGGACCTAGGCCTCACGTCGTGCGGAACGGGAGCAACATACTAGAGGCGGAAGGGAGGGGAACGGGGCTGAGACCTCACTGACGGAATACGTGTTGAGCGGCTAGGTTTTGAGTTAAAAACGAGAACTTTCTTTCCGTATTAATCCAGCTACAGTTTAATGATGGCAGGCCCCGCTCCTAGCTCGGGGAAGAAAGTGAACTTCATAGCGGCCATTTATATCCATATCCATGTGAAGCAAGGTACCCTATACCCTACCCCCACAGAATACGAATCAAAGCTACTTTTGTACCCCGGGATATGAATAATCGGCCCAAAGACGAGTAGGAAAAAGAATAGGAGCAAAGAAGAAAGAAGTCCCGCCCAAGAGGGTAGGGAGACATAGAGCGTCTCGAGGCCTTCTCAAACCCGAGAATCATACCGAGGTTTGCCTCTAGGAATTTTGCACAGGATACATGTCATGGGCTAAGAATTCATCAAGATAACGCAAGGAGGGAAGGGAGGCGAGGGAACTGGCTTCGCAAAACCAAGTGATATTTGTAGCGAAACAAAGGCGAATCGACTCGAGATTACACACACTGGTCGAACATTTCTTCTAACCCCGTCACGCGTTGAGATACAGCACCCCCAAAACCAAACGATAACCCGATCCACGCACAAAGGAAGGGAGGGGAACAAAAGAGGGACACGGGAAAAGAGATACAAGAGACCCCCATTAAGAGAAAAAAAGGACGCCCCGAATGGAAAAAAAGAAAAGAGCTCTCGACAAAACCCAACGAAAGAAAACCCGCAACGAATTGGTAGCAAAGAAGAAGAAAAAAGAAGTACATAACAATGCGCTAGGCTCCGGTAAAAGGTGATCCGTTTACGGTTTCGTCTCCTTGCCTTCGCGCTTGTTGACCTTTTCCCGGTGCTTGTTGTGCTTTAGATGTATTTCGAAGTTGCTGGCCGTCATATCGGCACCGGGGGTATACAGTTTTCCGGGACAATCCTTGCAACGCACACGGGGAAGGAACATATACTTCGTATCCGCTGGCAAGGGTTGGCCGGGCTGTTGCTGTACGGGAAGCTCGGTTTGGGGGTCGACGGGAGAGTATTTCATGAGGGCTTCGAAGGAATCGTATGTGTAAGTCTGTTGGAGGTTGTTGAGGGCTTGCATAAGCCACTCGGGAGGCGGGGGCTGTAGGAAGGGAGAGAAGTCTCACGTTAGCAAAGGCACATGTTAAAAGGAGACAAGGAAAAAAGGGGGAACTGGTGTGGCATACCGGTGTAGGGGGACCGCGACCTGGAACCGGCGCAGGGGCAGCGACCCTGCCTATTTGGGGCGCCTTGCCGCTAGCGGGCTGTGGTGTCGCCGATGAAGGGGCTGGCACTGGTGTGGACGCAGAAGGGGCTCCGGGCGTGGCGGGGGTCCATGATGCCGACGCTCGGTCGCACCCTCGTGGAAGGCGCGGGGCTCTGAGACACGCTTGGGGTGCGAACGCCTCGGGGTTCGCTCAGCACCTTCCTCAACTTCTCCTTGCTGACCTTGAGCGTGACCACGAGCCGGTCGTCTGAGTCGTCCGCCGTGTCTCTGCCGAACCGTCGCGCGGGCCGCACTTCGTGGTGGTGCGTGATGCTAGCCTCCGGCGTCACGGACCTGCCCAGGTTGGCCATGCGTTGTTGCGCGGCTGATGCCGCTCCGCGCATGCCCCTCGTCCTCGCGGTGCCTTGTGCGAGTGCGGACGGCGCAGGCGAATCGGGCGATGAGTCTTCGCTCTCCTCGGAATCGGAAATCTCTCCGTCTCTGGCCGCGCCTCGCTTGCGACCGGTGGCGGCGCCGGCCACCCTCTTGTATAGCCTGCTGTCTTCGACATCGAGGGCGGCGCCGGGAAGGCTCGAGGATACGATGAGGGTCCTGATGGTGCGCTGCCTCTCCTTGAGGTCGGGCAGCTGAGGGCCGCCGCGGCGGTTGACGGATCGCTTCTGCCGCCTTTGTTCTCGCGAGAATATCGTCTCGTTGCGCTCGAGATCGGCTTCGCTCATCTCCCAGAGCGACGGTGCGTAGTCCTTGGCTTGCTGTTGAGGGCGGAAGACGGCGGGGAGCGGTGTGGGTAGGAAAGCGTTGACGAGGTCGGCATCCTCGACGGGGCGACCGTCGAAGGGGTGGTTGACGCTGTAGAGACTGCGGGTGAAAAGTTGAAGCTGCTCGCGGATGGAGTGGGCGATGGCGGTGGTGAATTCGCCTGAGAGGGAAAGATCGCGAGTCATACACACGGCAAACTCTTCGGGCGAGTTGAGAGGGTTGTTGAGTTCCCATTCAAACTGGTCGACGAGCGTGTGCTGGCCAATCGTGATATTAAGCTTGATTAGTATGCGCATCTCGTCGTTCTTGTAGGCGGAATAGGGAGTTCTGGGTCCAAGGCATCCTCTTCGGAGAACACAAAGGGATAAAAGTCGTTGAGTTGCTCGCGCATCTGTAAAACAATCTGCTCGAACACGGCCTGGGACGCGGGGGTTTGATATCCATATCCTCCACGAGCTGGGCGGCGAACAACTCGACGGGGACCATGCGATCGTGGAGGTTCCACGTAAATGTATCTCGCAGTTTGATCTTGTCGTGGTCGACGTCGAGCCTGATGGGGACGAGTTCCTCGTGTTGCTCCGCCTGCTGGGCCATATCCTTCCTCTTCCACTTTAGCGGCTGCACCGTCCTCTTTCCGGCGCGAGGTTTCTGCACGGGGTAGAGGATGATTGAGTGGTTGTTGTTTTCGGTGAAGCCATTGCCGAAGCCCTGGTAGCCTTCGCCGTACAGTTTTCCAGGAGGGAACCATTGGCGGTACTCGTTCCTGACGCGCGCAAAGTCTCTCGTCCGCTCCAACTTGTACGCGGTTTCCGCCTTCTTCTTCTGCGTTTCCTCGTAAAGGCCAGCGGCAGCGGCAGAGTCGCGCGCCATATACCGCTCGAGCATGAGCTTTTGAAAAGACTCCTTGGTCCTTACGGGGATGGCCTTGACCCCATTCTGGGAGGACGTGGAGCCCTCGTCGCCATTGACATTCTCGGCGTCCGAATTCGAAGAACGGGGCTCGTGTGTGCCGGAGCCGGGTACCGGAGGAGTAGAGGTCGGGGTGGAGGTGGAAGTGGAGGGTTCTGCTGCCATGGCGGAGGATGGGTGGTGCGGTGGGAGCGTCGAGGAGGGTGTGCTGAATCTCTCGATCGCGCGGCCGTCGCGACACTGGCGACAACCAGCGCGATAATGGGGCCGGAAGTGTCCAAGACGGCGTGAGCCAAGGACGGAAAAGACGGACGATGATGATGAATTGATGAAGCGAATGCGGCGGGTGGGATATTCGGGGCGTCGGTATTAATTTTGCGGATGCTAGGGTCTGGTGAGAATTTGGGGCACCTGGGACGGACAAGGATACGCGGGCGATTTGCGATTCCCTGAGCTCGCTCCCCAAATTATTCATCTGGACCAACGAGAAGGCCGCCAGGCGAGGATTGAATTTGGCAGGCTGAGAGCGCTGAGGCGCTGCTGGCGCCTCCTATTCGTCGCCGACGCCATCCTGTGGCTGGAGAGTTTGTTTCAAGTTTTCGTCTTGGAATACATACTCGCCGCCCTACCTCTAGAGGTGAAGCAAGTACCATTATTTTCCGTTGTTTTTCCAGTTGATGCTGACATAATATCCCATTTGCAGGAGCACTTTTTGCCTTAATTGGGCGGCTGCAAGTGACCAAGAGGCAAAAAACCAGGCTTGACCTCCCCTCTTCGGGAGATATTGTGCATTAATCCCTTGACGCGCTGCAGGTAGTGCTTTCATACATCACGCGTTTTTCTTTTCAAAAGCAGCAAACACAACTTTCAAGGTATCATCTGATGCGTCTACGTTTTGAGAGGGTCATTCTAAAAGAAGACGACGATGATGATACCTCACTATCGTGGATGAGTTCAGGAGGCGTCGCCCACTCATTTTGGGCGACTTAGACGACTATCTCTATACGTTTAGCCTCGGTGTCTCTTTCCTTGGTACATGGAAAATCCGGTTATGCTTTAGACGGTGGTGAAATGGCTCCATGTATTCTTTTGAAGAGAGGAGCGCCCATGAACATGCCACCATAGGATAGCATTCGGTTGGACAGTCTCGATATCGAAAGGAATAAGCGAAAACAGAAAAGATCCGAAGCAAGGGAAGCCGTTGGACTGGAGTCCGCGGTTGTCCGCTCAGGCAAGCGAAAATTAGTTCGATATGTGGACTAGGCCAAGACACCACACAACAGCTTTTAGGTCCGGGAATCTATCGTCCCGCTAGCTAACCCGGTGCCCACACGGAAGCACACAACGAACACAAGGCCATCGATGGATTAGGGCTGCCGGTTTGCTCAACTGATATAAGTAACCAGCTATTTATTATTAACACCTCGGCGTCTTTTCTCTTGCGCAACCTTCCCCCGCGCGAGTCCGAGGATATCTGTGTCAGTGTCACGAAGGTGTCAGCTTATGCCCCGCCCTGTCTCGTCTCGAGGGGCGCGACGTGAAAGTGCGGGGCAGAGAAAAAAGGCATTGAACCCGACATCCAAGATTTCAAGTCTCGACGTGTGGCCCGCCCGAAAAAGAAGGTCACGCTGGCTTTCCGATGGGAGATCTGAAGCGGTGGAAAGGGGAAAAGGTACCACGCGCGTACACACACACACACACACACACCCGCAGGCAGGCAACGGGTAGCTAAGCGGGGAAATGGTGTGGTCTCATACGTGATCTCTCCTCCCTTCCAACTCAACGGGCTCACAAGATTCGTGTGAGGAGCTCCTCGGGCTAGAAATAGTAGTCATCGGCACGTATCGACATCTGGACCCAGCAGCAATCAACGCACAATTCAGGGCACAAATTCAAGATAGCCCCTCCCCTCCTTCCCCGCCTTCGCCTGGCCAGCCTTTTTGCCTCCTCAGGTCTTTTGGCCTTTTGGCCTTTTGGCCTTTTACGTCTTTTAGGTCTTTTGCTTGCTGCTACTTGATGATGTACATAGCGAGTGGGTACCTCACTGAGGTCTTGCTGTCCCAAGGGCTCTCTTTTCCCTCGCCAAGTGAAGGTCAGGAACGGAGTTGACACACGATCTCGGGTATTGGGACCCAGAAGTGACTTTGCGACAACCCTCCACCTTCCTTCCTCTTTCCTTCCTTGCCTTCCCCCTTCTTCCGTTTTCCCCTTCGATTCTTAGTCCGAAGAAAAGAAATACAGAATAAAGTGTAGGTGTGTCCCCTCCAACCGGCCTGACTCTACTTCCTTTCTTCGTACTGTTCTAGAGTCCGAGAGCTTCGCATTTCCTCTCAAGTGCTGTTGGCCTCCACACCCATCACTTCCTGAACAACACACGCACGGCGTTGCCCCTCATTGACATCACTCTAGAGCTCTCTCTGCCCCTCGTCGACACCACAAACACCGCCAAAATGACCGAAGAAAAGGAGATCGGTAGGTTGTCTCTGGATAAAATCCTTCTTCAATATTTTGATTCTTTTTCATGTGTAATCTCTTCAATCAAAGAAGCTCGATTTAACTGCCATTCGGGAGTTTTTTCCTGCTTCTTTTTTTTTTGTTTTACCTCGAGATATAGCTCGTGTTTTGTGCTTTGCGCAAGTAGCATCGTAACCCCACCTGGCGCTACGCAAATCCTTTTCTCTTTGACGGCCAGCCACGACAACAAGATATCAAATGCTAACCTTGCTCGACTTCCTATACAGACTACACCCTCAACAACCCCGATACCCTCACCAAGTACAGGACCGCTGCTGAGATCTCGGAGCGTGTCCTTGCCAAGGTCAAGGAACTCGTCGTCCCCGGCGCCAAGATCGTTGACATTTGCGAGAAGGGTGACGAGCTCATCGAAGAAGAGGTCGCCAAAGTCTACCGTGGAAAGAAGGTTACCAAGGGTTCGTTGCCATCATCAATACTGCTCTCTGCCCATTACTTCTTGCCGTGCCAAGCTGACTCGGAGTGACCCCTCCTGTAGGTTTCTCCCATCCCTGCACCATTTCGCCCGCCTCTTTTGTCACCCCTTACACCCTCTGAAGACGGACGAGAATGAAGCTGCTCTCGAGATCCAGCCCGGCGAGCCCGTAAAGATTCAACTCGGAGCCCAGATCGATGGCTTCGGTTCCATCGTCTGCGACACCGTTCTCGCCGGCAAGGCGGACGAAGAGGTCACCGGCCGCCCCGCTGATCTCATCCTCGCCACCTACTACGCCAACGAGCTCCTCCTCCGTCTCATGCTTCCCCCGGTGTCCTCGCTAGCGGCACTGACGAGGAGAAGGCCAAGGCCGCCGCGGCCAAGCCCCTTACCCAGTCCAAGATCACTAGCCTCCTTGACAAGGTCGTCAAGAGCTATGAGTGCAATCTCGTAGAGAGCACCACCTCGTGGCTGTTTGACCGCAACGAGATCGAGGGCGCCAAGAAGATTGTTCTCGCTCCCTCCGAGGGCACCAAGGGAGAGGGCTCCCCGGTCTCGGTGAGGTCTGGGGTGTCGAGGTTGGCGTCAGCTTGGGTTCCGGCAAGGTCAAGACCCTCGAGCACCGCGCTACCCTCCACCGCCGTACCCTCCAGACCTACGGCCTCAAGCGTCCTACCTCCCGTAAGATTCTTTCTGAGGTCGTCAAGAGATTTGGAAACTTCCCCTTCTCTCTTCGACAGCTCGAGGACGAGCGTGATGCCAAGGCTGGTGTTGTCGAGTGCGTTCGAGGCAACATCTTCCGCCAATACGAGCTCGTTGGCGACAAGGACAACTCTCCCGTCGCCCGCCTCTTGACTACCATTGGTAAGTTTCAGTCATGTCGATATTTCAAGGAACGGTGACCGTCGTAGTTTGAGAACGACGAATGCTAACGTGCTCCTTTCTTTCTTTCTTCTTCTCCCTCCAGCCATCACCAAGAATGGTGTCACCAAGCTTGGCGCCGCACCCGCTCTTGACATCAGCAAGTTCAAGTCGGATAAGAAGATCACCGACGAAGAAATCCTCAGCATTCTCGAGCAACCCATCGCCCGGAACACTGGAAAGAAGAAGGCTAACAAGAAGAAGAAGAGGCCCGCCAAGAAGGCCCAGGCGGAGGAATCTGAGGAGGAGTCTAGCGATGAGGAATAGACTGGCTAATAGATTGGGGTGAGGCTTCCGTGCATGGAGGTCTCTATCCACGCGGATGCGGCCGTCGATGCTGACTACTTGTCTGATCAAACCCAGATGGTGGAGACGTTGATGGGGTGGTATTCCATTCACAGCAATCGCGTCTTGCGTGGCCTATTTGGAACCGAACCCTTGACCTACCGTCGCCTCTCTGAGAACCCTTGGTTGACTTGTGGGCGAGAAGAGCAGCGTTTCGGAATGTTTTGATACCTTTCGTTACAACCAAAATCAAGAAAAAGAAACAAGGGCAGCGAGGTGTTGCATCTCGTGAGGCCCGGCTCGACGTCTAGTGGACTCGTGGAGGCCCTGACCTTTTGAAGTAAGTGGTCCATCCCAACCTATCAATGGGTATCTGCCAAAATAAAGGATATGGGAGGAAAGCGAAAGAAAAAAAAACCATAGCATAGCATAATGGGACTCTGGAGAATTATGCGACCCCAACCCTTTTGACTGCAGCACGTGTAGCATCAATAAGATAACCTACGGAACTTTAGCCTCTGGAGGTTTCCCTATCCTTCTCTCCTCGGGCAAGGCAGTAGTCTTGGTGTTTTGCCCCCGTCCACCTCCTCAAGCCCACACAGCCAAGCCTCATCAAGCGTCAATCTTTGCCTGTGCAAGGAGCGGGCGGCAACTTGTGTACAAAGGTGAGGAAGAGGGAACCTGATGGGACCTGTACAATGCGTGGCTTTGTGGACCAACTCCAAGTCTTAGATTGCTTGCTAAACGGTGGGCGAGAAATATTTTGCCCATCTTCTCTCTTCTCAGAGGAGGCTAGAACCGGCCCCGAGCCCTTCTGTTCTTGATTCTAATAGCGTCGTGTGTCCGCCACGGGGACCGGGGGAGGGGACTGGGAGTTTCGGATGCATTCGTCGATGGAAATAAGCAACTTCACAGCCCTTTTGGGAGGCATCTTCCTTTTTCTTTTCTTCTCTTCTTTTCCCTTTACTTGATTTTTCCCCTGCAGTCTTGGTCCCAGCTTTTGGATTTCAGCGCGAGGAAAGGAGGGGGCTGGTTAGTCTCTGCGTGAATCGTAGACATGCAACAAACCCCGTCCCCCTTCCCCTCCTAAAACAACTAGAAGAAATTCCGACTTGGGGATTTAACTTGGCCATGGGTTTGTGAAGAGAAATATAGGCCATCGAGGCCGGTTGAAAGGGAACCTCAGGGACCCTCGCTTCCGTCGCAAGATTCTATTTTTCCGCGCTGCTGTATGTTTAAGCGAGATCATATCGACCAACGCGCCATTCTTCGCATCTCATCTGTCCTTCTACACGGAAGAGATAGTTGAGATATGGTCTATTTTACTGCGAGAGGAGGCTTGTCATGGGAGAAGACCATCCACATACTCACCGACCAGTGGAATGGCTTCTTTGCTTCACGAATTTTGGGGGCCTTTTTGGGATGTCAAGAGAATGATCCATCTTGGATGCTGCTTGGCGCTTGGCTCGGATGGCCGGGCGAGCGGTGGCAATCTCTCACTTGCTGAGACTGGAGATGTCTGGGCGATCGGGGACGCCCCTTTTGCCCCCACAAGGTTGTCGAGTGGTGAAAGTGGGACCAACCCGGCCCATCAACTTTTGGGATGCCTAAGAAGGGGAGGAGGGCACAAGGCGAGATAGGAAGGGGAAATAAATGGGTGAAAGGAGCTGGAGGATGGTGCAAAGCCCCTCCGCTGAGGTGGAGATAGGTAAGGTCCAGGACACGCCAGACGGAAAATTTAAGCTATCATCTCATATTAGCGGACGTGTTCTGGGCGAGCCACTGCTAGCAATATTCAAAGAGACAGCAGCCGGAGGTCTTTCTGGCATTTGTTGGGACAGCGCAGCCGAAGCGACTAGCTGAAGGGTCGAGAGACATGAGTGAAAAGGTGAAAATATGCGCAGATGATGGAAAGGATGCACCATGTGTACACTGCATAACTCTCGCACTCTCCGAGCCAGCCGAGAATGTGATTCTGTACGCGGGAAGACCAAAGTTGGTCGGGTGGACGGGATACTATCAATGTTGATTAGGGCCTGGAAGAGAAGCCACTACCACGACGAGGTTGGAGAATCAAGAGGCTGCTCCATGGCCGCCTGAAATTGATTTCCGAGGCTGCCTCAAGGTCATATGTGGATGAAGGGGAGACAGAGCATCAAAGGGCTCGTCCTCTGGGCCAACCCGACACGCCAGCGCGGTTTCTTGGTGAGACTTTTCAAGTTGTGCAATCTGCAGCCCACGACAGCACTGTGCAGGAAGGTACAGTGCAGCCCAGCGCCAGCCCAGCGCCAGCCCCGGGCCACGTCGTGTGTGTTGCGCCCCAGCATCGAGCACCAGGCACTAGGGTCAGGCAATATGTCCAATGAATGCACTGTTGGATCAATCAATTTGCCATAGATGACTGGAAGGCTTTCCAGGCGCTCCCCCTGCCTTTCGTCTACTTCACCACACATGCAAGCACACACACACACCTTTCGCATCATCGACCTGTTCCCTGCTGCGGAAGGAAGAGGTGCAATTCTCCCCCTCGAACACAACACGCCCGAAGACAAGGAGACCTTGGCAGATGTTTGATTTTGCGCGAGCAGGTATGGAAATGGTTTTTCTTCCCTTGTTTGAATTATGAGCTGTTGCTTCCAAGGTAAGGCAGAAAAAACGCGGTTGAAACACGATGCTAACCTCAGTCGCGCAGGGTCCCCAAATAGGAGAGACGAGAAAGAGTGAAAGGGTCTCGGTCCAAAAAAAAAAGAGCGGGATACACACCAAACTTTCGCGCGTCGCCCTTCCCCTTCCTCTCTTCCTTCGACAAGAAGGGTTCCCAAGTAACCTCGCCGCATCAAACCTTGGGTTACCTGTCCTGTATTTTTTATTCTATCCTTCCTTCCTTCTTTTTTTTCTTTCCCTTTTTCCGTCTTTCAAATCTACCTTCGACGCGACCACCGAGTTCCAAATCACGAACGGACGATACCACGCTAGCCCAGGCTTTTGTTGAGAAGGCGGCAAAAGGTGCGTGGTCCTTCGGACCAGCTTTTGCCTACGGACGGTCGTCATGATCTCGTCAAACACGAGATCGTCGCGCTCGCGCTATTCGAGCCCGGCGCAGGGAGCGCAAGGGGGAACTGGAGGCGGAGGACCGCTGGAGGCGAACAAGAACTCGGCAAACGAGGCATCCAGGGCGTTTATGCGACGATGGATGGAGCCTACCGTTCAGCACAAGGCTAGCTACGAGGAGGCGGGCTTGATGCGCTTCGGCGTGCTGGAGAATATGCAACCCCTGGGGAGCCTGCCCAAGCCTGACAAGGCGGCGGGTGGAGGAAACGGGTCCAAGAAGGAGAACGGGAATAACGGCGCTGTGCGAAAAATCGTGCTGAAGCCCTCGTCAGGCACGGCCAACAATGCTACGGGGAGGAAAAATTCGGCAGACGCGGAGGGCGAGGATCGGATTGCAAAGGCCCACCGCCGGTCGCAATTTCTGTCTACAAACACATCCGCCTCGCCTTCCCCTTCTCCTCCCGCTCACCTTCTCCACCCGCCTCGCCTTCGCCATCCTCGCCACAACCTCCTCCGCCCTCCTCCTCATCCACGCTGGCTCCGCCTCATATATCGTCCGAGACGCAAGCCGAGACTGAGCTTGCGCTTTCCGGGATCAAGGATATCGACGATAATAACGACGAGGATTACGAGCCCAAGGTGGACATGAAGAGGAAACCTAGCATGCACCGGTCGCCGATTGCGCGTCGGAGCCGCACAAGAGCTTCGCTCAATCGTGCGGCAGCGGCGGCGGCGGTGGCGGTGCCATTGAGGAAAGTCCTGATGCCACGGCGGCGGTGCCTACGAAAGCGGAAAATACGATATTGGACGAAAGCCTGGCGAAGAGGAAAAAGGCCATTGATGAGGTGATTGACGGCGCTGTGGAGAATGCCCTCAAATACCGCCGCTATCCTACGGCGTACGCTATTCGCACGCTCTACGACGAAAATTCCTCAGACGCCCAGATCGTGTCCATGTTTGAAGATGTTTTCCTCCAGCGTGCGGATACCGAAACGATAAATCGTTTTGCCCGCCTCGTCACGGAGCGAAAGGAGGTGGGTGCCAAGGACAAGGTCGCCTTTCGATTTTTCTCACCTGGTGCGGTGGGGTCTCCAGGGGCACCCATCCCTGCCCACTCCGCCGACCTGGCTCGATTCGACCCGACCACGGCAGCTATTTTGTACGACCAGGTCGAGGATGTGCGCGCACTCAAGAAGCAAAAACATCGCATCTCCCGGAATCCCCTCACTCTCGAGGTCGCGGCGGAGGACGACGACGGCGGCAGTAATGGACGCCGACGCCTCGAAAAATAGCACGCCAGAGACGCCCACGCGGAAGCGACCGCGCAGCGATTCGCTAGGAAGTGACTCGTCCCTTTCGTCCGTGGCGATAGACACGCCAGAGCTCCAGGCGATTGCCGAGCTGGTAGACGAGGACATGAAGCTCGAGTCGGAGGCCCAGGGCCAGCAGCCTCCCAGGATCAAGCTCAAGACACAAGCCAAGGACCAACAAGGCAAGCCCAAAATCCAGCGCCAATTACAACTACAAAACTCGGCTATGGGACTGAGGATCAGTGGTGGTGGGAGCGGTGGCGCTGTCGGTGTCAGCAAAAACACCGGCAAACGAGCCGGCAGCATCCGGGCCAGTGGCACAAAGGCAGAGGGCCAGTCGCAGGCTGGGAAATCCCCTCGGTCGAGCGAGATGACGAGGACTTGATGGAGGGCGCGGGAGCCGCTGGTGCTGGGGCAGACGTGTCAGGCGGCCACACCACCGCGCAGCCAATTACGACGGCGGCCGGTAAAACTGCGGTGGCCCAGCACAAATCAACCGCGTCCACTAAAGCCACTAATAAATCCAGGACCAATCCCGCCCCCAACTCCCCAACCAGCAGCACTGGGCCGTCCCAAGCCAAGGCTCGCGACACGCTCTCGCTCTCCCCATCATCACCGTCGCCCACGGGTCCCAACTCCCACCTTGATGAGGCATCCCATGGTTTCCCTCACGACGACGGCATCACCAAACCCCATGCCCACGCCATGCCTGGCGTCGTGCGTCCACTTTTTCCTAACCTTCCGGTGAAGGCTTCGGCCATTCGCTCGAGCATGCGGGATGCTGACGCCAATTCGGACGATGAATCTCAATCCTCCCGACCTGGCACTGCGAGTGCCAAGGCTAAAGGGAGGAGAGAGGGCTCTACGAAGCCCCTCGGTGCCGGTGACTCTCTCAAGTCTTCTCCGCCTCAGACAGCCGGGGCCGCCTCTCGCAAGGCGAGGGGCGGTGCGCGGCCTTCTCCCATCGCTACCGGCACTCCAGGCACCAGGTCAACTCGGTCGGCGGCCAAGAGGACGCACGACGACCTCGAGAGGACGGCGTCCCCGTCGCGGCTTCAGCGAAGAGTAATGGCCCGTCCTCCCAGGTGACTTCTCGAGCCGTCACGCCGGTGCTGCAACCCCCTCGAAAAGACAGCGAACCGGCCCTCGAGTTAAGACTTCGTATGTTGACAAAAATTCCTTTTCAAGTTTTCTTCCTATTCTGCGATTCTTGTCTGTCCTCATTTCCCTCCCCATGTACCGCTACCTATAGGTTCCGTTCGCTTCTTGCCTTCGTCTCCTGTGATGATGCCGCTGCGGAAATGAGGTTTTGCTCCCATCCATCTCTCATCATCTCGCATCATTTTTCCCCGTCTCGTCATCTTTTATTCCCATTTTCCCCATCTTTTGCGTTCTCGCTTCAACTTAATATTCGATCTCTCGTCAAGTTTTTGTGTGCCGCTCGCGAGAGGCGGGAAGGGTTGGTTGGCGATGATGCCTAGGAGCGAGAGGGCTAGTGTGGCGAGAGGCCTTTTTTCTCACCCGACCCCCTGCCGTCACCGAGTTCCCTGGTCATCCAAGCATCAATCATCTGTGCGGTTATGATGTGACCCTACCGGACGTACCCTTCCTTGCCTGCCCATCCTCCTCTCATTCTCGATTTATGGCCCTATCCCAATATCACAATCGAGATCTGTTCTAGACTGCTAACCACGACTATTTTCTTCTTTTCTTTAGGCCTAAAAGCAGGGTAACACGACGGCCGGCGTGCCTCGCCCAACAGGGGAGGGCATCCTCCACGTGCCCGGAGCCCAACCCAATCGTGAACAGGTGAGTACCACTCTTGAAAGCTCCTGGCGGAGCCTTCTCTCGATTCTTTTTTCCCGCCCTGCCTTTGGGTGTTATATCGTTCATTTTTCTCTTTTCCGACGGCACTACGAAGATTGGTGGGCTGTCCTGTGCAGTCACTAGTTCCTCTCGGATTCTCTTTTTAACCCTCCCATCCCTCCACCCCCTTGTCCTTATGCCGACATGGCTCCTGCAGGCTGAGGGATATTGGCTTTGGTTAAGCTTGCCTGTTTCTTTTGAGTAGCTTGTTTCGGCGCCTATCGTAGGGTGACAGCACTCGTTGCCAAGTGGTACAAAAGAGCAAGTTGGGCGGATTGCCGAAAGACGGGATCCCAGTTTTTTCCCTTTCCCATCTATTCTCCCTTGCCTCGGGAGCGGACCACTCGGGCTCTGTTTCATTCTGCCGGCTCTGTCGGGAACCAACCCTTTCTCTTTGGCCCCTCTCTTGGGATTGTAATAGCGAACGCCGTCCCACTCCGCCGCCCTCGATTGAACACCGTAGTTTAGTCCGTGGTGCTTTTGTCACTATATCGTTCTCGGAGAAAATTATCGTCTCCGCTATAACAGCGAGAAAAGGCTAATCATATCTGCCTCGGCTTCCAATCTAGGTTGAAAACGACGATTACTGTTCGTCTTGCGGCAACAACGGCGACTTGATCTGCTGTGATAACTGCTCCAAGTCTTTCCACTTTGAGTGCGTGGACCTTGTCGGCTCTGCTGGCCTACCTGATGACTGGTTCTGCAATGATTGCGCGTACAAGCGGTCTGCGCGGCGCGAGGAACACAGTGGACCGTTTGGCGGTCTCCTCACCCTCCTTGACAAGACGATTCCCCGCGCTTTTAATCTACCTAAGAAGGTGCAGACATACTTTGACGGCATCAAGGCGGGTCCAAACGGGGAGTACGAGGAGGTCGAGCGCACTTCCAAGCAGTCTAGGTAAGTTTTTTGTCAAGTCACAGCTAAACCAGTCTATACCCCTAGCCGCCGATGCGGTCGGTCCCATGTGGTGGATTGTCTGAACTGTTCCCTAACAGCGTCGTGTGTAGAAAGGAAAAGAATCAGGAATTCGACCTCTGGCAGCAACGCGATAGCGAGGGAAATGCGGCGCTCTGCCATGGCTGCCAAAAGGGCGCGTCGAGTACGAGCAGGATGATGATGCTGTGTTCGGCGTGCCCCCTCTACTGGCATCTCGACTGCATCGAGACACCGATGGCACACCCGGCCAACCCGAAGAAGTGGATTTGTCCAGCTCACGTGGATCACTTCTACAACCCCGACAACGTCCCTCTTGGTCGGCGATTCCGCAAGGTCCGCGGATCTCAGGTCGTCAAGCCGGTTTACTCTCGGGGTACAAGAACAATGGCATGATCGAAGTAGACGACACGGAGGAAGTCGAAAACGAAAATGCCTCGGGCTGGAACGACATGAGGTTGTATGGTAGAGTCCTTCGGCTACCAGCCCGGGGCATCAAGCTCGACTTTATCGAACAGTATGGGCCCTTTTTTCTTTCTTCTACTTCTTCCTCTCCATCTCCTACTCACCACGATCCTCCCTCTCCTCATTCTCTTTCTCGTTCCCGTGCGTGGCGGATGACTAACAAAACAACTTTCCACACAGACTCCGCAAGATTGGCGCTGGCCATATCCCCGGAGCTGAAGCGAGCTCGAGCGAAGAACAGCGACAATCACAGCTGCAAACTGGCCGGGTCAGCGAGGCTCCAGGCCTCGACGACGCTGAGGCGGCGGTGGCACTCTGTAGACTCTTTGACGCCAGCAGCCTAGAACCAGTGGTGGTAAAGAAGGAAGAGAATGACTCTCTCAGCGAAGCCATCGAGGTTCCTGACGGCGAAACGGCGCCGAAATCAGATCCTACTGAGGAGAGTCAAGGCTCACGGGCCGAGCCAGAGCGGGTCGACGAGAACGAGACTCTGAAGCTCTTGGCTCAAGTGCAAGAAGGTCACATCACGGGCAGTGCTATGAGCTTGAGTGACAAGCAGTCCCTACGACGACTGATGGAATCTATCAGGTCCGCGCTCGGGGAGGATGTAGAGGAGGATACAGACAAGGCTCACCAGGAGATGATGGCCGACCTTGACGGTGTTTCGGATGGTGCCTCGACGACGCCGGAGGCTTCGGAAGAGGCGGTGACCCCCAGCCGGACACGACGATGCAAACACCGGTTTCAGACTCGGTCGAAAAGTCGACAGACGAGGCGACGGTGGGCGAGCAAGGTAGCGAGTCGGCGGAGACGATCAAAACGACGAGCGACGGCATTGAGCTCGTGGAGATGGCGGATGACGACCCGGAGCTTGCTAGGGCAGCGAGCGATAAGCTTTCGACGAGCGGAAACGGCACGGCGCCGCCTTCTAAGACGGAGTCGGTCCAGGACGTTGACATGGCAGACTAAAGCGCGGCAACGGACAAGACGACCACCTATCCTTGGCAACGAAATCGAGTTATCAAGTTCTTCTATTCCCCATCATATACAGCCGACGACAATCCTCTTCTTCCTTTGTTTTTCTCCTCGTTCATCTTTCCCTCTTGTCCTCTTGACAAAACAATCATCTTATACTTGTTCCTAACTTGCTCGGAACACACGAACTTATCTCACCTTTTTCTTCCTCCTCTTCCTCCTTTTCCTTGTCCACCTCTTCCGCCAACAGGCCCTCTTTTCTTTTTTCCTTTTTAGCCTCTCCGGACCCTATAGACGACATGATATATACATATACTTTTCTAGTAGCTCTACCGCCTGGAGCTAAGGGCACGCGCGGCACTCTTGAACTTTTTGACACTGGGATTGGGGGTTATCGCGGACGACTTACTTGGAGGGATTGGTCGTCTCCTCGTTCCGGAGGCTACCGACATAGGTCAAGCTCTTGCCGCTCTCTCCATTGGCGCTCCGTTTCCCCTTTTCGCGTCCTTGCTCTCTTTGCCTCTTTTTGTTTCCACTTGTCGGCGGGCTGGTGGGTGTCTCACTGCTGCCTCCAATCTTAGTTTCATGTTTTCCCATTCTCAGCGTCATAATCCATGTGCCAACAAAGTTGCAACACTTTTCTCTCTCATCCACCAAAACCCGGGTTCCTTTTCTCCCTATGCTCTTCTCTCTCTTTTTCCGTGTCTCCTTGCCTCTGTTTTCTGTCAAGGCTTTCCGGTTGGCATTGGATTCTCTTTCCTCAGCGAATGTGTAACCCTCAACGAACCCTCCAGATTCCCCCGTCTCCCCTTTTTAGTTTCTCTTCACTGTCACATTGTTTCTCTTTTCTTCCCACCGTGATATCTTATCTCTCACCTTGTCTTCTCACTTCTTTTTTGTTCTTTTTCGTCTTAACTAACCTCCACCGGGTACATGTCTGAGCGGCTCCCATTTTCGCCGGTTTACTTTTTCTTTTTCCCGGGCGTGTGTGAGAGCGACAAGATGGATGGACTGGGTGCCACGGATGCCCTTAGGAAAGCGGACTCGAGGATGGACAGGTGGGAAAAGGGGAAATTGAAAATCTATTTAGAATTTGAGAGATTCTTTCTTTTCTTCCCTCGTTCCTCTGCTTTATCATCTTGCCTCCCTGCCTATCTACTTTGCTTTGGCCTGTCTCCGCCCCCTTGTTCCAATTCCACCATGTCGCCTCTCTTTGGCAGGTCGTCACTACGCCAAGTCGGGGACGAGGCGCGAGGGCCAAAGAAAGAGGAAGGGTAGAGGGTAGATGGTAGGGCAGGAGCAGAAGGGAATGCTAGAGAACATCAAGAAACAAAAAGAGAAATCAAACCGAAATTGCCAACATCTTGGGTGCCTTTTCAAACCATGACATCTCCTAGGTCTCGCTCATCCTCCGTCTCCGCGGGCGTCCCCTGAAGCGTACATGTAGGGCGCACGCGATTCCCAAGTTTTCACACCTCGATCGTCAATGGCGTCGTCACGTGGAAGGTGGATGTGTGATCATGGCCAGAACCTGGAATGGCTTGCTGCCAATGGACACTCGTCCTGCCCTCGGTACATGTGGGAGAGTGTACCCACGTTGATATTTGATCAATCAAGGGATCCAATGGATCCGTTGCATCCACTGCATCCGTAGATGGGCATTCGGGCTTCAATTGACCAATACCCCTACCTTTACTCGCTGTACTCCATGCATGGTGGATGCATCATCACCGACACTTGGCTCAGGACGAGTTTCCTCTCTGGGGGCCCCCAACCTTTTTTCATACAACCCTCTCTAATCGGTTCCTTCTCCCTCGCCAAAAAGCGAGTGAATTTAGGTTCATAGGCCCCGAGTCGTATCATTAAGCAATATCACCTAGTGCCGCTGGTTCGTTTACGTCTATTGATATTGGATTTATTGTTGATATAGAATGCGTACCGAGGGACATGGGTAATGTTTAAGTAAAAGGTTTTGGCAAGTGGGATATTAGTGCGCGGGATCTAAATAGTCAAAGTCACCTTCTTTTGGCTTTGGTAATGCAAAAAGGTTGAGAGCATCCGCTCTTCAAGATTTAATGGTGACTTCATCGATTTCCCTCGTTTTTGGGGGCTAATAGCGCATGTTCTGTCCACGCCAAAGTGGTGTCGTGGTGGTCGCGAGTACCCAGGTACGCTCCGGGAGACATCACGGCTGCTCGGGCGGGTGTATTCGATACCCGTCAGGCTTTAGTCCACCGCTCCGCAGTTGTAGCGTTCATTAGGGGTCATCGGGTCGAGGTATTGCCTCAAGCAGTGGTGCTGCTGTATTCTCTATTACACCCTGCCTAACTACTCTACATCAATTGATGGCCTGGGAATGTTCCTCGCCCCCTTTCCCATTTTGGCAGGGTGACGCTCAATGAACCAAGCTGGAGGTGCGAGAAGAGCAAGTCAAATGACCGATTTCAAAGGCCTCGCTCGGCATTGTCAGCAGTTCTTGCCTCTCTCTACTATTAGGCGTTCTTTTCTCTCTCTCTCTCACTATCATAGATGCAAGATCAATTTACCTATTTACCTAGATTTTGATTGATCCATCATCCCCTTCTTCCAAAGTGCCTTGCTTACCCTTGCTTACCTTGTTACCCTTCTTGCCTTCCTGGTACAAGTTTGTCTAGAGTGATCAATTTCCACACCGTATCAACTGCACTACTACACTCCCGCTAGGCAAACGTTCAAACTCATCCATTCCATTTGATCCATCCTCTTCATCACCCGCCCACTGCCCACCGCCCACCGCCCACCCGAAACAGGACCCAAGCGCCCTCCACCCCCTCCACCCCTCCACCCCCTTGCCGGCGTGCCTTGGGCAGAATCAAAACAGGCAGGGAACATTGAGCCTTCACCGCAGCTCCAAAACCCACCGCCGCCGTCGCCGCCTCCCCACACCCCACCCACGCAAACCCGGACATAACGAACAGCATACTTGTACACACACACACACACACACACGCCCCTCTCCCTCCGTCTATCCCTCTATCTTACGAACATTGCCTCTCCTTTTTCCGATAGCACAACAATACCAAGAAGAAGAAAAAAACAAGAAGAAAAGCCGATCTAGGCCAAGAGTTCAAGATGAAGCTGTACTATATTAGTGTGAGTAGTACCCCGCCTTCAATCCCAATCTCCAAAACCTTCTCCTCGCCTTTCCTTCCTCGCCACCTCCCTCGCATGTCTCCCGTTCCTTCCTCGCCTCCAAGGCCCGCTCCCTTCTCGGCTCTCTATGAGCAGCAGTCCACGAAAGCATAGCAGCAATGGTGGGGCCAGTAAAGCAGAGAAACCTTATCGCCTGCCTTTGGCCGAGCTACGACTGTGGGAGACCCGCCCGCGCAAACACCTACGGCGCTGCGACAGAGAATCGAGGTCGTGCGAGGCCATGGGAGTGAGAGAGAGAGAGGTTCTGAGAGAGAAAGACCCTAATGCGGTAAACTAAACGAATATCTTGCAACCCAATATAGATCATTAGGAACGCCGAGAAGCCCGCGATACAGCTCAGCTCGGCCTACGATCTGAGCGAGTTCTCGCGCTGGACCAAAAATGACTACCAAAACTTCATGACCATGTTCAGCAAGACCGTGGCCGAGCGGACGAACCCCGGCCAGAGGCTCGACGTTGAGGAGCAAGGTGCGTAACAGGCACGCCGTGTCTCGTCGAGTGCCCCCTGGCCCCCTGGCCCACGCCCCCAACTCCTCGCTCAAGACTGACGGGTTTCCCAACAAAACAACAGGCCATACCTTTCACTGCTACTCCCGCTCCGAGGGCATCGCCGGCGTCATCATCTCCAAGGACTATCCCAAGCTCGCCGCCCACCAGATCCTGTCCAAGGTCGTTGACGAGTTCCTCGCCGATAAGACGGCCGCCGAGATCGCCCGCGCCTCCAAGGACAACGAGCTATCCTTCCCCGCCCTACAAAAGTACCTTCAGACCTACCAGGACCCCTCCGAGGTCAGCTCCATCGCCAACATCCAAAAGGAGCTCGACGAGACCAAGATCATCCTCCACAAGACGATTGAGAGTGTAAGAATGATACAACCCTTCAATTTGCAGTTTACTAACGGGAGGGGAACACAAAATGTAGGTCCTCCAACGTGGCGAGAAACTCGACGACCTTGTAGCCAAGAGCTCCGACCTCAGCGCCCAAAGCAAGATGTTCTACACCACCGCCAAAAAGCAAAACTCTTGCTGCTCCGTCATGTAGAACAGCCCTCCCGAGCCTGAGAAGCAGAAATAGAAATTCAACAAGAAGGGGAGGGGAAACAAACCCCCAGATTTCCAACCATATGAACAAGAGAGCACTTAAACACGACCCCCGGCAACCCTGCACACCTCTCTTACGGCTCGATCCGTCCTTTGATCCATACTCAGCGCCGATGATCCCCGAATTACCAATATTGTGTCTCCATGCGACTAGGCCCCCTCTGATCCATCACTTTGCTCTTCTCACCCTCGAAACTTGTCTCCAGTCGACTCAAGTAGGGGAACGGGGCCAGTGAGTAAGAACCAGGGAGTCTCATTATCGATGGTACGTTGGGGGCGGTGGAATCGCGCTTCAGCTAGAGCCTGTCTTGAAATTGGGACCGAGGTCGTTTTTGAACACGCTGGGTCGTTTTATCCTTTTTTATTTAGTCCCTTTTTTATTTTTCACAAGGTTTAGTCAGAGATCGACCAGGGATCCGGAGAGTAATAGGATGGGAGAGTCTCGGGGGTCCAACAATCTCGTGGGCCATGAAGCATTGATGGAGTTCCACAAAGCTTTTGGGCGTCGTTGTGACAGAGCAGTGGCAAGCCCACGGCTTCCGTATGCATCTGGGGAGCGAGAAGGCAAGTGGGTCGTTTGGACCTGTGCATACCACACACACACGCTTTAATCAAGTTTTTGCTCTTTTTCTTCCCGTATCGTTTTGTATCCCTACAAGCACGCCACGTAGTTTTGACGCTCTTAGATCATGAACATAACACCGTGTTACAAATCTATCGAATTTTTCTCCCCTTGAAATCTTAAGATCCTCGCGGGTCCCCTTTTATTGTTGTTGGTGCGGCATCTACTATGTGGTCATCCATTAAGCACAAAAGAGACCCAACTGGGAGTGGAAAGGAGAGGAGAACCAGGAGAAGATGAGGGAGGGGTAGGAAGAAGAATGAGATGAAGGTGGCTGTGCCCTGTTTTCTATACACGAGAAACTTCATCTAGGCCAACATCGAGAGAGGCAACGGGGTCGAGGGGGACGGCCCGTGTGGGCAGGACGAGAAGAAGAAAACGATACCCCTTGGCATCACGGAAATTGGCAAATGAACAACTAGGCTGGAAAAAGAAATAAAAATCGTACAAATCTCATTTCTCCCCCAATTTGTCCTGGCTCGCCCGACATGTCCCATACCTTCCCGCCTCCTCTCCGAAAAGTGTAAACCAAGGCCTCCCAAAAAGTGACAAAGGAAGAAACTCGAAAACGAGAGAATTGGGTCCAAGCATAGCCAAGCATAACTTATAAAGCCACCAGAGAGAGCCACGCACAAACCGACGCAGCCCGTCGTCAGCTTCGCGCATCATCCCTCCAGGTGCAGGAGAGAAGAGAAGGATAGATGTAGAAGAAGAAGAAGAAAGTGGAAGAGACGAAAAGAAAAAGAAGTACCCAAAAATCGCCATCCCAACTCCTCTTCGTCCCTGATGAGAAAAAAAGATCCAATCCTTTGCAAAAGAAAGCCTATCCTAGTCTGCTCGAAACGAATGGTCGTGTAGATATATCGTAGAGATGGATCGAAGGGGCGTATAATGGTGCCTATCCCTGAAATGCGGTCAAATGCTAGACGCCTTTGTCCTCAATGGCCAGTTCGAAAACAATCAATTTTCAACTTTTTTCCTCATCTCTGCGGCAGGTGTTAGTTTTTTTTTTCCAAATCACTTGTCCTCAACAAAGCTAGGGAGAAGGGAAGATAGAAAAGCAAGGAATGTAGGGGCTGCTTACCCGGCCACGCCTGGCGTTAACCTGCTCCTGCTGCATATATGCCATATTTTGCATTCCGTCAACGCCGCCCATCCCTCCGCTATAGCCATTGTTGTATCCACCCATCGCAGGCAAACCCCGATTCCGAAACCAGGCGGAGGCCCAAAGCTCGACTGGCTTGGGCCAAGCTGGGGAGGAGGTTGGACGCCGGGGGGCATGGGGCCATTGTTAGGCAAACCTTGACTACGGTAATGGTCGAGAGAGGACCCGGCTGGGTTGAAACCGTTGTAGCCTGCCTGCATCGGTGGGAAGAAGTTGTTGACAGACGGGTTGCCCCTCGGGGGCATGCCCTGCTGGAAAGGGAGGGGAGGCATGCTCATAGGTTGCGGGGAAGCTGTCCGTTTCCGCTCTGGGAATACATTTGCGACTGGTTCGGCAACGAAGGGAAGGGCTGAAGACCCGCATCTGGGCCCTCGGCGCGCTGGTTGCTGTACCCCACGTCGTAACCTGTCGGATTGCTCGCAGGACCGTTGTGGCTGTTGTAAAATTGTTTGTTTGCCGCATGGCCGGTTTGTCCGTGGTGATGATGATGGCTCGCTCCTCGAGAAACGGGTCGTTGGCGGTGCTCGTTGGAGTTTCCGCCAGAGCTGTGCTCACGGTTCGAGCTCCCGCCACCCGATGCACGGGTTGAGAGGCCTACCTCGTCCATCAAGCGCTTATAGCCCTGGTTGGGTTGAGCCTTGATGCGAACCAAGACAGCCTTCACTGTCTCTACGACCTGCGTACGGATACTGTCATCGAAGAATGGCGTGGTCAAGACCTTGAAGATTAGCGTCGCTCCACACGAGTGGTCGCTCAAGATGGCTTCCAGCACTTGGTCGTTAGGGGAAAAGAACAAGGCCTTGAGAATCACATCACGAGCCTCTGTCTCCGTCTTCTGATTGATCACCTTCAAGACGGTGAGGTATGCGACCTTGTGCGTGCAGAGGTGTACAAGATGAGGCACAAGCTGGGGGCCAAGACGGTTCGTCGGTGGGGGAACGTGCAAGTGTCCAGGAACCACGTTAGGAGGAGCGCGCCGTTGGCATTGGTCGCCAGCTGAACGCTATGAAGGGCAATCGTGGCCGCCAGAAGCCTCTGCTGGTTTTTGCTCGCGTGGTGGCTCTCGAGGCACGCACGCATGGCCCTCGCACCGAAGCGGCCCTGGGCCGTCTCCACATCCGGCTCAGCATCGTCTCGAAGATGAAGTCGTTAAAAGGCTGGCCAAACTTTAGGCATCCCTGGAGTACGTAGTTGCCGTACTGGTCCAAGAATAGCGGAACTGTGTAGGGCCTGAGGTGCTCGACAATCAACGACATCTGGTGGGGCGTCTTGCAAACATCAATAATCTTCTGGGCAGCCCAGGTGCCATTCTTATGGACACCAATCTCGGCCATGTGAGGGGCAATCTCGCCGAGCATGGCATCCCGGACATCGTCACTACAGTGTTCAAAGAGCTTCTGAACCACTGTATTGCCAAGGTAATCGGATGATAATTCGGCAATCTCGGGAAGCATCTCGATGGCAATAGCCTCGATCTCGCCTTGGGACAGGCTCTGGTTGTCAATCTTCTTTCGGATGTCCCTCAACTTGGGCGCATCGTGGATTCTAGTGTGAGACGGCTCACCAACCGGGGGATCTCGTCCGCATAGGTGCTGTAGTCAATCGCCGACTTGAGATTGTTCGAGGCCCGGAACTTATCCTCCTCGTTCGCGCCAAACTGCTTAACAATTTCAAGAACTTGTTGAAACAGATCCTTGAGGGGTCGAAGAGTCGGCGACAAGACGGCACCCGAAGCACCACTGCCCGACACGCCCTTGGGGGTCCCAGCTCCAGCGCCACCACTGCCTTGCGCAGCACCATCTTGGCCCTTTCCAAACGGGTCAGGGCTAGGGAGGGGTATAGGCCATCGTGACCGGGGGTGTTAGAAGCCGAAGCAGGCTTAGCAAAATTGATACGAACACATCCAGACCCAGGGAAGATCTCCTTGCCGTTCAGGCTATTCCGAGCGGCAATTGCGCTTTCCACGCGATCATAGTTCACGAAACCGCAATTCTTGTGGGTCAACACTCGGACGGAGAGGATAGAGCCAAATGGCTTGAAAATTTCGTTCAAAGTCGAGGTTGTGGTAGAGGTGGGAATGCTTCCAAGCCAAAGAGCGCTCGTCGGGCCTTCGAGACCAGGCGGGTCATCTGCACCGAGGAGGGCAGCGTTGCGGCTGTTCGACCTGCCGATAGTCATGGCAGCAACGGCTTGCGGGAGGTCTTCGAAGTCCTTTTCGTCGGGAAGCCTAATCTCGGTAGGAATGATAGAATTAGGTACGACGCCCTGACCGCTCGAGAGATACGTGTTCAGAAGTCGGCTGCCGGGCGTGTCTAAAACACCAGCGGTTCGGGCACGGGGCCTCAAAGATGCCTGGCTGACAAAAGCTTGTACAGCCATGTTGTGGCTATGAATGGCCGCATTGGTGGCAGCAAGCTGGTCCTGAAGCTGTGCGACAGCATAGTGCGGATCGTAGGCCGAGCCGTTGCCATCGTAATCATCCTCTTCGTCATCATCATACTTGTCCTTGTTGTTCACAGAATACGATCGGAAACGGTTTGCTCGAGCAAATGAGTTGAGGTAGGGTGTGGCAAGCTGCGCGCGGGGAGGCTGGGGAGTCTCCGCTAGACCCAGGTAATCAAGCGTTCGCATGTGGACGTCGCTATCAGCACCACCGTCCCGCGAAAAGGCAGACTGGGCAGGGGAGCTCGGGCCGTTGGATCCAATGCTCGCAATACTAGCAAGTGTAGCCCCCGCTCACGGGTCATGCCAGGGTTCCAGGCGCTGCTGAAGAGAGATGGACCAAAGGGGAGTTGGTTCCGGGCAACGCGCCAAAGGGGCTGCGCTGAGGCATCGAGCCGGCGCGCAAGCGGGAAAGGAGGGTGCTCGAACCGGGGAGCCCAGGAGGCTCAAGATTCGGGGAAGGCGATTTGTATTGCGGTTCTGCCGGGATGGGGCGAGAGGCAGTGCTAGGTGCCAATCCGGCAACGCCCAAGAGACCATTGCCTGCACCGCCGGGGAGAAGCGAGATGGGACGGTCCCGGCACGGGCGCGTCGAGTCTGGGGAAGGCTCGCCTCCTGCGAAGGGAGCTGGGCAAAGTCTGGAAACCCATCGGTAGGAGATTCGGGGATGTTCTCGCGGAGCGGCGTGGAATTTCCACTGGTGGGAGGACCACCCCAGGGGTTCACGGGCAGGCCAGGGATACCTTCCTGGGCCTGGATTTCGCGGGCTCTGTTCAAAAGTGAGAATTAGTCCCTGTCCGTAATGCCGAGGAGAAACAATTGGGGAGGGTGCAATAGAGAACAGGTCCAGGATGACATACCGTTTCGGGAAGAGCCTCCCCGAGCCACCCATATCGGAGGGTGAGCCGGCGCCGGATCGGGTTGGGTTCTGCATCTTACCAGAGCCAACAGCTCCGGCAGCAAGGCCAAAGGGAGATCGAAGGGGGATAGTACCGCCAGTGGGGTCACTAGGGAATGGCTTGTCGCAGGTGATGTCGAGCGACCTTGGGCGGATGGCTGAGGGTAGCCAAATGCTAAATGATCAGATCTAGAAGTGGACATTATCGATTACTTGGATGGCCGCATGGGCTACGGCCATAAGCTGGCGCGGAAAACTCTTCTCGGTATGCCGGTATAATAGTAATGGTATCTAGGAGGGAGTGCGAAGGCGCAGCCACAGTCGTGGTGCGGAGGCGCCCACTGTCTAATCGGAGACGACGAAATGAGATTTTCAGGTACGCAAATGGCCCTCAAGACGGAAAGAGGGGCGTAGGAAGCACACGGGTGACAGCGAAGGAGCGTCTAAGATGGAAGAAAGATCCACGGCGAGGAAAAATGATGGCAAACGTTGGATGGCGGGTTGAAGGGTTTGGTGGGTAGAGGCAAATTTTAGTTCGCTGACGTCTTTCAAGACCGGACGTCGAGTTAACTAGAACATTAGCTGCCACGAGCCTGTCGGAACACCTCCAAAGACAATTAGTTTTAAGTATAAACGGTCCTCAGGTCGGTCGAAGAATGCTTGTCGAGATTGCACAGTCGCCAAGAGTGCGTCCTGATGATTGTGGTGGGTGATGACAGTCTCTCGTCAAAAGATTCTTTGTGGAAACTTCAGGTCCTTGCGGATTCGGTTTGGTGGGAGTTTCTCTTCCTCGCAGAGGCCAGAAGAAATAAGCCAAGGGCAAATGATACGTCAAGATGGAAAGTATTCGGGGGAAATAAAGAGTTAAAAAAACTGAGAGATCCAAATGAAATAAAAAGATTTACGATGAATGTACAGGCATCATTAAAAGAGGAATAGTCGATGCTGATGAGCCTTGGGAAAGGGAGGGAGGAGGAAGGAGAGGAAAAAAATAAAAAATAAGAAAGTGTTGAAGGTGAGCAAAGGAGGGAGTGGTGGAGGTTAGAAGAGTGGATTGCGCAACGCCCTAGGTGCCAGGTGGAATGGGTGCTATGAGCAGCTCTCTCCTGTCGGGGATGGTGAATGCGGTTCAAAAATGAAAGCCCGGTGTTTGGTGGGGAAGGCCAAGTTGCCTGGGCGTGGCTCTGGCGAGGTGAGTCGAAAATTGGGGCGTGTAAAGAGGACAGGATGGCTCCTGCCGTTTGTTAGCTGGTCCCTCGAATGAGGATTATTATCTGCCTCGTGCCTGCTTCTTCCACTACCTGCCTGTACAACGATTGGCAGAGCCAAGGTACCCTCCTGGCTGGGGGCAGCAAGACTCCGCCCTGCAGGGTACTTGGAAGGGTACCGCATCATTCCAGCTCGAGTCGGGAGATTGTCACAGTACAAATGCACAGGCGATGAGAGTGGGCACCGTTCCCCCAATCCCCTCTCCTCGGCATGATACATGTACGTCGAGAGTACGCCAAAGCTCCAGCCAGGTACCTGGGATGTCTCTGGCGTCCCTCAACGCATCTACACTGTCGATATTACAAGTACGAGGGCAAGAGGGCCAGGCATGAGAAATGGTGTGAAACGGACAATGGAGTCGTGCTTCAGTTTTTAGGGGCTGCGGCGGGGAAACTGCCAAGTGTGGATCCCTTCGTGGTGATGGAGAAATATCACTTGGTGGATATGACTGGATAATCCAACCTGTTGCTCTCCGGCCAGACGCGAGTTGCATACCTCTGACCTCTAGACCTTCCTGCTTGCCTCGCCAATCAAGGGGTTTCCGTTTGAGTCGACATCTCAAAGATGCTTCCACTCGCCAAACTGGTCCAGCATGGCGCTGATCGTGTCACCTTGTCCAAGCTTCCTTCGTGAGCGCTTCATGCCTCGATCGTCTCGCCTTCGCTCATTCGCCCTCACGTTACTGCTGTCCTACCACTGGCCGCCCTCCTGTCTTGCAGCCGTAGCACTAGGCCTTGGCTTGCCCCTCCCCGACGATGCCCCAGGGTCACGGTTAACAGCATATCAATTGACTTGAAGGGCCCGCCCATCATCTACGGGTCTCGTCCTCAAGCTCAAGAGAGAAGTGAGGGGAACGCTGCTTAGCCGCTGCCATGCCGCCATGCCCATAAATGCTTCTCCTCTCGAAGCTCATTCTCTCTATACACTCCCTTCATCAAAGCCAATGCATCCGAATTGAACCGGGAGCAGGCCAGGGCGAGGCAAAGTGACAACCCCAGAAAATGTCTTGGCCGGGCGTTGAGAACTGCCAGCACAGTGGCAGATCTACCATGGCCACGCCACGGCAAGATGCTACCTTGGTGGCCAAACCGTAGCCTTCGTCGGGAAACGGGGCGATCACCGTTGACCAAGCTCTCGCCGCCTCTATCCGACCACGCACCGGCCGCGGCCGGAGCCCTTCTATCTCTCCCAAGGGGTGGTGGGAAAGGTATGGAAGGGGACAATGCGTGAAGGCAAGGCCTAACTGATGAGGCGCTGTGACGCCGCACAGGTCCAACATGTTGGAAAAATAGGGGCCGGGCGCAACGAAGGATACTCGTGTGCCTTGCAGCCGACACGCTCGACAAGAGAACTAGGCCCAGCAGCAGTCGCACTGCACCAAGATAGATACACCTAGGCTGTCGGCAGGACGTGCAGGCTTGCGAGTCCCTCTTCCCCAGATTCTCAGTAGGCAGGTGGCTACATAGACACAGAGGTTTTGCTTGTGTGGAGCCCACTATGTTTCAAAGGCCGCGCGGGCATGCAACGAGTGAGTGTCAACGCTGGAGAAAAATGGATTTCTTCGAGAAGCGTCGTTCGCTAGCTTCCCAATCAGGTCTGGTCAAGCTACGAAGTACAAATTCGTGAAGCCATCCCCGGGTTGCACCACCAGCTGGATCAACCCGTAGCCTTCTAGGTTGGAAGTACCGGCCCCAGTATCATCATGTACTTGCGTTGTCCTGGTCCAGCCGAGTCGCCAGAGGCTTGAGTGCCGTAATTGCGAACGCAACTGAGTGCTACCGAACGGCAAGAAATTGAATTGACCCATTGATCAATGTTGGATTTTCACTGGGTGCCGAAACCTATTGCATGTACCAACAAAAGGGACCTTGTGGTGACACCAGAAAGCAAAAACCGACAGGAGCTGCTCTGCAAATGGGGGCAGACCTGGCCGTTCATCACATCACTTTGACACGGAATCATTTTCCGGTTGAACACAGCAAGAGAAATTAACCAGGTTTCTCCATCACCCTCGAGCGATCAGTCGATACGGCTTGATAAATCAATCCATCCATTCCTGAACACCAATCACCTTCAGTAAAGCCCCGAGCTCCTGGGTATCGCCTTTTCTTTCCCCCTTGACTACTCTCGCCCTTCCCCCTTTCCCCCCTCTCTCAATCCCATGACACAAAAGTGAAAAAGAAAGGAAAAATATCTTGAACAGTCCCCCAATTGAAGTCGAGGCTTTTCTTCTCTGAATATCATGCCCGGACGAGCGCTCTACCCAATCAGGGCTTCTCCGTCGCCCGAATGGCGTTCGATCTTCTGAAAGGGGAAAGGCGCGCTGGACGTGACCAGTGGTCAAGTTTGCGGGTAAGGATCCTGAAACATCGCGTTAACCTGCCCTCCACGACCAGACCCTTGTCGGTCGACGAAGAAATCCAGGGGCAACAGTGCTGACAGCACAGTCCAAAGTCCCGTTGATTGAAGGATGTCCAGGCACCTCTGTTCTCTCAACCGCGAAGTAATACGTGCAGGACCTCGCCAACTCGCCTAGCGAACAGGTGGACTGGCTGACCCTCGCCCTCTCCACAGCCCGCTCTCTCCGGTACATACATTGATGGCTCAACTGAATGGCTCCCTCAACATGACCCGTCGCAGCAGCTTGCGCGGCCTAGTATAAAATTAAAGCACGCTCGTGGAGGAAATCGAAGATGAACCCCGGCCAGTGCATCTTTGAGGAGAGAGATAACGTATGTAACCCAAGAGGTGGTCCATCTAGCATCTAGCAAGTTGGCTGTGTACTGGACAGGCCATCTACCACATTCGTCCTGCCCGCTCACGCAAATCTTTCACGGCAAGAAGGATTGGGGCCAGCAGCCCAAATACGAGGCGAGGCAGAGAAGCAGAGCTCGAAGATGCGGAGAACAAAGTCCCAACAGCAACATGCATTCGGTTCATCTTGTCTCACAATCTTCAGGGGGCAAGACTAAAAAGACACACCCAACTATTATCTGATACCGACAGGGGATAGAGGGAAGAACGATAATACTACGGGTAATAATCCCACCCACTAGATGAAGCTGGCACCTTGCAGCCTTATGAAGGAGAGACTCAGGGAGACGAGCACTGGCCAGGCTGCCAGGACAGCTCGCAGTGGTAGAAATTCGTCAATCTTGTAATCAAATATTATCGACCCGCATACACTACATTGTGTCTTTCCCGGAGCACGATAGCGTATGTATGTACCTCGGCATCATCGATCCATCGATGCATCACACTAGACAGAGAAGCAAGGAAGCAAGGACGTCATCCTGACCCCTGTTTCCGTTTTCAGTTGAGAGAAATGGGTCTCAAGTATCAGTTGCACCACAAATGCATCCTCTCCTTCAGCGAGCGAGGCGCAGAGCCGATGGGATTCCAACTCTTTGTCGGTAGGAGGAGCGGATGGATCAAGGGTGGATCAGCCATAAGACGGCCCGTTATCTGAACTTTTACGGCCAACACGCTAATATCCTCCGTCTCCGACACTTTGCGAGTTATTATTAGCCCCAAGCACTGGTACAGTCTCCTCCCACCTTGGCAGGGGCGAGGTGCGGAACCAGAAACCCTCTCCCCAAGCGGCATTCCAGAATACCAGTCCAATGAGTTTATCCCCTCGATATTAGTTTTAGAAGAGATGTGGAACCAAGCATATCTCGTCGACATTCTCTTGTCGGATGCGTACGTACCTGTATGTAGCATGGTACCTGCCCTGCGCCCCATCAAACCTGAACAACCCCGTAGAACTATCGTCTCGTCCTCGCGGGTGGAGTCACTCGCCATTGCAACAAGAGCAGAATATGGTAATATAGCAAAAGTGAGCGCCAGCTGCCGTCTCACCCATCCGATCTTCGAGCCCAGCATGCGCAACCCCACTCTACAGCTTGAGTCTGCGTCCTTGGCCTGCAGGGGCTATAATCGAAGACAGGGTGCGTGGATAGTACTAAAACAGTCAGAGGACCCCCATTATAGCACCTCAGCTAAGGTCGTCTGAGCGTGTTGGTCAGCCTAATTCGCGCCAGTTGACCCTTCGTTAGTGCATGCAGGTGAAGGTGAAAGGCCGGCCCATCAAGTCTGAAGAATTGACGATTATCGGAGGAGAGGCATGTCCACGCAACATCATCCTTGTCACAGCGGAATATCCTTGGGCATGTTCCTTCTAAGACCATATATGACTATTATAATTGTCGGCGCCGCCGTGCCCTGATGAAGTAGTAGCTATTCGACGACACAGCATACCGTCAGGGAGCATAGAGGGCTGGTCCATATTAGTAGGGCTAACCAATCAGTCAACCGTCGGTCGTGATGACGGGCTCGTTTTTTAACCTTTTTTTCTTTTTAGCGCTGGAGAAACCATCGACGTCAAGTCTGCTCGGGAAAGGGAAGGGTTGACTTTTTCTATCCAAGCACGCCCTAGTTCATGTCTAAAAAGAGCAATGTTGGCCTGGCCTATGTGCTGGGGAGAAAAGCAAAATCCATGATTATGACGGAAGCCGCAAAGGGCGAGGAGCAGGCTTGTTTCAGAGGAAGGTGCAATGGGGTGATCGCTTCAGGCCATTACCTAATGAGCCAGCATTCAGCCCAACATGAGCACGACAGAGCGGACCAAGCGTGCAAATTCATTGATACCGAGGAGCGATTCGCCTGGCAATTCATCCATCTTGAAGTATCAGACGCGTGGCACAAGGCTTTATGCTTGCTCAATCCTTGTGTACATCCTTCAGCTAGGGTATTCCTCCAAAGAGCAAAGGCTTCTAGCTTCCATTCCATCCTGGATCGCTATGTGCCCGCGGAGGAGAAGCCAAGTTCCTGACGGCGCAAACCCGACCACCTCTCCCTCTCCACCATGCTCCTTGGCCCTATAAACTCGGTGGACTGTATTGTATTTTGCATATTTCTCGCTGCTCACCTTATCCGTACAGTCGGCTTCTGGAGGACCGCAAGACATGCCTTGCGGGCGGTCCCCTTGATAGGTAAACACCGTCATCACCCGACCATCTCAAAAGTAAGTGCTGACGAGAAAGCAAGTCTTCGACATTCCCCTGTTACTGGCCCGGCGTCTTCTCTTTGCTTGGGGCTTCAACGTCATTGCCCCGGACCAGTTTACCTGCACGGCCTCGGCCTTTGAGGTTATTGCGGTGCAATGCACGCGTTGGTCCCATGTAAACCTGCCTCTGGATATCCTGAGAGCCTTCTTCGGTCGGGGCGTGGTCCGCCCATTTCTGAGATGGCGCATGCTTCGTCATTTCTTTTTCTGGTCCCCCGTGACTTGTGAAGACTATGAAGGTCACGAGGTTGACCCCGCCGTCAAAGGCATCTGGATCAAGGAAGACCCCGATGAGGATCCTGATCTCGTAGTGTATTATATCCACGGTGAGTTAGCCACCGGTGCCATGAGTCCCGTTGCCATTTGCCTCAAATGATCTAACTCGATCCGCAGGCGGAGGCTTTATTATGGGCTCGCCCTCGTTCTACCTCGAGTATCTTATAGCGCTCCACTCGATGCTGCGTGATACGTTTAAGAATCCTTACATCTTTGCTATCGAGTATACTCGCCCCTGCTGCGCAATTCCCCACTCAGCCGCAAGAAGTCCTAAACGGCTACGCCCACGTCTTATCGGTAGCCAAATCCAAGGATCGGGTTTGCCTGATGGGCGACTCTGCCGGCGGCACATTGGCTTTGACGCTCCTTAGAGATCTTCATACTCAACGGGCCCAGCAGCTTGGTATCCTGAGCCGGGCGCCAGCACTAGCCGTGCTAGTATCGCCATGGTACACTCTGATATCTGGCGACCATCAAGAGTCAACAAGTGATTATATCTCCGTGGATAGGCTTCATTTCTTCGCTCAACTCTATGCTCCGGACACAGACAGAGGGGCGTCTTGAGCAAAGCCTCCCTTCCACCATGATACAAGGAAACTGGCGTGAGCAGGGCCCCAAATTTGGCTACGTCGTCTGGCATGGAGAAGACGAGGTGCTCGCGGTCGATGTACACACAATGATACGTCGTCTCACAGAGCTCAATGTTCCAGTCCGTGTGGAGAAGCGCGAAGCGGGAAATAGAAGCCTTCATGTTTGGCCTATCATCTCCTTCTTCCTCGCTAGCAGCCAGCAACGAAGGTTAGAGGAGATGCGCATTCTATCGAACTCCATCACTCGGATTCTGGCGTGACGGCGGGCCCTTCGCCATGATGGGAGGTCGTATGCTCATCGATTCCGTCGCATCTCAACACTGTTGTTCCTCCGTTTGGCATCTTTATAGGGCGCGTGCTTGATGAAAGAAAGAGGGTGTGCAAATATAACAGCATCATTAGACTCCTAAGAAGTAAACGTTCATCTGATCAATTATAAAATAGCATACGAATATCTTAGATGAAAGAAATGTTTCGTGAGCGTCATCTCAAGGGGTCAGACCACACGGTGCAGACGTTAGCATGGTCTGCCAAGCAGCCAGAAGCGTTTGCACTTCAAAGTCCTGGGGCAGGCCAACGTCCTTCTCCAAGCCATGTCAGATTAGATCAAGTAAAACCGTCATCGGCAACCTCGCGCGGAAGAACCCAGAGCGCGTGCGCTCGGTTTCGTAGCCGACGGCGAGGATCTTTGGCCTCGGGAGAAACGTTTATAAAGCTCTACGTTTGTTCCTCATCACCCATGGCATTGAGCTGGAGACCCTAACCGCATTCCTGGTAGCGATCGCCGCCCCCTCCAATTAGGCCGGCGCCTGTCAAGTAGGTTACCACTGCGGATTTTAACGCGTCAATGGTGGATTTTTCCGTCCGAAAGGCGGTCTGCATGAGCAGCAGCGACCGCAAAAGGTGGATATTGCAAATAAGCAGAGTTAGAAGGAGTAGAAGCGGGGAGGAAAAGAGAGGAAGAAAAATGAGGAGCCCACAAAAGAAAAAGATGGAACAGAACACACGCCGACGCGGGCGCAGGCGCAGGCAGCAGGGAGGTTAGGCACATAAGACGAGGCTGAGATGCAGTACGCTCCATTCTGAGCTGAGGTTTCTCCTCTCTCACCACCTCACAACGGGGCGGATGAAACAACTACAAAAAAGGTAGTCGGAGGAAGGGGGAAGATACTTGTAAAATGAGCGATGCTAAACCATCTCTAGACCGATTGGGGAAGCAACGCGTTGTGGGATAATTTTTTTCTTTTCCCAATGCTCACGGGCAGCGACGTGGAGGATGAGCGAGAGATCGCCACGCGAAATTACCTTGCTGAGCAGAAAGCTCTGACTGGTGTTGGCTGAGTGAGAGAGAGAGCTCCGGGCTGCAGGCGTGTAACATGTGAGATTGCGCAAAAGTATTGCGGGAAGAATATTGGTACTTGGATGGCCTTTAGATTTCCTGTGGGCAGTGAGGTACCCCGGTCGAGAGCCTGCCGTTAGGTTGAATCGAGGAAGACTGCAGTGCAGGTAGTGAGGTAATACCTGTCCACAGGGTCACTGCCATGGAGGCGGAAGGAAAGAAGCAAGACCAGAGGTGTGGCTTTTCTGATGCTACTTAACCGAATCAGGAAAGAGACAGGTGTGCGCCCCTGTTTTCTGTTTGGAGGGGAGGCAACCGCGTCGCGCATATAAACGCCGGAGCATCCCACCCAATCTGGACCCCGACCTGAATGTGTCGACGCCATTGATTCTGCTAGTGCGTGTTACTGCACCCGCACTCCGAAGCAGAGCATCTTAACACTTTCCAACCTACCCGCCTCACTCTTCCATTCTCACACTATCCTGCCCGTCGACGGGCTCCGTCCTTCAATCCATTCTTTGCGCTTCTCCCCAAGCTGCATGACCCAACCCATCGGCCCAGAGGTATCACAGATAGACCCGGCGATTCGCTCTTCTGCTCAGCCCTACCGTTTCTTCGGCCTCTCAGCACGTGTGTGGGTTTAAGCATCATAGTGACGAGATTCGCGTGGGAATCCCACACCTCGCGTTCGATCCATCACGTCGACCCCCAAGATTCTAGGCGCCCTTTATCGACTCGGGGCATCGAGAGGTCCGGCCTTTCTAGACTAGTCACCTGTCGTTCTTCGATTTCGCCACGAGGACCACCCCCTGGCCGGAAACAACCGCTTGCGGCCCAACCTACTCAGCAAATGTCGAACTTATCAATGTGCCGACCTATTTCTCACGCAGACCCATACCTCACAAGGACCTGATCTCGCGTTTTCTCCCGTTTTGTCCTTTGAACCCAGCCGATCGCGGTTCATTTAATATTTGTCATTCCCAGCGGTCCTCTGTGCGTCCCTTTTGCGAAGGGTCGGTCCTGTTCGTTGACCCTTAGCTGTCATCACCTCATCGCCGCCAAAACCAGCGCGGGGAGGGTGAAAAGGTGTAGCTTACACGAAAGCTCACTGACCCCACCATCTAAGCTGTCTGTGGCTCAACACACCACCGCCGTGCTGCCCTCTATTTATTACGAGCAACCTTCTTCTTCGACCCTGGTCGTGCAACCCCGCCCTTTGTGGGCGCTTTTGTTTGTGCTCGCTAGCTGTTATTGGCCGCTCGGCGAACAAAATTCTTCATCTGAACCACAGCCCCGGCCTGTTTTTTTCCCTCTTGCTTCCCGCTTCGCGAAGCCCTGGCAATTGATCTATTATTTCGCACGAGCCACTAATAATCTTTCCACGCGAAGCACCAACAAAGCGCGAAAGTGGTATTAGCGCCGAGCAGTACGCTTAATCAGGACCTCGAATATTGACCAAGGAAGGCCCTTCAAAACCACGGCCATGGCAGGAAACGACGACTACGTTCCCAAATCGCCGGATTTTTCCTCTTTTCTCGCTCAGGCCCCGCCAGCTCCCAATAATATCCCTTTGCTGGACAGTCAAACCCAGCAATTCAGTCACGATCAATTCAAGCACCACCCACACCAATACCAACAATCTCCCCCACCCGCCGGTAGCTATCAATTCGCCCCAGGTCTCGTCCCGGGCTCACCATACAACCAGGCAGCCATTGCCCCCGGGTCCCGTGGCCCACCACCACTTGAGCAGCTGCCGGTCCAGCACCTCCAGCAACAGGCCCAGCACCAGCAACAGGCTCAGCACCAGCAACAGGCTCAGCACCAACAACAGCACCTACACCAGCAACATCACCCCCAACACCCATACCCAAACCACCAACGGACCCACTCCCAGCAAGCCTCAACTCCCCATTATCAACCCCACCCAGCCGCCTCTTTTTCTGCCACACCCCACAGGGTCAGCCTGCCATCTATAGTCACGGAGGCTATCCTATAAAACCTCCTCAGCACCACCCGCAACAACAACCGCAACACTTAAATCAGCATAATCTTCATTTTCAACACCACCAGCCATACCCACCTTCGAACCCCTACACCCCTGCCCACCAACAACCCATCCAGCGCGCCTCTTACCCTCAGGCCTACCCCAGCTCCCACGCCTCTTCCGGGTCCATTTCCTCCACCACTCAAGCAGTACCTTCCTCTGTCGGACCTATAGTCAAAGAAGAACACGTCAACCAGGAGGAAGAGATGCCCCCGACGATCAGCCCAGCCGGCCAACCCGCGAATCATCCCCATGGATTCCCCGGTCAAGACCAAGTTTCCTACTGCTAGAATCAAGAGAATCATGCAAGCTGATGAGGAGGTTGGCAAGGTGGCTCAGCAAACCCCCATTGCCGTCGGGAAGGCCTTGGAGCTATTTATGATCTCTATGGTTACCAAGAGCGCCGAAGTAGCCAAGGAAAAGGGCCAAAAGCGGGTTACTGCCCAAATGCTGAAGCAAGTTGTGGAGATGGACGAGCAGTTTGATTTCTTGCGCGACATTGTCGGTAAAGTTGAAGGTGGGGACGAAAAGACCAAGAATGTCCGGGCCAAAGGCGAATCGGATACCGAGGAGGAGGCGCCCGAACCCAAGCGGAGAGGAAGGGGCGCGGGCCGCAGAAAGAAGTCAGAGTAGGCATTCCCACTTACCGGCTCTCACTGCTGAGGTGGCGGTAATTCGTCCTTCTTCGCGTTTATGTTTGGCGTTTGGGAGGTTTAGGTTTAGCATGCATGCTCTGTGCGTGTCGGCGTTGGGGAGTAAATTGGGAACTCGTTCTTTCGGTCAGAGGCCCGGAGGCATTTGACAAGACTGATGCCATCCCAACTCTTCTGGTTTGGAGAGAGACGCATCCTGGTTGTCCCACGCAATCATTCGCCGCCGAGACTCTTATATAGGCGCCTCGGATTTGCACTTTAGATACCATACAGCCTATGAATACACGTCTCACACTTTCTTTCTCTTAAATTTCAACCACCTCGTAGTTGCCTCACCCGAAAACAATTCGATACCGTTTCATCGGGGCTGCTCTTTCTCGGCGAACAAGGCGGTAAGGAAGTATATAACGCTGAAAGTTCGTTATCCACACCCCACTTCTTCCACTTCTGCTTTTGCTTGTGCTTGTGCTTGTGCATAGTCTCTGGTTGTCCTCCTCGGCGTATAGGCAATCTAAGTCCTTTAACCATCCCGGTCTTGAGCTGATGCTGGAGATTCTTGTATACATCAATCACTTCTTCAAGCATCACTCGGCTAGTCGAAAAGTTGAAAGCCCTTTGCGAGAGCCCCCACCTGTCGAGTATCATAATATCCATACTGCAGCAGGTAAATGCGGCGTTTGAGCGGCCCAGGCGTAACCACCAAACCTCCGGGACGCCTGCACTGCGAGGTGCAGCTACAGATACGAAGTACAAGGGAGATTCTCAGAAACCCCAACGAAGCCACCGCCGTTTCATTTTCTTCGGAATCAAGATCCACTGCCCTAACTGCAGTTACTCGGGCCTTCTAGGGGGTACAAGCAATAGGTTATGCGCTACTCGAAGGGCTAAATGAACTCGCAATCGAGGACTTTGAACCAAGCCCCGAGACTTCCCTTTTCCTTTCTTTTTCTTGGGGGTTGTTTTTTTCTTTTTCTTTTTTACCTTCACCTCAAAATGAACCTTGTGTGGACCCCTCTCGGCCACCAACGATGATGTCAAGCCAAGGCTCTCGGCCCTGTCGGCCACTCCCTCGCCTTTAGCGTTGACGAAAATCATCGTTCTCAATGGCTAGCCAAAATACTCATCTGGGCCTTCCCTTCCTTTGACATCCCACACATCCACCAGAGCAAAGCACATGTGCTTAGTCATTTCTCCGTCAAACCTCAGGCAACTAAAATCCTCTGGACGGAGGACACGGACGACCCTGGAAAGCAGTTCCGATGCAGGCCAGTCGGCACTCTTTGAGAACTCTTATTGGCAATTTCCAAAGGGCATTCTGGCTTCGCTGTTGCCTTTCTTCCCTTTTTCTTTTCTTTTCGACACTTTTGGGATTCCACTGCGAGCTCTCCTAGGCAGGATCGCTGTGGCTGTTCGGTTTTCTTCCATAGCCATGCGAAAAGCTGTCGCTTCCAGTTCTGGTTAGTGCCGAAGAGAGCTGAGGCAGGCCGCCTCTCACGCAAAATCCCACCACCGTCTGTCCCTTTCGCATTCTCCAAACAAGACGATTCCCGGTAGAACTCAATGTCTTGGACGCTTCTCCAGCGGTTCCTCGAATCGGACGTCTTCAATTCGAATCCATTTCTTGCTGTATCCTACTTGACGTGAGGCTCAATCCCGCCATTACTGCTCTGCCCTCCCCTCCCCTCCCCCGCCTTTTGCTCGGGAGAGAACCACCAACGTGTCCAAAACTAACATCTCGTCCCGGTTTCCCTATGCAGGCGCTACGCCGACCATGTAGGCATTCAGTATGTCCTGTGCAACAAGCTTCGGCAGTTTCCGTACGAGGACATTGAATTCTTCCTGCCGCAACTATGCCACATCATTATAAGTGTTCACAATGAGTCCATGGCCCTGGAGGAGTTTCTCCTAGACCTATGCGAAGAATCCGTGACCGCAGCTCTCCTTGTTCGTTTAATCTGATTGTCCCCTCTCGGTTACTGCGATGCTATACTTTGGTCGTTCTTGCTCTCCTCCATGAAGCTAATACCATCGCCCCTAAGACGTTCTGGGTATTCCAAACGTACCTCCACGATCTCTCAGGGCATCCTCAAACCGAGTCGTTCCAGACATGTGCTAGAGTCTACAACAAGGTCCAGCACATCGTTTTCGGCCTTTCCGACACTACGCGCCATGAGAAAATTCGCGATAATGCTCTGCCGGTGACCGTGCTCTCGAGCTTCGTACTGGCCAGTATTGCGGTACCGACCCTCCCTCAGTGGGCAGGACCGCTTGCCATTGCGCAAGCGCGAAAGCCTCAGCCACCAGGAGACTTGATAGCCGAGACTAGGCCCGAAAGTGCGAAGCCGACGAGGTCCCAGACTGTAACAGCGAACACGACGCGATCGAAACGTACTCGGGAAGGAGTTCGGAGTGCCAGCGGCGGAAAGGAGCTTCCGTCCGCTGCTCGATCGAACCGCAAGGCACCACCCTCAATCGTGACCCGCCCGCCAGCCTCCCCATCCTCGAAGAAACCCCCGAAGACATCGGTCGAGCCCAAAATCCAGTCCCAACTCGAAATGCTGTCTCTTGATGCCCGGTTAAGCTCATCCTCGTTGCCGCTTCCCGACATCCGTACTTCTAGGACTATAACCCGACCCCCAACCCCAGTTTCGGCGGGGCTGGTCACGCGGTCAAACGACGCCCTTGCCCGGAGACATTCGCACCACTCCAAAGCAAGAAGAGCTGCATCAGACCTGACCCGAATTCAAAAGACGAAGCTTCTCAGACAGCACTATTTCAGGAGTGAAACCCAGTTTCTCACGGCTCTCGAGGCCATTTCCAATCGCCTCGTCATCGTCCCGAAACTTGCACGGCTCAGCGCACTGCGCGCTGAGCTAGCTCTCATCGCGCAAGACTTGCCCGCCGAAGTCGACATCCCCGTCATCTGCCCACCCACCTTGGTCAATGGCTCGCCTAGCCAGAGTCGACATCATAGGATCGTTCGGCTGAACCCGGCTGAGGCTACCGTTCTTAACAGCGCCGAAAAAGTGCCATACCTCCTCATGGTAGAAATTTTACGGGATGATTTCACTTTCGACCCCGATACTGCTGATAATCAACGACTAGTCAGTACCCTGCTTTCAGAAGAGGGCTCCAAACGGAGGTTGTTTGACATCACGGACGCCCCGGGTATCCAATCGGTATCCAATTCAACGCCGCGCGCTTCCGAGTCTGCCGTTGATAGCGTCTTCGAACCTACCTCGGGCGACCTCTCGAGCTCGGCCTTGATTCGCTCGTCGGAGGACGACCCCTCAGCGATACCTCTTCGGAGTCCGCACGCTGCCCCGCGCATCAAAGGCGACATCAAGCCCTCGACGCCGCTTCAATCATCCGACTTAGCTACTGCCTCTAAGAGCATTGATCGTCCCACCTCCAGGTCCGGGAGTCCCGGCCGGCGGGGACTCCATAGGAGAATGACGGTTCAATCTCGCGTCAATATTACCGTCGAGCAGCCCGATTTCTCGGCGCTTGCGACGCACATGCGTACGGCGGCGCAGATGCTATCACAACTTGAAGCCACGAGCGGAAAAAGGCCGAGACACGAAGTGGAGGCTATTCGGTCAAAAATCATAGCCAGCATGCAAAGTCTAGAAGAACAAAGTTTCGACGTTGACGATGGCCATGGTCCGACCTTTGATACGATTATGGCCAAGGCCAGCACCCAGTCCGCCGCCGCAGCGGTCGCAAACAACCCTGACCTTGATGGCGACGCAGATCTGGAACAAGTACCGGAAGCCGCCAGTGCGGGGTTGCCAGAATGGAAAACGATTTCAAAACTGGTGGCTTGCAGCGCAAGGGCGATCGCGATGACCCTAGTGCTGCTGTGTTCGGTGAGGCGTGGCAGGCCAAGAAAGAGCGGATTCGGGCGACGTCGCCATACGGCTGGATGAAGAACTGGGACCTTGTCAGTGTCATCATTAAAACTGGCGCCGACCTCCGGCAGGAGGCGTTTGCCTGTCAGCTAATTGATGTCTGCCACAAAATTTGGGTCGATGCTGGTGTTCACGTATGGGTGAAGTTGATGAAGATCCTAGTAACTGGCGAGTCCTCTGGCCTCATTGAGACGATCACGAACGGGGTTTCCCTCCATTCCATCCGGCGAAGCCTCACGCTAGCCTCTATCGAGGCGGGTCAGAACCCCCGACGCAAAATGGCCACGCTGAAAGACCACTTCCTCAAAGCCTTTGGGCCGGAGGACAGCGATGCTTATAAGGCCGGCGTGGATTCTTTCAAACGCTCACTTGCGGCGTACAGCATCATCTCATATATCCTACAGCTCAAAGACAGGCACAATGGCAACGTGCTCATTGACAGCGAAGGCCACATCGTGCACATCGACTTTGGCTTCATGCTGTCTAATTCGCCCGGTTCCGTGGGCTTCGAGGCGGCCCCGTTCAAGCTCACGTATGAGTATGTGGAAGTGCTGGGCGGCGAATCATCGGCCGAATTTGCCGACTTTAAGAGATTGTGCAAACAAGCCTTCCAAGGTATGTATTGTCTGGGAAGACCCTTTTCGTCGCACAAGCCATCTCTCCTCTAACATATTCATATTAGCCCTACGACGATCCGCAGACAACATCATCGACCTCGTGGCGATGATGGGCCAAGAGTCCAAGATGCCGTGTTTCTCGTCAGGAGTAGTAACGGCAACGAATAGCTTAAGGCAACGCTTCCAACTACAGCTTAGTGCCGATGCAGCCGAAAATTTTGTCGAGACTGACTTGATCGCTAAGTCCCTCGGTAGCTATTACACCCGACTGTAAGGATTTTCCCCGCCCATTACGTCATTATTCCAGCTTCTCACGCTTTTCGGCATGATGCTTACGAGGTTTCTAGTTATGATACATTCCAGTATAGGACTCAAGGCATCTACTAAAAGAGAGGGCGAGAAGGGTAAGGGAAGAGAGAGAGAGAGAGAAGGAGAAAGCAGGGTGTAACGGGTAATGCCCAAGGTTTGACATGAGGTGATGAGTGAGGATGCTCGCGATTATGATTGACAGCGTCATCAAAGGAAAAAGGGGCGAGATATACACCCAGTTGCATCTACTGGAAGCATTCAAGAGGCGTTTTTACTTCGTTTTGGCAATGCAGAAGATGAGTGTGAGCAGAGAGAAGAGCGAGGTGCCCATGCGCCCATTTTTTCTATAGAGCGTACTTCGATCAGTTTTCTCTTTCGAAACGTAGAATAGCTAGAGTCGTTAGACATGGCGGTCGTGTGCCATTAACAATCCTTAAAGTTCCCCCGATACGTTGTCCATCTTCAAGTCAAAGGAGGCACTAATGCATGGTGCCACCATGGGCGTGCCCTTCCCTTCTCACGGGAAGACACGGTTACGATGCGGCATTGGATAAAGGATGATATAGCAGGATCGCAAGTCTCCAGAACATCCAAGCAAAAGGGTGCAAGATGCAGCGACCTGGCCACCCCCGCAGGCCCCAAAGGGGGTATACCAAATCAAGAGCGGCGCACGCATTCCCATTTCTTTACGCAGCACGCCTCTGTTTCCTGTTTCCACCCTGGGGCGCTGCTTCAGGTTGAGCAGTCATACCGCCCAGCCCGCCAGCCAAGCCTCTCGCCTTGAGCAGCAGCCTTCCAGCCTGATATCCTCCGTACGCGGGCACAACAGTCCAGAGAAACCACCCCTTATCACCAATCAGGATAACGAATACGAGCGTGGCCCACGTCACCCACACAACGTCAAACATGTAGGCAGTCAAGCCCTCGGCGCCGAGGTCCTGACCGGCAGACCGGACAGCGCCTGTCTCGGGATCGCGCACCGGACGGCCGGAGCGCTCGAGGATGAATTGCGCGGCAAAGGCCGGGATGGAGAGCACGCCGTAGAGCTTGAGGGATCGGGGCCGGAGGAAGATTGCGAACGCGAGGAACGCGGCGTTCAGGGCGATGGAGAGCGTGTGTAGGTTCTGGAGGGCGGCGGCGTTGGACTTGGCCAGGTCCTTCTTCGCTTTTTGAGCCATTGCGACGAGTTCTGGTGGAGGGTGGAGGCTCTTCTTGGCTCCTGTTTTCCCAGTCCTTTTTGTTGGTCTTTCTTCTTCTTTTTAGAGAGAGAAAGAGGATGGGAGAGGTTGAGTACAGGAGGTGCTTTCTCGTTGAGTCGCGGCGGAGAAGCAGCGAGTGGTTTCGAGTGGTGGCAGCCGCCCGGTCTCGTGGAATCGTTCAACGGCGATGGAGGGTTATATGGGAAAGGAGTTTTCGATGCAGCTTGATGCTGGTGGCGTCTTCAATGGATGCGTCTTCGAATAACATACTGTGTTAATAATATTGATGTATGTACTCGGCACTGTGTCGCGATCGTTGTTTCCTTTCTGTGTAAGTCAATTTCCAACGAAGATAATATCTTGACGGTTCTTTCCATCTTCAGCTACGAGATAGATAAGGGTTAGAAATAAATTACTTCCGCTTGAGTAAGATAAAAGTAGTCATATACTATCAATGGATTCCAGTCCAAAGACAAATTCAGCCAGTTCATCGCCTTTCTAGATAAACTTGCCCTTCTTATTTTGTCCAAACCTTTCCGTCCTAAAAGAACTTTATTCCAGAGAGTAGTCCTGACCAGCATCATTTCATTTCCAATTGACTATCCAAAGTGGATATAAAAGCTGTTACATCATAGAACTAAGTCCTATCACGAGCGGTGCGTGTGGTTAGCAAGCCCCGGAAGCCACATGTACCGGGCCTCGATCTCGAGAGCGACGCCATCCGACCAGATCTCCCCATCGCATGTTAAAGATAGAAGGGCAGGAGCTAGATCGAAGCTTTGAATGGTAATGGGGAAAAGGTCATAGACGCTATTAAAGACTCATTTCCAAGCCGACGAGGGTACGGTAGCTCAGAGCGACCTCCAGCGGCTCAAAATCGACTTGAGAATATATTGCTCTACTATCTAGACGCAATAACCATACAAAGAGCCGCCTCTTGACTTATGGCATCCCTCAAGATTTCATCTTCGCTATGAACGAGAAATGAATATCGTATTGAGCCCTGATTGACGTCTCCGCTTGGTTGTTGTCGTTGATTAATATTTTCTCATCAAACGAGATAGACAACCTCACAGAAGCTCGAGCCGCGAGGTAAAGATGCCGCCAAGCACGACTGCTACGAGCACGGCTGCGACTAGCAATAACATGTTGCGGAGAGTCATTCACTACCACCTCGACAATTACTGCTATGATGGCGCGCTGTTCTTTGCCGAACGACTTGTAGGCCAGGAAGGCAAGGTGCCAAGTTCCTTATATCTTCTCGCGCTCTGCCATTTCCGACTCGACGATTTCTGGTCGGCTCGGGAGACTTCAATGCCGCTGGCTAAAAAGGATCACATCTGGGATGCTCTTGGATTTACGCTCTCTCATGTCTTAGGCTGGAGAGGTTCCTAGATGGCGCCGGCGCCTTGGAGGACTGCAAAGAGCTCTGGAAACGTACATCTAGCATGGGAAAACACAGCGCCTCACTCCGCAATCCTCTTCCAGATGCCCCGGCAGTCCTGTGTCTGCAGGGGAAACTCTATCTCGGGCATGGAAACATGAAGGCTGCTGTGGGGTGTTTTGAAGAGGCTCTTCGATTCAACCCGTTTATGTGGGAGGCATTCACGACTCTTTGCAACTTAGGAGCGAGTCTCGCCGTCCGAGATATTTACAAGTCTCTAGATCTTGCGGCCCGAATTTTTGACCAAGGGGTGGCCCTACCTTGGAGGGACTTGATAGAAAAACCGATCCAAACTGGGGTGCGAGCGCCAACACGACAACCTCTGGAGCCGGGACCGACCAACGGGATTGAGCCCCTTGGTCATTTCCAGGTAGCTCGAGGGTCCGCTACTGAGGGTGCAGACGCCCGCCATGTACCTTGTACGCCCGAGCCAAGGCCCGTGGCGAGCCCTATCATGCTGATTGATAAACATCGTAAGAGGATGAAGTGGGGCTTGGGAGAATCTGGGTCTAGTATCGAGGGACAAGTTTCGAACCCTCATAGTGGGCTCTCAGAGGCTACCGATGAGGCATGGAGTATGTGCATACCTGAAAGCCCCTAGCAGAGGATATTTCGCCGCTGGCTTCCAAGTCAGGGGGCATCGTGTGTTTGGCAGGATTGAGGCAAGTAGAGGCGGGAGCAGGGACCCCGACACAAGTATGAAGAGAAGCGACCTGCAAGGACTAACGACGGAGCGCAAGAGGAGGTTATCGACTTTGCTTGCCCAGTCCAGCCCCTCCCGAGTAGGGGAGCCCCTAACCCCACAAGGTCAAGTCACCGTAACGCCAAGGGAAGCAGCCATGCCCTGGGTCAACGGCCGTCACGGGAAGTTGGCCATATCAAGCCCCATGGCTATGAGGGAGACTAAAAGGGCTAGACGCCCATTCTCAAAGACATCAGATGCTTTCCAAGATGGTGCCGCCCCCGTTCGAAAAGTTGACCGCCGGAGTGCCGCAGGTGAGGATACTGCAGACGGTGTGCCTAGCAAGTTTACGCCCGTTACCGGTCGGGGAATGCCAGGCCGAGTCGCGAGACGATCGTCGGCGGCCCCTGTAAAACAGGGCGACGGGAAGAATCTGTCTAGAGCGAGTACTGCTCTGGAAGGCATCATGCGCCTTCTTGATATCATGGCGACGGGGTACTACCTGCTTAGTACCTTCGACTGCGAGGAGCCTTGGAGGCTTTTGCGCTCCTTCCACGAGCCCAGCGAGAAACACCGTGGGTTTTAGCACAGATGGGACGCTCCTACTTGGAACGGGCTGCCTACGTGGAAGCGGAGAGAGTTTACCGGAGACTGAGAATGATCAGCGGGACGAGACATCAAGATATGGAGCTGTACTCCACAGTCCTTTGGCACATGAACAAGCAAACCGAGCTGTCGAGTTTGGCTCGGGATCTCATCGGGCTGTGCCGGCAGTCGCCGCAGGCGTAGTGTGCCACGGGGAACGCATGGTCCAGATCTCATGACCATGAGCAGGCGTTGAAGTGCTTCAAGCGAGCGACGCAGCTGGATCCGAAATTGGCCTACGCCTATACACTTCAAGGCCACGAGCTAGTGGCAAGCGAAGACTACGACAAAGCCCTCCAGGCTTACCGCCGGGCACTGTCGGTGGATAAGCGTCACTACAATGCGCATTACGGGATTGGCAAGGTGTACGAGAGACTAGGGAATTTGGACAGAGCCTGTGTCCAATATCATACGGCCGCGAGCATCAACCCGACGAACGCGGTTCTTTGCTGTTGCATCGGATCTGTACTGGAAAAGCAGAACCGGCTATCACGGTCTCTGCAGTACTACAGCAAGGCCATCGAACTGTCTCCCAAATCGGTCCAGCCAAGGCTAAGGAAGGCGAGAGTGCTTCTCGCCCGGGGCGATTACGTGCCAGCCCAGGAGGAGCTCTTGATCTTGAGAGACCTGGCCCCCGATGAGGCCATGGTGCACTTCCTCCTCGGGAACCTCTACAAGCTCACTGATGAGAGAAGGCTGGCTATCCGCCATTTTACGTTTGCGCTCGGACTGGATCCTAAGGTATGTGCCGCCGGACGTTTCCTCAACCCAGCAAGTAATGCGATATAATTGGACACGTTGAACCCGTTCGCTAACTTTACCCCTTTTTCTGTTCACATAGGCATCATTGCAGATAAAGGAGGCAATCGAGAGCCTCGAGGATGGGGATGGAAAGGACCTCTCAGTTCGTATGTACGGAGACTGATGTGGGGGTTTGGAGAGGGAATGGTGGTGGGAAGGCGAGCACAACGATGATCGGGTCAGCAAGGTACCGTGACGCGACAGATGAGCATATTTTAGCGAGACGGTTCAAGTTCTCTTCTAGGAACAATGTGATTGTAGGCTTGCAAACTGGAGGAAAGGGTGGATTTCAGGTTCCCGACTGCGGGGAACGGTGAAAGGGAAGCGGGAGTAATCGGTCCAGACCGAAGCTATACTATAGTCTTACTGAATACGGGATTGATTTGAATGCATTGAGCAAGCCAGTGGGCGAAGTACCTGTGAAGGCATTGCGAGTCTCAATACAAGACTTGGGCCTTTGCCAGTTGGCAGCAAGCAAGGGCGTGGTGAGAAGGGAGGGTCGCGGAATTGCTTGGATGTGGTGGTCTTCGCCAAGTGGCGTGGATGGACAGATTACCTAATCTTGACGATATTAGCGATAGATGGGAGTGGTAGATTCAACGGATTTCAAGGCGCGAATCAGGGGACCTGGCGTGTGGCGAAGAGTTTGAGAAGGATGGCAGAAGCAGCGAGGAGTATTATTAGCTTTGTCAACCTCGATGCCTTTGCTGGAAAAGGCAAGGTGTGAGGGAGGCAGCCACAGCACTCGCCACGTCAAGAGCGAGGGAATATACGGCATCAATTGATAGCGTCGTGCGGTTGGTACCAGCCGCGTAAAGGAACAAAACAAAGGCAAAACAGGAAGCGCGTCAACGGGTGTTCCTGTGCTGTTCCCCTATGCTCCGTGTCCCATCCCGGGCCCCCACCCACTCCAGTCGTTTGTAACCAACACAACAGCAAAAATCCGCCCCTCTCAAGGGTACCGAAGACCCCCAGAAAAAGAAAATCTGACGCATGGAAATAAATCGGTACTTGGCAAAATAAACCGATTTAACAGGAGGTACTTGGCCCTATTTTCAACATTACCTGATCCGGACTAGCCACCCATTTCACGGTACACGCTCGCAATCACTTGATTCTACTGATCCGTGGCAGACTGACACGCCCCCTCTCCCCTATTTATTTCTTCTACACCCCGTCCATTCCACCTAAACTTCTCCCCACTCATCTCCTCTCACCACCCATTCTCCATATCAACTCATCAAATTCCCCCATCCGACCTCCGGATCAAACTATTCCCAAAAGTATTTTCACTTTTTAATTCACATACAACATGTCTGGACGTAAGTATTAAATCGCTTTACTATTATACAATTCTCCCCTGTTTTGCCCCCGCGAATACACGATCTGGCGCTGGCGCCTGGCTGTGTACGAGTGGAAGGCAAGAGTAGCACCGGATACGCTGCCACGCATCGTGGGACCCACAACGCGTCGACGCGTTCCTATCAACAAAGAAAGAGGCCGTGCATGTCCGTAGAATTGTATATACTGACTCTCGTTTCCTATCTAGGCGGCAAGGGCGGAAAGGGTCTTGGCAAGGGTGGTGCCAAGCGTCACCGAAAGATTCTTCGTGACAACATTCAGGGTATCACTAAGCCCGCCATCCGCCGTCTCGCTCGTCGTGGTGGTGTCAAGCGTATTTCTGCCATGATCTACGACGAGACCCGTGGTGTTCTCAAGTCCTTCCTCGAGGGTGTCATCCGTGACGCCGTCACCTACACCGAGCACGCCAAGCGCAAGACCGTCACCTCGCTCGACGTCGTCTACGCTCTCAAGCGCCAGGGCCGTACCCTCTACGGTTTCGGTGGTTAAGCGGTGTAAGCCTCGTGCTTTGCATCACCACCTACGCCCTCGCGTGTTGATCAAACATAATTACTCTCTACCGCGCATCTACGCCAGCTGTCTATGGGGGCCATTTAATTATCATTCATCCCAGCCGCCCCCACGCCCAGGACAGCTCCTGAAAGAGCGAGCGATGACACGCATTGTTTATGTTTTACACTGTTCAATGGAAATGGACGAACGGCATCGGGATATCTTGTGTTTTTAGTATGGACGCGTGAAAGAGTCGCTGTCCTTTACCAAGGCGTTTGGGGGATGGTATTGGTTTCTGTCACATTACGACATGGGGTATTACGAAGTCCGTCAAGGTAGATGGCGAGATTATCTACAACAATGAAACGCGGTCATTCGATGGCCTTTGATCCATAATTTTTTTGATGTTTTGTTTTAGCACGTGTACTGCCGCGTAGTGTGATATGTTTTGATTTGATCTCAACGCGTATGTAGAGGACGCGTGCTACACTTGTTACCACTCTGTGCTGAAGGTACCTAGTCGAGCTGGCCCGAAGGCCTCGAGGCAAGGGAGTTGATGTGTATGGAGATTTAGATGCGGGGCAAGGCGGGCAGTGCGCAAGGTAATTGATCACTCTACTTGCTGTCTCAACAGAAGGCGGACGACTTGCCAAGATGGCAAGTAATGGATGTTGGTATCTTGCCCAAGACTACATGCAACCTCAGACAGCTTACCACAGGATGCGCAACAAAGTAATTGATCTACTACATTGTATTATTATTGTGTCCAAGAGCAATCAAACTCTCGTGGTCGTGATTTCGTGATCATATCCCAGCCTGTAGGTAATGATGATGATGATGTTTGGCTCCCATGTCCCTTCTAGCGATTTCCCCAACCCCTCAAAGCCCTCTTTCTTCTTTCATGCTAGAAACCTCCTCGCCCTTTCGAGAGGGAGCTGTCAAGCTGCCATAAGAGGTAGGCGGCAAGTATGGGGTCGTCTCAGCGACGACTACTCGAAGCCGCTACTATAGATATTTCCTTCCCGCGGCGGCGACCCTTTGCCTAAAGATGGGGCTCGTGACTTCCATGTTGGCCCGGTAAAGGGGTTCATTACAGCCTTTATCCAGTTTTCGTACACCTCGGTGAAGAAGTTTTTGATGGCCTCCTCGGTCGCGGCGCTGGTCGGGTTCGCCCCGATGGCGGTGGAGGAGCGCGAAGAGGAGGAGGAGGGCGGCGGTGTGAGGGTCGAAGAGGCACCGAGGGAGGCGCCAGACGCGCCGCCGGCACCGGAGCCGGTAGGGAGGGAGGTGGGCTGGTGGAGGAGGAGGAACTTGGCGTTGCTGGGGGTTATGAAGCAGGAGATGTAGTTGTTGAAAAACTTGTCGATGCACTTGAGGTACCTGGGGGTTCGACGCGAGTTAGGCGCGGTGGTCAGCCCATTTTGCTTTGAGAGGGGGGTAGGTTGCTCTCTGATGGGGCGGGAGGAGTGTGTATGGGAGGTAGTGAGTGAGGAGGGGACAAACGGACGAGAGCTTGAGGGGAACAGGTGGAAAGGGCAGGACCAAACGGAAAAATATTAAAGTATAGAGAAAAAAAAGAGCTTACATCTGGCCGGAAGACCATTGCGCTTCCTCTACGATGTCGAGGGAGCTGTGTATGATGAGCTGGGTCATGTGCTTTTGCTGCTCGCCAAAGTGAGCGGTGCCGTCGCCCCCTTGTTTCGAGGTGCCGAACTCATATTCGAAGAGGGGTTGTCTTGCGTGCCTACGATGACGAAGTAGTAGGACATGGCGAGTATCGTTTGTTCCGCGACCTAGAGATGGGAGGGAGTTGGGTGGGGGGACTGAGCCCCAAGGGAAAGGGGAAGAGGGATGGAAAGAGGGCTGGCCGTTGTCGAGAGTCTCGCTAGGGTGGAATGTCTTTTCGGGTTCGTCGGGAAGGGTGGTGTGAGGAGGCTGCGCTTCTTCCGGGCCTGGTGGCGGAAGCTCTTGGATCGATTGAGGGTGGTGATACGCTTGGTCTGGTGGAGGCGCATCGAAGACAGAGGTTCGCCAGCACTTTTCGTTGCTCACTCGTGGTGGGGGAGCGTCGGTGGTTGCCAGTAGGGTAGGCCGGTCGCTTCGCCACCTTATTGGCTAGAGAGGGGCCGCGCTCACGCTGCCAGTTGGTTGGAATGGCGAGCTGCGACGGCCAAGGATAAGAGCTTTCGACGAGGTGTGTTGGTTTACTCTGGTTTATATAGGGATATGTCTAGTGTTTTAAATATCCCTCATGGGGCAGCGATTTTGATCTGATATTGATCTTGGGGGCACCTATTGCCTCATCGTTTTCCGCCTCTGAGCCATTGATTGAATCCACCCATTCATTGACATCGAGGCTTGTTAGCCGTGTGCTTGGGACTGAAGTCATATAAGCGTGCTCCCGCGACTCTACAAGTATCGTCGCAAAGGGGGAAAGCTCATGGGAACGGAATTGGACTAGATAGCCATTTTTCTCTAATTTTCTTTTAGAATATCATTTGAACTCCAACGCTTTTGATGTTTGTTTGTTACTTCATGCTTCGTCTCTTCTTGTCATTGAAATGGGGACGTAGAGATTAGCGCCTCAGGCCTCAGGCACAAATAAAAAAATTCTGGGGTCGGCCAATGCAGCGACGGGCGGTGGGCCGTGTCGGAATCGGGAAAATGTGACAGCACCTGGCAAAAGCTCTCGGATTTTTCTTCGAGTGTTCGTCGCGTGAGTCCTCCGTGCCGCCCGTTTTTTCTTGTGCCAACCCCCGACATCAAATCCTAATCCCAACGCCTTTGCCGACCCAAGACGAACACCTGGGCGATAGACGAAGCGAGACTGGACCTAGTTTCCGCATAACAGGACCTGGGAAGTTTCTAGGTCGGCTCGTCCACCACTGTTCCGTTCCCCTGTTCCGACAAATAGGGGAAAAGAATAGATCGAAACCACGCAAGGGAGCCCGTTTCCCTCCTTCCACCTTCGCACGCACGCACACGCACACACGCCCACACACACACATACGCAGAAATGTTCGGCCCCTTCCGCATGACGTCCCCGCTCTCGGGCGGCCTACTCTGGAAGATCCCTGGCGGCTGTCCAAGTTCCAGAAGAGGAGGCAGCGCATGAGGTTGCGCGCGGTGGACCAGGTTGTCGCGACCCTGGATGCCGCGCTAGCAAAGAAGGGGAGACGCTCGCGGCGCTTGAGAGGTGGAAGGCTGAGATGCCTACGGAACCTGAGATGTTGCCTAGGGACAAGTACTCCATGTTCGACAGGAAGGTGAAGGGATACAGGAAGGGCATTCATAGTAAGTTGATTCCCCGAATTAGGAGAGAGAGAGAGGAAAGACAAGGCTTGGAACCACCTGGCCCCTTGGAAGGATTAGGTGGTTTCGCTTTGGAAATGCTGTTTGATCAAAGTCAAAGGCTAACCGCGATTTCCTTTCTCTAGAGCTCCCCAAGTGGACAAGGGTTTCCCAACGTGTCAACCCACCCGGTTACTAAGACTCCTTCCGACGCTGGCTGGAGGCGAATGGTGGTGGACGATGGACTGAACTCTGGGACTCTGGGTTGTGGACTAGGAATCGTGAGGGTTTGCCAGAGAAGGGCACGTCGTCTGGATCGACGACTGGCGCTGTGCTGAGCAACGAACCTACATCTACGCGGGCTCACGTAGTCCATGACTGACTACGGAGTTGGGGCGCTGTGGCACCCTTATTCAGGCTTGCCCTTTGTACAATTATGTTACTTGTATGGTATACGATGGAAAAAGAGAGAAGCAATCTCATTTCAAGACGACGCACCACGGAGCGTATAGACTTTCAGGATAACTCAAAAACGAACCTGTTGACAATCCCCTTTTCCCGATGTTTTCCTTTTTTGGAATGTTGATCGAGTAATGTACAATAGTTTAGCCGCGGCGTCTGCGGAGCAGAAGACCTCTTCGCCTTGCCACGATAAGAGTCGTATGGTTCTCATCATCCCGTCGGATAAGAGGACGACATCTATCGTGCACAAAGAAACGATTGGGCGTCTGCTGCCCGAATCTTTTAGCCCAGCTCCCCTTTTCTCTCGTTCGAATCTTGCACTCACGCCACATCTTTCACCCGCGAGAACAAACGAAACCTTTTTCTCATCCCATCCACTACCTCCCCTACCGTAGTCCGCCTCGCCCCTTGCCCTCTCTTGGTCCCTCAATCTATCCGCTTGCAGCGCTCGACCGAGGCCACCCCTCCCCTCGTCGTAGTCTTCACGGTACTCATCGCGCACTTGACCGCCTGATTTGCCGCGACCGTACTGGCGACCCTCTTCAAAGCCGGGGTCTAGATCGGTACGGATGATGCGCTCGTCAAGCTTCGTACCGCCAATGTACTTCATGCAATCGAGGGCGTCCTGGTGTGTGTAGTACTCGACGAAGCAGAAACCGCATGGCGTCTTGGTAAATCGGTCCAGGCCCATCACGAGGCGCTTGATCTCGCCCACCTTGCTAAAGAGCTCATATACTTGCTCCTCGGTTGTGTAGAAGGATCTGCATGCACCGAAACAGGAGGCCAAAGCAGGGCACGCGGGTGTGAGAATACGGTATCAATCATGAAAGCAGAAGCTGCATGGGTAGTGGCAAAATAGGGAGGGGGAAGGGGGAAGGGGAGAGGGGAGAGGAAAGAGGATCTAGATCGAATGATGGTAACCGTGGGCGGGGATCAATCACGCGATGGCCAGTCTTGCCTACGCGCCCCGGATCCGCCAGTCACAGTGCTTGCGAGGGTGCAGTGGGGAGGGGAAAGGAGGAAGGAGGTGTGAGCTGTGAGCTGTGAGTTGTGAGACTTACAGGTTCCCGACGTAGAGCGTCGCAGCATCCTTGAGGGGGTCTTCTGGAGGCTGTTCCGGCTCCTTCATGTCCTCGTCACCATCGCGGTCGCGGTCTCGACGATCCCTTCCTTGTCTCTTCGTCTGCAAGGATCCAAAAGCAAGAGCGAAGCGCAAAGCTGCGTTAGTCTAGATTCGGTCGTTTGCATTTCTAGGCCCATCCTTCGATCCGGAGGGGACGAGGCGAGCGCCCGGATCAGAAGAAAGAAGCGAGAGGTGCTGGGGACTTACGCGACTCGAGAAGTAGGCGCTAGGTCTGTCGAGACGATCGACGGTGCTTCTTACGTACGGTGCCATTGTGCTCGTCTACTAGGCGAGATGCCGGGCGAAGAAGGTCCTGGTGATGGAGATTGGAAGGGCGGTGGCGGGTCTATAATGAGGCGCAAATACAAGCCTGAGGTTGGGGATGCTCGCAAAGGTACCGTGGGTATAATTTAGGTTGATATTGGTCTCGACTGGGCGCATTTACAGGATGCTGGAGAGACGAGGCGGCCGGTTTTCGTTTTGGGTCGTTCCCAATGGACGTTGTACTGCTAGAAAACAAGTTGGAGTTGTCGATCAATTGCCAGTCAAGGATTTGATTGTCATTGGATAGAAGCTGGTTCCACAGTGGGGAGCTCCTCCTGCCTACAGTAGCTGCACGTCCAAAGCAACGAATGGTACCTCGTTCCTTTAGTAAAGATTATGTGAGAGAGATGTATCTTTTGCCAAGCACGAGGCTACACTCCGATTCCAGGGCGACAAGTCGTTGCCCAATGCCCAGCTTAGAAAAAGTCAACGCAGCCGCCTAGCAGAGAAACACGCGCCAGACGCCCCAGGAAGCACCCGAAATCTTGACGACCTCTCCAGCAATTTTCGTCACCTGCGACCAAAAGACCCATCATCAACAACACTCCGATCCTGCACCATTTCGGCGCACAGAACCGCGAAGCCATACACCCTTCCATACCATCAGTGCCGGGACACCTTTAGCCCTTTTTTGGTCCGCCCTTCCACTATTGTTCCTTTTTCTCGTCGCCCCGGGAATTTCTTACCTAATTTGCTGCTTCCGGATTATGTGAAGCGACCAACCATCACCAAGTGAAGCAAAAGAGACAGGAATCTCGAGTGAGAAAAAAAGGATCATTGGTACCGCACTTTGGAACAAAACGATGCCCAAGGTCAAAAGCTACACCCCGTCGTGGCTTTCCAAGGGTTCCCCTGGACACAATCTATTCTCGGCCTCGATCGACGCGTCCCGGGCTTCCCTCTCGTCGCCCTACGCTTCCAAGACCAAGCGGAAGGCCCCAAATGGCCCCAAACGAACAATCGCCCGTCGCGGCACCGAGATTTTTGTAGCGAACGGCAAGGAGATTCGGTGGGGGATTTGGTCTACCTCAAGGAAACCCATGGCCAGAGCAAGACGAATTTTCGCATCAAGAGGAAAGCTCGGTTGCCGACGGCCTTGCGTCTGAGCAGGATGTCGAGAACCGCGCATTAGGTTATCGGGTAAGTGCTTCACCTTCTCCTATCTCCTCCCCTCCATCCCCTTGCCCCCATGTTCAAGGCGAGAGGGGCATTATCTCCGGAGGCATCACTCACTCGGTCACTTCCCTTTACGTACACATGCACACGATGCTCGCTCGCACACATACACACACGCAAAGATAGAGACACACACATACACACCCACACACACCTGCACCTGCAGACACAAACAAACGTAGCAGTAGCTAACTACATGGGGGTGGCCTCGCCTGCAGATCATCAAAACTCCCGTTGCCGATGAGATTCGGCAGCTCGTAATATCGCCCAACGAGAACCTATTAGCCATCCTCACCTCACATACTGTACATGTCTGTCTGATCCCCGATCCTAGTCACCTCAGCAGCGAGGACACAGAGCCGATTCGCCCAAAGATCTGGACGCTTGGCCCCACCACCCACGTCACGTCTCGCTCCCCCATCGTCTCTGCTCTTTGGCACCCTCTCGGCGTGAACGGTTCCTGTCTGGTCACCGTCTCTAAAGACTCCATCGTCCGACTGTGGGAGCTCTCCCTAAGCGATCGGTGGTCCTTTGATAGCCCTACTTTGTCGATCGACCTGAAGCGCCTTGCAGATGGAACCTCGCTAGACCAAGACTTCGCGGCGTCGACCCTGGCGACCAATACGGGCTTCTCTCCCGACTCCTTCGAGATGGAGGTCGCCTCCGCTTGTTTCGGCTCACGCTCGTCTGGCGGCTGGAACCCCTTTACCCTCTGGATCGCTATGAGGGAAGGGGATGTATACGCATTGTGCCCTTTGCTGCCTTCTCGTTGGGCACCGCCTCCGGCGCTGGTAGCATCTCTTTCGGTATCGGTGGTGACCAAGGTGGGAGCCATCGAGGACGATCCTTCAGTTTCGGAACGCGAAAAGCTGCTTGCGCAGCAGCAGCTAGCGTGGATGGGCGATATCGACTCGCAGGAGCCCCATCTCTTGGATGGGTCACCTGGCGAGCCACCCATCGAGGTGTACAGTAGACCGGCTAAACCTGGTTCGGTACCCCGCCTTCAGGGCCCCTTTGAGCTTGAGGCGAGCCTCGACAATGAGGACGACATTGATTCCGAACTGACCGACATCCTTGTCATTGGTTCCAAGATTGATGCGGACGACCTCATGTTTGGGGAGGACGCGGATCTGGAACTGGACGGAAGTGACCGGGAGGGGTTATCTCTGAGCCTGATTTGCCTCCTCTCGACCGGCGGACAGGTCAAGATTTGCCTCGACGTTGAAGGAGTCGAGGCGCAGTGGCTACCACCCAAGAACAAGTCGCGGTTGGGGCGGCTCCTGGCCATGTCTGATGCACCAACGCTCCTGACGTTCCAGGCTATGGACAGCATGAATCCCGTCGAGGCAAGCCCCGACAGCTGGCCCGTGTTCAGCACCGACATCATGTCACGCTATTCGTTTTACGTCACGCACCATGCTGGCATCACCTACTTCTCCCTAGCCCCGTGGGTCTTCCGGTTGGAAAGCGAAATCCAAGGCGCTGGTGGCGCTGGCTCCGAGTTCCGCCTGGGTCTGCTAGTGAACTCCCACAACTCGACCCGCGAGCGCTTGTTCACGCAGCCCTCGGCAGACATTTCGGCTCCCTGGCCGGATGTTGCGCTATCAGCGATCCAGACATTGGCTACGTGATTATCTCGGCAACGCACTATGACCCCGTGGTGCTTATTTTCGACTCCCCAGAGTCGGAATACACGCCAGTCAAGGAGGAATCGCCCGTGCGTGAAATCGAGGCTCCACCTCCGGCCCAGCCCCTGTACTCGTATGAGCCGCGGCCACCCTTCCAGGCATCTCACATCTTCGACCAGGGATCGCAGCTGCCTATGCTCGTTGAGCGGCTGCGCACCTCGCGCCACAAGGTTGTCGTCGGGCAGGAGGTCCGGCTGAGCCCACTGACATTGCAAGTCCTCACGGAGGCGCACAAGATCCTTAGTGAGGAGACACACAGGCTCGGGGTAGCAGCATCCGAACTCTTCCTCAAGTGCACGAGGATGAGAGCAGAGATGCAGGACCACCTTGCCAAAGCAGCGGAGACCAAGGCCAAGATTGACAAAATTGTAGGGGCCGGGCATGATAGCGAGGGCACAGACAATGAAAGGATCGAGGCGCGGGTATCGCGCGCCCAGGCGCGACAGGAGCAGCTCTCGCGCCGCATCGACGGCCTACGCAAATCTGTTATGCAGCACACCAAGAGAGAGCTGAGCACGCAGGAGCGTGCCTGGATCGACGAGGTCAAGGGTCTCGACGCCAGCGTTTTGGGCCCTGCGAGCCCCTCATCTTCGCGACCGCAACACCGGCGCAATGGAAGTGAGGCTGCGGCGAATAAACAAGTCAAGAGGCGGTTGGAGGAGGTGACGACACTTGCGTCCGAGCTGCTGGAGGAAGCGGCGCGGCTGCAAAGAGAGACGAGCGGCGGCAGTGGTAGCGGCGCGGCTGGCGAAGAGAGGAACGGGCGATCCCACAGGGAGCATGCGCCAACGTCGAGCCAAGACTTGCGCGTGCCCAGCGAAATCCGCAAGGCGAAGATCCAAACAGTCAAGAATCTGTTGGCCAGAGAAGAAGCAATGGTAGCCGCGGTATCGAACAGGTTAGAGAAGCTGCAGCTGAATCTGCCATGACGCGGACTTAGTGGGGAAAGGGCGAGTGTAGAAGCCCTGTTGAGGCTCAACGAAGACGAGGAATTGCGATAAGCAAGGAAGAAGGTGGGGGCGAAGGGGAGGGGGTGCGTGTGTAAGTCGTCGGCGTGGGTTAGTGGGTGGTGAGGGAACATGGCGCTAGCATTTCCCATGTCGATCCGAACCTCATTTACACGCACGCATCCAAGGATATCAATATGAGACGATTTTATCGCCTCCGTAGACTAGAAGCAAATGGGAATATAATTTTTTTTTCCTTCTCCCAAGAGGTACTCAGAATGACCCTCTCGTCCGATCGCCCTGTTTAGGTTTGTCTAGACTTTCCTTTTTCCGGGATTTCTTCCCCTCAAACTCTTTGTTTTTTTCCTTGTCCTATCGCGATCCTTTCCTCTTAGCAACGTTCCATTCGCCCTTGTCAGCCGCGATGCTGACGCTTCCTCTTGGATGGTCTAGGCCGCGCCCTCCTTTCTACAGGCTCTCGTTCGCTGCCCTCTATTTTTCTTCTTCTTCTTTGGTTATGCAGTGATTGGAGGCGCTTGCCTTTGGAGAGGAAGATGACGGGAGAAAGGCGAGAGCTGATGCAGAATACAGAGGGCAGAGGGCGAGCTTACGGCCACGACAGAGGGCCTAGAGATGCGGCCCGGGGGCTGCCTAGAGTAGAGCAGCGGGAGCTGGTTTTCTCAGCCACTCGAGCTGATGAAGGCGAAGCGCATCTCCGTCCCGCTCGCCGCCTCTTTTTTATTTTATCCTTTTTAGGTTCCGTGTCTCTCTTTTCGATGAGAGATGGCAAGAAAAAAATAGAAAAATTGGAGCCAACAGACCTTTGGTTGGAGGGGGGCCACGAAGCGAAAGCAACGTTGAAGCTGGAAAAAGGGAATAAGGCGAGACATGAATAAGTCCTCGAGGAATCAGTGGATTAGAAGAGCCCTCTGTTTGGAGAGGAGAAGAGCAACTCAAAGTGAAAAGGAACTGCTTCGCCTTACCAGTTAGGGTTAGTTGCATCATCCATCGTGGCCCAGAGCTAGGACAGTTGGCCCAACCCGGATGAGGGCGAAAACGAGAAGTGAGGGGAGCGCGTGGCCTATCCACGATTTCAAGACACTGTCTCTCCTCTGCATCTTTCGCCTCTCCTCGCGATTTCCCACCTTGGATGGTGGTGTTCAGCCTCTATCTAGTGGGTGGACGTTGGTGATGCGCCCTTTTTTCTTTTCTTTGCCTTGCGCGTGCTTTTGGGGGCAAGGAGAACGCAAGGAGAACGCAAGGAAGGGGTGGTGTGTAGAGAGGATGAGATCACGAGGTCATGCCCTCATCAAGGTAGAAGCCGCCGCCACGATGAGATTTTGCCACTGAGTCGAGGGAAAGGATCGACTGGGCAGCAGACTGGAGGGGCTGATTAGGTCCTTTTTCTTTCTTTTTTTTTCTTTTTTAAATGGTGGTACATGAAAGGAAGATCAAGAGAAGTCTAGTGGATCATTCGGGACGGATTCCACGCGTTTGGTGTGGTGAAACCGCCCTCGTGGAGAAAGGTGAATCCCGGCTTGAGAGGGCAGGGAGCCAGCGCATCGTTTGTAAGACATTTGCTATCATGGACTGTGGAGATGTTGTAGCTGTGGAGTGCATGCTCAACTTAGAACCGTGACTTGATGATTCAATGTTGATGGATCTTTTGGTGCTTTTGCCCCTTGATCAACCCGGGCATTGTGCTAGAGTATTGAAGGAGGGATTGCGTGTAGCTCTGCAGGTAGTTTCTTATCTTCACTTTTTTTGATAGCCTTTCCTCCCGGCACTTCGAAAGGGGAAAAAGAGTAAAAATTTAATGGACAAATCGGTGCGGAAGCTGGAGATGGGGGTTTGACCATGCAGGTCGATTTCGCCAAACATCCGAGACTGATACAACGGCCTGGACCTGAAGGGGAGAAAGAAAAAAGAAAACAAGAAAAAAGCAGTGGTAGCGTTCCGGGATCGAGAACTTGATGCCCATCAGCCAATCGATCCGACAGCCTCGCTTTAAGAACACTGAAGGAAAAAACCTCCAGACGATTTTATGCAGCATGCCCACCGCCCGTGGGCATCCTGCGGCTACTTCATCTGTTGAGACCATGGGTTATGATTCGAGCATCGGTTCCCTCCTGCAGCTTGTCGCTTTTGGGGTATGAGAACATCTACACTACCCCAGACTATCAGCAGGTATGGATGGATTCAACCCTAACCACCCCCTTCCTACCGAGGCACTTCAAACAAAAAGAAGAAGAAGAAAAAAGAAAAGAATAAAAAAGCTCAAAGCCCTGCCATGATGATGCAGCCTTTCGGGTTTCGGACGAGAGATAATGATGTTACCGGGTTCATTTGGCACACACATCAATCTCGCGAGGGAGGCATGGGCTAATAGCAGGCATGTCTCCCCCACTTATCCTCTCCCCTGTCACAATCCTAAGGGGGTGGGAAGGAAGGGGAGGAGGGTCACAATGGAGAGAGAAAAGAAGGGGAAGCGCAAAAGCAGAGGTGCTCGCCATTGATCATTCTCGTGCTCGGTCCTGACGGAAAGTCTGAAGCGGCAGGTTAGTACAAGTGCGCGTCCTGCACCTTCTGCGCCATTGCAGTCGAGTTTCACTGCCTGCGCACATCACAATGGATATTGATCCATGGTCCCGCGTCTGGATACATGGTTATCGAGCTCCCTGACTTCATGTTCGTATCCTGAGCACCATGCCCCGGAGCGGCAATCGCATCCCCCCTGCTCCCGGGACTTGCGCCATTGAAGCTATTACCCTCTTGAGATGGGGGAAGAGGGCCGACCGCGCCAGGAAAGGGCGGTGTGGGAAACGGATTGAGAGAAGAGAGAGAAAAAAAGAAAAGGAGGAGAGACGAGAAACCTGCGATACGGCCACCGCCCGTAGTCTCCGATAGCGAGGGTTGCGAAAAGAAACAAAAGAATTCACAAAGAAATTCATTGTCCCCCTTTGCTTCTTTTCTTCTTATTTTTTTGTCTTTCCCCCGGAAGATTTGAGCACGAGGTGAGGCTTCATGAATTCCAAGATTTTCACTTTCTCCGGGCGCTTCGGAGCTGGACCATCAGACCGCACAGCCTCTCTCCGAATGAACGGACCAGTCCAACGTCATCACCGGCGGGTACTCCCTGCGAGGGGGTACGCGAGGGAGCACGCGAGGGGATTGGACAATCGCAGGTCAGCGCTCGGTGTACAAGGTAAATAGGAGACACGGATGCACTGGGGGAACCACAGCCTGCAAGTACAGCGAAAGGCACAAGGCAAGCCGGAGACAGGCGACAGGGATCAATTGATGGTGGAGGGGCCCCAAATGCGATGGATTGGCGCCCACACGGTTCCGGCTCGAAAAAGATTTGACGGAGGTTGATCCAAGTGGTAGTGTCAATGATACGGATACCAGCATCTCCCTTGTCTGTATCCCATATCTCCGGGCGCTGGGTGCAGTCGACGAAACCGCCCCTAAGAACGGCACCAGCGCAGATTCATCTTGTCGCTTATTTACAGGCACACCCCTCTCACGACAAAAGGACAAACTACATACTGACAATTGCCGGTTTGGGGTTTCGCCATCGTGGGAAATAGAAGCTCAAGTGAAGTAATACGGATATAGTAGCAAGTAGTCAGTCATAAACAGCAATGCTACGCTATCATGAGTATGATATTGATCGTAAAGACTATCAATTGTGATCAACCCACTGCAACCCGCCTCCCGTTTTCGTTTGGCGCTGGTGTTCCTCAATTGCTCTCCAGCCGATCAATTAATGGAGACGAGCCCTCACTTTTGCCCCGATTATGCCCCATTCATCCACGATGAGACAGGCGCCACAGGTGCCGATGTCCGGCTTCAGCAGCTTCGATCTTTTCGCGCCTAACAGCACCCTCCGAGAGGGGTTGGGGGAGGGAAGCACTGGGTTACAGCATCGAGGCAAGAATAGGCGTGGCACCTCTGGAGTCGGAACGTCATCATAATCAATTAATACAGGCGGACGGCAAAGCGATGGCTACGGAGGCTTCTCTGGAGTCCTTCCCCTTGTAAACAGTACGGCCGACCGTGGGTCTTGGAGCCGAAAGTGCAATCCGCCTCTCTTCAAACGTTTGGCCCCCGTTGGTGCTCGCCAGCTCTTCTAGTTGGTGGCAAGTCCGGGTTTCCGCTCAAACGGCTAGTCACTTGGGCTGGGAATATTGAATTTAGTGCTTGCCGTACCGAGGCAAGGCCAGTGCTGTAGGGTGTAGGGGTACCAGATCGAGTCGTGGTTCCAACGACATTGATACGAGGGCGGGAGTTGTAAATACAGGGCTGCTCAGGATATTGGCCATCGTACCTCAAGGCAAGACTTTCGATCAGCGTTCCATGATCCAATGGATCCATTTTTCAATCCTCCACCATCGATCGAATGTGAGTGTACACTACACCATGATAGCGCGCGAGGTTTGGGCTGTTCCACACACGCCCCAACGCTGGCCCCAAATCCACAGGTACATCAATCAATTGTAGCATTGAAATTGACACCAACTCTCAAACCCTGAAGTGGGTGAAGTGAGGCTGGCAATGGGAAGATCGAGTACCGGCGGTTCAACGTTAGGAAGGCTCTCAATCTGTCTCTGTCTCTACCCCTGGCTCCTGTGCACACACCATCCCGCTGTGCACCTCCATTCTCACCCCCTACAAGTGTTTGTGGCCCCAACCCCCTGTCCTCTAGTGCAAGTGCAAGAACAATTGGTGGATATGGCACATCACTGCAGAATTAGTTGAGGTCTTAAACGACAGGCCCAGCCTTTGTCGACACATCTGAGGCAATCCTCTCCCTTCTTAAGCCATCTCGCCCCTCTCACCGTTCGAGAGCCTTTTCTCTGAAAAATTACAAACATACTCATATGTAATTTGCAAGACCTTGAACACATTGCACCTCCCCATCCTGCATCGTGTGTCCGAACCCACAACCGACCCGACCACCCCGAACCGCACACACAACCGCCCGGCATGAGCCAAAGATTTCTCATCAACCCATCCTCTGGTCCCGGTCTCCCCATACCGGGACTTCACTCGCCAACACCCACCACAAATCCTGGCCCCTTCCGATCTATTGATATCGGATCCCTCATCTTAGGTCCGTTCGCAACTGCTTCCCCCATTTCCCTGTTATTCTCGAGCGCAGCAGATATCATATCGACTGTCTCCGAGCTTAGCGTTCCTCTCTCTCTGTCTTATCCTAGCCATATGAAACACATTGACTAACACGGAGAGAGGTGGCTCGATCCCTGGATCACCACCGCGTTGCGCATCTAGATAACTGCCAGTGGACAGAACCCAAGGCTCGCTTCGGGTTCGTCACTCAACTTAGTGATAAGCAAGTATGGACCGTCACCATCACCCGCTCCAAGCGCGGTGTTCGACGCGAGTATCTCTCGGCTTCCGGGAGCTCCATGGACGCCTGCTTCATCCAGCTCCTCACCCTGAGTTCGCAGGCGGCCGCTCACCACATCAACAACCAAGGATTCAACTACCCCACCGAATTCCGAATCCACGCCCAGGCGAACGCGGAAGGTGATGACGGGAGCAGCGGCGAAGAGCAGGCATCCGCTCCCGTATCAGACGATGAAAGCGACTGGGGTGAGGACGACTGCGAGGGGCCGGCTTCCTTTGTGAGTGTTGCGCCGTTGGCGTCGTCCCAGTCCCGCGGAGCTGCTCGCGGCCCTTCGCGCCGGTCGCGCTCAAAGGAGGTCGCTAGGCTGGCGTCGATGCTGCCGACTCACTACCCCCACCTACGCGCCCTCCTCAGCTGTCGGCCGCTCTTCTTCCTCCGCCACCGCCGCCTCCTACTTCTCAGCTACGCTCCCCTTTAACGATCCGCCACCGCCGCCGCCGCCTACCGTCCGATCCTCGCAGGTTGTAGATGCGCCCGTAGGGAAGAAGGCCACCGAAGCCGAGACCTGCGTGTCTCCTCATCAACGTGCTGGGCGGCCCCTCAGTGGCCAGCGTCCTCACCGAAGTTCTCCCGTCGCAGAAGGAAATCGAAAAGAAGGCAAGATTGCTCGTTGAGGAAAGAGGTCTAGACAGCCATGTCGACGAGAAGGCCAGCCAACGCCAGTGTCTCACAATCGCCAAAGTTAGCTTCACTGCCGCCTTAGAAAACCAGTATGACCTAGAACACTTTGGTGACGACCTGTCCGCCTTATTCAGCATCATGAACAACGGCCTTCCCCACTTCTCCATCGACGTCAAGTATTCTGAACTACCTTGACGATCAGGACCTTTAGCAGCACCCCTCCCCCTTTCTAAGCCTTGTATATAACGTTACGGTGTCCTCGATGGATGCATTCCGGGCTCGATCCCCCACCAACGCCAGAACAAGCGGAGGGTTACCAGTGCTGGTAGGGTCGCACATAATGGGGAGAGGAACAGTGGGTGGGTCGACCATGCATCGTCAACTTGTCTGTGCGGAGTTCAGAGCGAATCGTCTGTTGGTTTTTAGACATGGGCCGGTTGGACATTCTCAATGTGTGTCTCCAAGTTGGCAGGGACTCTTAGTCCCTCCCCCTCACCAACTCCGATCCTCGCTCCCTGCACCTAAAAGCCTCCCCATTAAACTATTCAATTCTTTCCTTTGTTACTTTTTTTTCTTTTTTCCCTTCTCAGCTATATGAACATGATATCTTTACTTTATTTCCCAGTTTCAGCATCATTTACTTTTCAAAGTTAGACTGCGTTTTTTTCTTTTTGGTGAGTGCAAGGCATTGCCGGTAGTTATGATTCCCTAGGATAGGGTTGAAGCAGCTGGAGCGCATGATGAGTGGTAACAATATTATCTTTATTTTTAATGTTTTTTCTTCTCGTACTGCACGATTTTCCGTTTTTTGGTTTGTGGGTCACATTGTGTGTGCGCGTATAGGCTGGCATGAAATCAACGTCAAGGTTATAAAAAACGAGGCGAGCACGAGAGTGGTTGGTTGTGGGCTGTCCACCGGAGAGCGCCTGGCCGGGGTACGAAGTTACACATTTGCAGCATTCCCGTTCCCTGTCTCGCAAATCTCAAATTAAACATCTGCATCAATCTTTTTCCCGCAGTCGCGCTGACGACTCGTAACCATGGTCAGTCTCATCATGTTATATCACGTAGAAATGGTGCCAAAACACCATGCGCGCCAAGTCGTGATGGTCCAAAAGGACCTTGGACCTCAAAGGTCGTTGCCAAAAGCCTTGGACCGGGGGTTTGGCACGAAAATTCCCGAACGGGTTTCCCGGGTGGGACCTGAGACGCGGAGGAAAGAGTTGAGCGAAGAAGGCGCACATGTGCCTGGGCCGGTCCTGGAAGTCTCCCCGCTGCACCCGGGGTGGGGTGGGTCTTTCCCATTTTTGGACTCCGCTTGACTTGCACCTTCCATCACTGCCGTCTATCACCTTTGTTCCATGATCCGACCTTCCTTCCAGTTCCCATGCAGACACGCCGGTGACGGCTTGTGCGCTTTTTTGCCTTGTGTCCCGTCAATCTGTAAATCGTGAACGTCTCTATAGGCCCTGAACCGCTTGGGAAAAGGCCGGGCTTTTCATCCTGTTCTCCAAAACGGATTCATTCCTCTGCAGCCGCGCTCAGAAGACACCCAGCGAGCTGGAAATAAAGGGCACCGCCACGAGGTTGGCTAATTGGTCACCAGCCTTTTACGCAGATTTCCACATCACTATCAACACGATACGCCACCCCACCATTCGGCGCGTCATTACTCTTTGCTCCAAACGCACAATTTGGCCAACGGCTCCAGCTCCACCGAGAAAACGGAGGGCAAAGAAGAAAGAAAAAAAAAGAAAAAAGGAGCAAGGGGGTGGCAGGGTTTCAACAGCCCCTCGGAGTTGCTCGCTTTTCGTTGTGCTAACTCGGAGTTGGCACAAGTGGAATGACCATTAATAGGTGATGTGATTTATGGTGATTGATGAGATTGGCGAGGACATCATAGGCTCTTCCTGGCGCTTCAAGACGACTATCCCGGGAGCTCCGATACCGACGCCTCACAGCCCTCTCGCCTTCCCTCGCACATCGAGAGAGGCCCTGGAACAGTAACAAGCCTATATGTGAGCCCATTGCGGCGGCTTTAGCCGCAGTGGTGTTGCATCCTGTCTTTCCGGCCTTGTCGTGACCTCCAGCGGACATTGACAACCTTGCCCTCGTGCCCCCATATTTCGCCTCGCGATACCGGTGGCTTGGGACTAAAATGGGCGAAGTCCTATACCTAGAAAATACCTCATACTTCTCCTCCACGCCTCCCCCGTAGATATATGGATCCTTCGAGGGAAAAGGGGAAGTGTATAGAAACTTCCTCGGTGGGCCAGTGCCATTCTCGCTTACACCGGCAAGGCTCATGTTTGCATTATATCCACCGACCGTGGAAATCTTTGAGAGACGAGGCTTGATGACACACGTGAAGTCATTTCATTATACGACCGATTTCTAATGCCTTAAGAGTGGTATTACTCTTATCAAATACCCCAGCCGACCAGTAGAGACTTGAATGCCTCGGCCTCCTGGCCCTCGTCTCTTTTTCTTCTTTGTTTCGTCTACTTGGTCTCTGCTCGATCTGAATGCGACATGTCTTTGAGACCGCCATGCAGGCTTGGCAACCTATTTCTCGCAAGCTACTATGCACTGCCTAACCGTTTCGACCCCGCGGGTCCCCAAGGAAGCCCTATCGGCATCAGTCCTCTCCACTGGGGATATGATCCCAGAGAGGCAACGAGGAGTCCTCATCCAGGGAAGTCAAGCAAGGTGGCTGCGGCATGAATCGGCTGACCCAAAACGTGGGCTCACCTGCTAAGGACCTAGAGTCGCCCCAACTTCCTTTCTTTACTAATGGCAAACCGGCGGTACGTGGTCACGCACTACTTGTGATCCTACGAGGAGAGGGGTTTTCTCATAGAGGGTATGCTATCGTTGGCCTTTGGGGGAGACCGAGAGGATTTCCGCGCAGAAGCCGGCGATGACGAGGGGGCGTCGGATCAGCTCCTGACGATCCGTGCTTTGGACAGGGCTCGTGGCGCCGGGCTTGCAAGGGAGCTAGAGCCACGCATATGAATCTTGTAGGTCACGATGGGGACTTGATGTGAGATGAGGGTATTGTTTTGACCGCAGCTGACTAGGACCAGACAGTTTGTTTTTCTTTCTCTCAAGTAAAGAGGCAAGAGCAGAAAGCCAACTCGACGATCTGGTAGACTTAATCGCTTCTTAAACTCACGTGAATCATTTGCTGGAGCCAGCGGACCCATTCACCACCAAGGTCAGAAGGTTAACACGTCAATACAGGTCCCCGCCTCCCCACAGCACACCAACGGAGCCTATGGCTATACCAAATATGATGTGGCAGACGCGGACGCCCTGTCACGATGAATAGTTTGCGGGGACCTATTAGAGACGTCCGATGTGGGAAGCGGTAGACACAGAGGGCCGCATCACGATAGGGCGTGACGACACCTGTATTTCTCAGGCGTGCCACAACGTCACTGGCCCACCGGCTTGATGGTGTGATCGCTTTGATCGCATCGAGCCGAGGACATTGGTCTTGCTAGCGAATTTTCAAGAAATAATGGATGTGAGTCTATTATCTAACTAGACACATCATCCTCGTCGCTGTTGGCTGTAGCAACGTCCCCTTCCGAGTGATCGCGCTGTTTGATATCGTGGATATTACCCCGAAGCTCAGTCAGCAGACCCTGGACTCTGCCCAACATGGCGAAGGCCGCCCTCATAGCACGAATGCTTCGCAGCAGGAGAACTGATAGGCAGGTTAACACGAGTTCCTTAGAAGGGGTGGGGGTGGGGGAGTTCAAGCGAGGCGAACGAAGCGTGTACTCACTACTCGGGATAATGGCCCATGGTAAGTTGAATCCCACGTAGTAGAGCCAAAAGTATTGCGGCTCGGGCCTGCTGTGGGCGTTACCATGGTAGTACTGCTCGGCAGTGCTGGTGGCATAGTAGAGGGCCACGCCATAGAGATGGCCCATGCAGACCATCATCTGGACTGGGTGTCGGATAGTGCTATCTCGTATGATGCACCAGGCCGAGAAGAAGCACAGAGGCCCCCACACAAGCTAATCAGTCAAGTTAGGGGTGGTGTGGACAGCTCGGCCAAGCGAGATTGTGCGCCGCAAGGACGATGAGGCGAGCAAAACTTACCACCGTAATGGTCTCGACCGAGATCATGAAGGGATCCGAGGTGAGGTACCTCGAATCAGAGAGGCTGTACTCCTTCCATAGCTGCGCAAAGAGCGTCTGTTGGCCAGCGAGAGAGGCGTGGTTGTAGACGAAATAACCTGTCAGAGGTGCAGGTGCACAGAGTCAGAATGTCTGAGTTGCCTCATTATTGACCTCCCAGGTCCCCGAGAGGAGGTGAGGTGCAAAGAGAAAAGAGAAAAGTTGGGGGAAGCGAGAAAGGGAGGCCTAGAAGGAGAACGGGGAGGGGGCGTGGATGGAAAGGTGGGATGCATCCAAGGCAAGTAAGCGAACCTTCGAAAAACAGTGGAGAAACCCGCCTAAATCAAAGTCAGCCTATCATCAATGTTGAGATCTCGGCAAGGTAGGTAGTAAAAAGAAGGCAAGAGGGAGCACAGAGGCGGGTTGGTGTCTTACAGATAGAATACCAGCTAACGATGAGTCTCTCGTTGAGGGACAACCTGGGGTTCCGCCTCGCCGCTAAACCTGCCGAGCCCACGGCGACAGCTCCGAGCAAAAGGCCTAGTGACCCGATCAACTGGTACAGAGGCTTCTCATTCTCGCGGTAATGAGGGATGCTAATCGTTGAAGGCGAATACGGATGGTTGGGCGCGGATGGGTCAGCCATCTTGGTTTCCCCACCCTTCTTTCGTGCTCCTATGGAAGTTTGGTTGGCTGTTTTACCGCACCCTCTCTCTCTCCTTTTTGGGTAGATTGGGCTGGATTATGGATATCAGCGATGTGAGTCAGGGCAGAGGCGTGTATTTATGGTTTGGCGTTGCTGGGCGTCTCCTATGTCTTCCAGCCACGGAAGCGAGGAATGTCTTTGAGGATAGAGGGATAAAGATGAGGGGCGATTAAGAATTAAAGAGCAAGAAAAAGAAAAAAGAAAGGCTCTGTTGGGCTAGAGGATTGCGACGATTGCCCGACGGGCATCTGCGCAAAATAAAAAATAAAAAAATGTAAGAATGCTCGTGTGAGCTTGAGGTGCTCAAAGGGTCGTCGTCTGTGAGGTTGGGAATTTTCGACCTATGAATCTGTATTTTTGGTTGGGCCTGGTCGCACCTGTCTTTTCTGCTTCTTTTCTGCTTCCTCATCCCCCGTTCCTCGGTTGTCTAATAATTGGTGTCTTAGCGCTCACGCATTCTTCTTTCTCCCGAGCTCCAACCCAACCACAACCATCGACCCCATCCATCATACAAGTCAATGTTTGGCATGCCAGCAAGCTCAAGCCAAAACCCCAGCCGAACAGGCCAATGGAACCGCCTGGTGCCTTTTCCTGTGGCTGTTCTAGTGGCTCCACGTGGGATTACAGGGGCGGTCCGAGCTTTTAGTGCTGCATTTTGGCTCTGTCTCTGTCCCGGTGGGTAAAAGTATTATTAGCTTGCGCTGCATGAAGCTGGAGGCGTAATATTACTCAACATTCGACCGATCCCTGATTTCGATATCAATTGAACACCAAGGTAGTGTCTAGTCGTAAGAGACGGAAGGACATGGTTTGCTGCCTTGGATTTGCTACTGCTAGGGCAAACATGGCTGGCGAAAATTTGGGAAAATCTAACAATTTATACAAAGCTAGAATCTACACATGGCGTCTAAGAAGGCTCTTCAGCGAGAGCTGACATCAGATTTCCTAGACCCCGTCGCGCCCGGGGGTGACGAGCAGGGAGATGTCTTTTCTCTCCCTCTCTCCAATTCTATACATTGCCACCTTGGCGTCGAGAAGAGGGACCACCTAGACTCTTCCTGCCGTCCAGATGTTCAACCCAACCTTGACCCCACGCTTGACCGGCAGCCCGGCATGCCAGGTCTCTACGAAACCGTCTCCGGTCCCGTCCGCACGGAAGTTTGTCCAAAACACGGCGTTGCCCTCCACGGCCTTGAACGTGATGCCTAGCCCGTCTTCTCCGCTCGTACGAACCCTGCCGTCCTCCCCACACTCCAGAAGCGACACCAAAACTTCTCCTCCGCCGTGGGTGCTACCGCCGCTGCCGCTGCCGCCGCCGCTGCCGCTGCCGCCGCCGCCGCCGCTGCCGCGTCCTGACCATCCTCCACCACCTCCGCGGCGGGCCGCACGGGCGCCGGCAGCAGCGGAAACTCGGTGCCTCCGCCCTCTAGGTCCTCCGAGGTCGACACCCACGCCATCATGCTGCTCACGCGGCCCCAGCCCCCGGCGTTGGAGCTCAATCGTAGTGGTGGCTGTAGTGGCCGCCGGGGGTGTACTTTTGCGTGCGCAGCCGCTCGATCCAGAGCTCCTCGCGCCAGCCTTGGAATGCGCGCGCGCGCCGCTCCACGCACCGTACCGGGTCCGTCCGCGGTATCATGGCTACGTGGGAGTCGCGGACGGCGGCGTCGCGGTGCGCGGAGCCGCCGTTGTGCGTGATGGTGGAGGGCTGGAAGAGGTCCTCGCTGTTTCGCAAGGTGTGAGCTTTTTGTTCAAAAAGTCTTGAAGGGTCGTCAAATAGAAAAAAGAAGAAAATAATAAAAGGGGACGCAGCGCGTGCAGTACAGTCCCCCTCCCTAGCGGCTCACGAGCGACCCGGAAAAAGGATAATGGAAATGGAAAGGAAGAAAGGTAAAGGAGAAGGGGTTGAAAGAACGGATATGCCGGATTCTTACCTGATTTCCAACAAGTGAGACCTTTCGTCCGCCGCCAAAAAGTTTTCAATATACACGACCAGCGGTTCCGAGAGTAAATGTGCACCGCGTACGCATCCGGCGGACACGCTATGGACGAGTCGTTGGGACCCGGAAGAGCCAAGAGCGACTCGTTGAGCTGGGGTCGCGCGGTCCGGGCGGGTCTCCTTGATTCGGGGAGAAGAGCTCCATGATGGGGTTGGCGAGAAGTAACGCGCACGCCACAAAGGCTACTATATAGGACAACATCGTGTGGCGACGCTACGATATCAGAGAGTAGGTGGTAAGGAAGGGTGATGACGAAGTGGAACAGGTAGCTCCAAATCGTGTCCAAATGCCTCCAGCTTGCGTCACCAGTCGCGGTCGCGTCCCGAGGAGAAGGGTTTCTTTCCTTTTTTCTTCTTTTTTCCCAATGCCCAAAGAAAAGACTATGTTCAAGCTCGATACGCTCCGTCCGCTAGCTCAAAAGGATTCAGTCCGAAGCTCCCTTCTTCGCCCGACTCAAACTCTTTTTCCCTCTTGTTCCGATGACAGCTTAAATAAGCTTTTTCGGATTCTTCGGAGATCTTTGAACTTGTGATGGGAAACCGACCGCTGCGTTGGTCGATTGGCGCCGAAATAAAAGCGCAACAAATTGAGAGTTTAAAGAGTTTCAAATTCAACAAGAGCTCGAAGTACTCAAGTTGAATCAGGACTGGATGGAGCTCAAACTCAATGAAATCAGTTCTCAAGACATGTCCGTGGCAGGGAGAGTCTTCACGTGATTATGACTACTGCACCGTGGACTGGCCGGGTGACGGGACGGTGCCACTGGGCCAGGTCCAACACGGGCTCCACCTCGGATCCCGATCCTCCAAGCTCCTGATCCAGGAAGCGTCAAGCCTCCTGGCCAAGCGAGGATCTAAACACACGAACTCAAATCACCTGAATCAAACATTGGCCATCCACTTGCTGTATATAGCATGTGGCAAGGGAGGAGGGTAGCCTAGGGTAACAAAAACCCACACAAGCAGCATCGCACCGCGATCAAACTTCACATATCGAAACAATGGTTCAAGACAAAAAATGAAAAGAGCACGGCGGGGCCGTTATAATGGCAAGTTACTATATATACATATACAGCATTAGAATGTAAGTTCGCGGATTCACTACATTGCAGGTGGGCTTCCATTCAACGGCCGCCTCGCGCTTCATGTTCCAAAAGAAAAATCCAGGTCGTTCATTCAATGCGCTAGCTTCATGTCCATGTCACCGCTTAGGCCCGGTTCTTGTTTTGTCCTCTTTTCGAGCGCTCTCTCGGGTCAAGATAGTGTCGAGAGGAAAACCTAGGAGAGGTGCATAGCTGAGCCGGTGGGGTGTAGTGAGAGAGAACGGGCCAGGCCCGTTAACCCCGGGTATTTGGTGCGCCCCCTTCCTGCCTTTTTCCACATGAAAAGGGGTATCCAACTGATGCCGAAAGTGTGACGATTTCGGGGTGTCGTCTATGTCAAGTCGTAAAGAAGTTGTAAGAAAAAGTGGTGGTCCGAAAACAAAAGAGGTCTTGTGCGTTGTTTTTTGCTGTTCTTGTATCCTCCAGAATTAGAGGACTGGGACAAGGGTGAGCGAGAAAGAGGTGGCGTAAAGGTTGAAGGAATGAAGAATGCCACAGTTGGGGACTCGGTCCGAGTCCGGCTTTCGCGTTCGTAGGACTTAGTGAAACTGAGTGCGGTCCTTCTCCTTGAGACCGCCAATCTTGTCCATGTCGATCGAGTAGAACTGGGAGTTGTTCTCCTTCTCGTACACGGGAAGCTGCTCTTCCCTGACGGGCTCGAGGCCGACGCTGGTCTCGCCCATGCGGACGACGACGACACGGCCGCCCCTCGTCATGCCGGCATCATCCTGCTCGTCGGGGAAGGTGATGCGGATCTGGGGAACGTTGTCGGGAGAGTGGGGAGGAGACATGGGGTTCGCGAGCATGGGCTGGCCATCCTTGTTGATAATGAAGACGCTCGACCGGCCGTGCTTGTCCGTCGTCTGGATGGTCAGACCCGGGTGGTGGTGGGAGTCGGAGTAGGCGGGGGAGCGCCAGCCATCATCCTCTTCTGCTGCTTAACACGGCGGAAGTAAAGGAGGGTGGTGGCGAGGAGCAGGCCAAAGATGAAGAGCGACAGGACGCCAACCATCATCCTAATGGTCTCCTGGTTGTAGCCGACATCTTGCTCGACATCGTCGTCGGCGCTCACTGCATTGCTTCGAGCAAAAGGTTACCGAGAGCGGGCATGGCTGCGGCGAGAGGAGGGGAAAAACACAAAAAGACTCGGTAAAGAGATCCGGTTCCGTGAAAGGGTCGGGGAAAAAGAGTCCGGCTTGAAATTCGTTGTCGTCGTCACAGTTCGTGGGGTTTCTCTACTATTATCAAGGAGGCGCCCGTTTCGCGTTATCTTGGGAATTAAAGGAGCGGAATGTCGGGATTTGACAATAGCTGCACAGCGGCGTTGCTATGTTTATGATTGTAGTAGGAAGGCTGGTGCGAGACATGTGTTAGTCAAGTTTGCCAGTCATCCACCTGTTTCGTTCGTGTGTTCTAGGTTCACTCTGTGTGTCCCATCTTCACCCAGCGGACTTCTCCACGATAGCTTGCCACTAGGAGGCTATTGTTTGCTTCGCTAACAAGGAAATCCGCGCAGTGGCGCCTCTCGAATTTTCTTTTCCGGGCCCCCTCCCATAAACCCATGGCTGAGAAAGAAGAAAAAGGTTCCACGACGAGATCAGGACATGACGATGTGTCGTTGTTGGTGTTGGCAGACAGAGGTTTGGGCCGTGGTGACGCAACGATGACCGGGCAGAACTTACAGTGTAAGAAGGGGAAGCCAAGTGAATGGCTGTCGGTTGATTGTTTGTTGGGCGATTAATGATTAAAGCATAAAAAGATTGGACGGAAATCAACTAAAAGAGTGAAGTTGATATTTCCTTAAAGGGTGAGAAGATGGCAAGAACGAGACAACTCTACACCACGAGAACTTGACTTGGCGATCCGTCGGACAATCGTGAGCAAGGACGATGTTGGAGGGAAACAAAGAAAGAGGGTCGAGGCTCGGGGTGGGCGAGGGCGGGTTCAAGAGGAGATGATCCCCTGCAGGATTTTAGGTGGGAGCAGTCCTTTCCACAAGCGGTCCAGCACCATTTCCCATGGGAAATTACTTCGTAGGTCCATGTCCCTGGTCGAGCGACCACTCAAGGTGACCGACCCCCATCGTCACCAAGCGCTTTCGTCCTGACTAGGAAGGGGAAGGGCTCCTTTTGCGGACAACAGGGGGAGAAATGGTGACAGGGTAAGTATTCCTTGGTACCAATCGGCTGTGCATTGTGTCGAGCGGTACTTTGAGATGAAAGGTCTCGATTCATTATTCAGTACATGATGGTGGCTGAGTGCCCTTTCTCTCTCGTGGTCGTTCCCCCCAAACAAACCAACAAGTCGAAGGGGGCTTCGACAGGTACAACCGGGGAACCCAGAAGGCGGCGGTAATCTCTCCTTTTGCGCTATGATTGGACGGTGATGGTCCAGATGTGGACCCAAATTTGAACCATTTTGGACAGTAATCTTGCGTGATTGGCTGTACCTTGGCCTCGCAGTGAGTTAAAAAGGTTAGCCAGGAGTACCCCTGCCAAGGCTTCCTCTTGGGGCTTTGGCTTTCGAGGGCAAAGGCCCAAAGGTCAAAGCCCGGCGCCTGTCCCTGGTTCGTGAAGGTGGCAGCGCCGATTGCAACGCAGGGGCCGGTTTAGCGTAAAGGATCAATCCAATGGAGCACGACACGACGCTCCCCTGGCCACCAAGGCCACCTCGACGCCAGTGCCCACGACGCACGCTCCGATGGCAGTCGACGAACCAATTGTCGGCTGATGGGTCAATACGTTTGCGTGTATTACTCCAAGTATAGACTACGATGGTATGGTATAGTGGAGAAAGAATTTTTCGTGCCCACAACAAGCATTCCTCATCCTTCTCTTCCTGGCGGAGGTTTTGTAAGGCTACCTACCATATCGAGGGAATATTCTTGGATTTTCTCTCATCAAGGGGCGGCCGACAAGGTAGCCCATTGACAAGGACCGCTACCTGTCAACAAGGACAAAAGAATGAAGGGGAAAAAAGGAAAGAAAGGCGGCACTCCAAGCTCTTCCACCGTCCAAAGCGCCACGACGGATCCGGGGTTAAGGATCAATTGGAATTCACTCAGTACCGCCCATCCTCAGCCACCTGAGCAAGAGGAGAAACACGCATGCCGCCTCATGCTGCCCCGATGAAATGAGCCCATCGATCAGAGAAATCCACTTTGTCGTTAGCGGGGCGGCTATTGCCTTGATGGAGTAGAATGTGGATTGGAGCAAGGACTGGGAATGCGTATGCAGGCGAACAAGTCACTGATTGATAGGAGAGAGGGAAGAACAACGTTGAAGAATGTGCGAGGTTCACGCCGACAAAGTGACCAAACTCCTTCAATGTTCACTCCCGACTGCACAACTGACCACATCGTACTCTGACCGGCGCTTATCATTTCGATGTGACCGACGGCATCAACGAGCGTTCAGAACTCAGCCCATCGTGATCACCAGATCCTCGCTCGCCTCGGCGCATCACTGCAATATTTCCCGGCTCACGGGCTCCACAAATTGCCTGTCTGGATATCTTGCGGATCCCCTGTACTATTTTTTTCCTTCTCCTCACCCTCAACTTCCCATCTTATCCGCCTTCTCCACCTCCACTTTCCACCTCCTCCGTCACCAGGGGCTGAACTTCCATGCGCAACAAATGTGACGGGCAGGCTTGTTGATAATCTCATAAGAAGAGAAGAGAAGGGGATGGGGTCATATCTCCGACCGATTGCGATAGACTGGTGTAGTGATACCTGGGCTTCTCTCCGTTGATACCGCCGCACCCCCAAACCGAAGGCTTGACTTGGATGAACCTGAAGACATTGACGTACACCCAATCGATCTTTGACCTTGACCTTGCCTAGAATGCGTCCGAGGTATTATTGTTCAGTCCACAACCACACCACCCCCATGGATCCTACATCACATCCACATCTCTGCAGTCCATGACACTCGCTAAATCACCCACCCTCGCGGGGGCCAGATCGACCCTTGCCTATCTTTGTGGCTGCCTACCTGATAAAGGGGAGAAGAAGAAGAAGAACATATAGCCTGCTAAGCGGAGGTTTTCTGACGTCTTTGTTCTTCTTCCGATTGACCTGCAACCACTTTTACTCGCAGGGACCCACGACCAACGAGCAGCCGACCCAGATCCCTCCGATTTACCCGCCCGATAATGCTATGCTGACTGCCTCATCTATTCGGGTAAACAGGGCCCTTGCTTTAGCGACGACCTCGTAACTGCATCGGCCTGCATCAGGGTCCGGTCGCTCAGTCTAGGAGACGGGAGCGAGGATAATATAGATGATGCCTCATTATAAGGAGATCCCGCGGCCGCCATGTTCTCCGTCGTGAAAATCGCTGGGTCCTGGGACTGCCGACCTGCGCTACTGCGGCAGCCTCAGCAAGCGAGCATCTTTGAGATAGTGGCCCACTCGCCTTGCCTTGGATGTGACCGATGTATTACCGATGATGGTTTTTTTCTTTTTTTTTGGGAGGCCCTCTTGCCAACCAGCAGCTCCGTCATGCCCGGCCATCATGATGGGGGAGTTTGGCAAAAACAGGTTCCGTCCTCTCCTACCAACTCTCTCCTTCATTTCAAGAAAAGAACACTATATGGCCGAGAATGACGCTGGTTTCTGTACCAATATCGACGAGTTTTTTTCTTTTCTCTCCTCCTCAAGTGTAGCATATTCACAATGATACTAGCCGGCCGGTGGCTTGCCCCGCTCCCAACGCTCGGCCCTAGGGAAACGCTTGACAAGCATCCCCATCGCTGGTTTGAGCCCGAGCTTTTGCAGACAGACGTCAAGTGACAGTCATCTAGCCTGCGCCTCCTTCTCCCAAAACAACGGCGATGTTTCAGCCTCCGAGACAATTACCCTGTTGTGTATCCGGAGGTCAGACATGGAAAGGTCTTTTTGTTCCTTGAGCCATACATTGATCCCACCCCTTGACCGAACTGCCCACCTGGAAAGGTCAGTGAAGGGCCAGGTCGGTTCCGCAACGTCGAGACGTACTAGCCGGTGAAGGCCGGCGGCAATGGGGGAGGACGGAAAGGTGCAATTGGCCATTTCCCCGACCCGACGGGCATCACCCATCGTGGGTTTGTCTAACACCCACCCACCCGTCTCGCCCCGATGGTTCTCCTCCCTCTCTCTCGTGAGACATACAGTTCCATCTTCTACTAGAGGCCCGTGTCAAGCAGAAAACCGCCTGCCAGCCACTCGAGATGTTGAAACTTTCTTGTTCTTGTTCAAGTTCCCATTAGCACATAGTCACTATGCCAAGGCTGTTTATAGGAGAACTAGGACGAGAACGAGCCTGACAACCCCCTTGGGCACATGGACCGGGTCGAGCTTTGTAGATCATGTCATGAGGTGAAGACACTTGAAAAGGCTATACCACACCCCTTCCTACCTCTACCGTTAGTTAGGTGGGGACTATCGTCGGCGAAAAATTCTCATCAGTCAAGCGGGAGTCCCTCGCGTGCCGCGTCCGTTTCCCAGACTCGGTTTCAGCGGATGCGGAGGGAAGGCCGTTGTTTGCATAGTCCTGTTCACCGTCGTATCGTAGATGTTCTCCAGCCACGGAAACGAAATGTGGTCTGCCGCCGTCGTTGCACACCCGCAGCTTCGCTTAGCTTCGCAAGCTTCCGGAGTTGGTGTTCCTGAGAGGAGCAGGGAGGGGGAACTGAGGGGGAACCGCTGGCCAAAACCCATTCAATGCGGATGGGACCCTGCTCCCAGCCACCGCTGCGAGAGAACCACGCCCGCTGTTTTCCCGGTCGAGTATTGAAGTCATTTGAGACCCCCAAAGACCAAGACAGGCATGATTAAGAAAGGGGCCTGATCCGTGGAAAATGACCTCGCAGGATAAGGAGAGAAAAAAAAAAAAGGGGTCCTGGCTGTCCCTTTTCCCACCCTTTTCTTCTCCTTCAGAGCTCAGACCCTAGATATGCACCCGAGAGGCCCGTTGCATGCACACATCGACGACCGACCTCCGGACGAAATAGCTTGCCTGCATCTACGTGTTTCGAGACGTGATACGAAGAACAAGAATCTGATTCGGCCAAATGTTAGGCCTCGACGTTTGGCTGGGACTCGAAGCCCGTTGAGGAGACGAGTTTCTGATTTGCTGGCCCCGGATGCGCCATAGACCAGCCGGGAGGCTCCCTTTCGATGGAGCTTGGTTCTTGACTCCTCTGCCAAGCCTACCTCGCATGTCTTCTTTCTCCTTCCCTGGCCACCCTTTTTCCTTGTTTCCTTTTACCCTACGCTTTGTACTTTTCTCTTCCCCTCTCTTCTCGTTGCGGCGGTTCTGCAGTGCATCGAGGAAGAGAAGAGGGGGCTGGAATCCGTCATCAAAGATGTTGGTATTACTTGTAGTATTTCTCAACTTGGATTGTAGCCAATGAGACACTCCTAACTGGCAAGGGCGACATCCCGCAAAGTGCAAAGAACCAACAGAAGCGATGTAGATACTCTTCGATTTCAACGTATATTTCCATATGGCGAGCAAGCGACGACGAGTCCACGTCGAGCGTTGATCGTCACCCCGCGCAGGCGGAATGGCCCCAAACAGGGTTCAGCCAGATATGATGCTCATCCCCCGTCCCGACCGAGCTTAGAGGAGCATGTGCCATCTTCTTACAGGATGAAGGGCCGGCAAATATTGGCATTGAACCCCTCTCTTGTCAGACTCTCCCCACACACGTGAAATGATAATAAAGGATGAGAACAAAACAGCCCCGGGAAGAATATCACCAAGTAAAAAAAAAAAGAAAGCTCGGGTGATGCGGGAGCACCAACGAGAGACTGAAACATTCATCTGCACAGAAGAGAGGCAAGAGGGGCTGGGTGCAGCCTGTATAAATCCCACACATGCGTTTAGAGGTCCCCGTCGCAATCACCAAAGAGTATCTCGTGCGAGCGTAAAGTACTACATGGCCATCCATCTAAGATCAAATTGGACCTTGGTTACCTGCCGGGCGGGCGGTGGGCTTGGGTACAGGCGGCTTTGATGTTTTGAAACGATGAAACATTTCGCCCCATTTTACCCCGTACCACTGCCCGCCAGCCTGTATCGCGCTTAGACCTATCCTGTCCCTCTCGTCTCCGGATTGGATGCGCTGATGAGGGGCAGGTCAGGATTCCCCTCCTTTTTTCTTGTCTTCTCTTTTTGGCGTTCATCATCACATTTGTGTGTGGCGAAAACAGGTTGGCTGACTGACGCCTTTGAGAGGGCCAAGTGGAGGATTGAGGGCCAGCCAGGCAGGAGGCAAACTGGGGCTGCCAGGCAAATCCCGTTCGCACTATCTTGTGGCCTTTCTGTGCAGGGATCCCTGCTTGCCTGTGCTGTCTACACTAGTCTCAAAAAACTGCCATGAGGGGCTGCCTACAAACAACCTCAGCTTCGTCGACGTGAACGAGTCGGTACTCCCAGAGCTATCGATGCGAGCGACTCGCACTTTTCTCCTTGAGCTTGAGACTCCGGCTATACAAATTGGCTGGGCTGAACGGGGCGACCGTAGGCATCCGGCTGGGCGCAGCAATCAGGAGTGACAGGCAACCGCAAGGCATCCGATGTCGTGCAACGCTGTGGGGAAACAGATCCATCCTGTCAAGAGCTTGGGAGCGCAGGTGGTCTTGCGTGGGAACCAGCTATTACATCAATTGATATTGCTTGTAGAACAATTTAGGAATCCTGGGGGCCAGGGGTCGAGCTTCTTCCTGAGGGATAGAATCCCAAGGAAGCAGACATTGCTGCAAGAAGGGTCATGTCTGTTCCCTCTTGGCAGGGATAGGTGGTCTTTCGTAAACGATGTACGGTGGCCTTCCGAGGCCGCGAGATAGAGCCCGACCGAGAAACCTATTTTGTTGGTTCCTCGAATCATCCGACGCGGTGGGCCCTTGGATGTTGACGACAGATCTATGGATACGAACAGGCCGCGCACTTCCACTAACTATGTAAGCTTTCGTCAATCAAGCTTGAATCGAACTACGAGAGATCAAGGTTTGGGTCCAAGGCCTTATTGACGTTGGAGCCGGCCACCCGGCGCCAGTGGCGTGAACTTGTTCAAGGTTCGGAGCCTGACATACGCCAAAGCTTTTCACCCGGATCAAGTTGAGGACCATTGTGTTTGGACTCGTCAAGCTACCTGCTCGTCATATGTGATATTGCTCGAATTCATGAGGCCCTGTAAACCATTATTGAATTCGAGTGATGAGCTGAACTCTAGCCATGACCTCGATTAATGTGACCGGGCGATAGCCGACTTTACATGTACGTCGTGCGCCCATCTTGGGGTATCACGGCCGCACTTTGTTACGAATGGGCTGCATGTGCCCTTGAACTTGTCGGACAAAGAGGCGCAGACAATTGCCTCCCCTTTTCTTTCTTC